AAAGATATTCATCGAAAGCTGAATCATGAACACGAAATAGCTTAGAGCACGGAGGTAAAATCACATTACAGCAAGGCGGTTGATTTTTAACCTCCCCGCTTAGAGCCATACTTTCGTACCAGGTAATTGCACGGGGGAAACAAATGCATTTCACAGTACTGTACTTAACGCTGTTAGCCTGAGTCTTTCACGCAAAATTGTTTGCAGAAAGATCACCCTCGGTGTAACTGTTTTACGCAATAAAAACACGACCAAGAACGACAGGAATTTAAGGTAGGCCTAGCTTCTGGGACCAGGGAATCAATGATACGTGACGAGTAAAAAGAAATTAAATCCGTAAACTATAGATCAAAAGGCAAAACGTCGATATGGATGTGTCGGCTGATAGCTTTCTGGATTTAGGGATTCATAGTCATTAACATGTGGCGACATGAAAGAAAAGCCGACAGTCTCAGTGGAAAACCGATCAGGAAATCTTATGGGTTGATGGATGTTGGTACATTGAAATTTTGCTGGAACCTATAAATCCAAAATTTGTTGGTTGTACAAAGTAACAGATCAGCTAGCTCGCACGCTTGTTGGAAGCACTGCTGCAATACGGTACATAGAAAGATATAGTACTAAGTCAAAGGCTGTGTTTAGTTAGGCCCCTGGCGCACATTCACGAATTGGCCTCCCGAGCACCAGCCGAACTCCGGATCCCTGCAACCATGGTTAGGAGTAGTGCGCTGCATGTGGGGCTGGAAGTAAATGACCACCGCACAAAGATTTGCTTAAATGTAGATATCTTTAGTGCAAATCTGTTCCATAATGCTCCTTTAAGTTTTGTACCTCCCACAGGACAGAGTGGATACCCAGAATTTCAAACGTAAAGCATCAGTCAGCAGAGCTTCTAAGCTCAGTAAAAGCATACAGTCTGTAGATAAAAAAAGAATAAAAAACGATTCTAACTAGACGTATGCCAATCCTCTGAGAGAACGTCACTGCTACTTTGTAAACCATAGAACAACTTCCCTGAGATTTCCTAAGTTGCTCTGATAATTCCTGATTTGCCAATTAAGGGAATTCTTTTGAGCTCATTTACAGCTCAAGTACAGTCGCCGGCGATTTTGTGATGGCTTACACGAACGCTTCGCCAGTCTATTGAAGAAGGCCGGAGTGATTGATCGAAAGCTCTTAGTGAGAAGCATTATTTGTGTTGGAACAAAAGTCTGAACTCTAAACATGTAACTACCAACACAGACGATAGTTTAAGTAAATCTGTTACAAGATTAATCTGTTGTCTCTTTTCCTTTACATTGTACATGACACAATATAACAAATTTTTAAATCTTGAACTCAACGCCTTTCATAACGATCTTGAAAGTTTAGTTTTTGTCTAACGTCTCATACAAATTGTTACTTTTATTGGATCTAAAATGAAAATGCCACAAAAGGCTAATTCATCTTTTAATATCTTTGGAACAAATTCCTCCGCACACTAAAAGCTCCCTAGTGGGGAACCTTTGCAGTGTGTGTGAACCTTTGGTGATGACTGGAGCTGTACGTGTTCCTGTGAGATCCAACCTACACCAGACCTTTCTGCATGGATGATCAAATTCATCAAACAGGTTCCTGAATGGATGAGCGCCTCGCTACCCCAGGTGTGCGACGTGAAACACCCTGTCTTCAATACGGGCCCAACAGGGCAGGCAATGAAAACTATTGTCATGCCGGGCAAAGATTGAATATTCATCGTTACAATAGGTGCGGTGTTTATGTGAGAACAAATTATGCACGCAATTGTTGTTTTTATGTTGCTAAACTCGAATAATACTTTGTCATATAAAGAAAAGGAGTACTACCGATCTACAAAATGCAACTGTCAACGAACAGCCTTAATTTTGCATGTTCAGCATATTTTGGAAGGTCGTCGATAGACTAGGTAGAAGATAGGTCCCTAAACTTTACCCTGGGGAACACCTGATGTCACAAGTACTGGGTCCAACCTAATCTCCAATCAGATCTTTTGGTGGCTGCAAGAAAGCATAGAATTAGCCAGACAGTTGGTAGTGTCATTTTGCCCACCGGCTCTTCTTTCATTATTCCCATACCACCTTATTTGAGCAAAACGACAACAACACTGCTTTTATTTCACTTTTATTGATTTTAACGCATCTTCTCAAAACAACTATAGTATGTGGCCCTTCATTGCTCTTTACATCACACCAGATGGACCAGCTTATGAAATATAGATGGGCCTGACTTGGAGTATCAATGTTTGAAAATACCTTACGCAATTTTAAGATTTAATAGCGAAAAATGAAAGGTGCAGTTCGATTTGGTATGGTTAAATTAGCGTTTCAGGCACTTGCATTTTAGCCGTGTGATACCATTATACTCATGATATACAGTACAATTATAACACTAGTAGACAGTGTGAAGGTGAACATTACTACACAAGCCGCTATGTGCTACTTAGTGGAATATAAAGCCTGAAATGAGTCCAAAACGTCGTGTGGAAGTGGGCGATAAGGGAAAAGATTGTCGTACTTGACATTTACAAATAAAGCTAACTTAAGTACGTTATAAGGATGATTCATATTGCTCCACTATCAGACGGACACCTTGACGGTGAACAGAACCTGATCTCTGACGCCGACGGCGGATTACATGACATGAAACAAAAGGAAGTTTTATACGTGTCTAATTTGCAAGAAAATCATGTTTATGGCATATTCATTACCTACGGTTTCTACCCCCCCCCAACAACTTCGTTATTTTTCTTTTCAATTATGCAAATTATCTTTTAATTAGACGTATTTGCATTTAAGAATATTCACTGAATTACGTGAACTAATTGATGTAGTTTGAAGATGTTGTTTTTACTCCGTCAATACTTTCATCAGGTTGGAAAGTCACTGAATAAAGAGACTCTTTTCACACAACCAAGAGGCTTATTCAGCCGACGTTTCGGTGACCGTCTGTCACCTTCCTCAGGGCAATTCTGACTGGTTCACGTTGCCCTGAGGTATGTGACAGACGGTCACCGAGACGCCGTCTTGGTTGTGTTAAAAAGAGTCTCTTTATTATGTTTACCGAAGGAAAACATATTGTTTTTGCTCAGTTTCTTCCTCTTCATCTTCTCCAAAACAGTGACCTCTGACCTGACCAATGACATGATTTGTTGACGTCTGTCACAATGGTGACTGGTGTTGGGTTACATAATGTTTCAATTTCATGGTCTGCTCAGCTCCTCTCACCATATACTAGTAGTACATGCATGTTAATGTGTTTGAGTAAGAATTAACAGAGCAGACCATGTCCGAAGGTAAACATTATGCATTTACTTTGCAAATGTTACGTCTCTATTTCTAATTCTATTGACGTATTGTGTTTCATGTTTCCTCAGACACTTGTTGGGTACCCGATCTCGCCAGACCTGACGGTGTACCACTGCCAGCCGACCTGGCCGTCCGTTGTCTACCACCAGGTCTACATCGTCTACGGAGCTCTAGTTATCTTCCTCCTCCCCTTCATCGTTATGGTAAGAACCTGGCCGTTATCCGTCTATCTAGCACATTTAAAGCCGCGTCCGAAGCCTGGTAGTGGCGGTGGAGGCTAACAATAAGCGTCTATGGCTTTTCACCTTTATTTCCGCTTGTTCAACTGATTTTGATATACTAGTATTAGATCCTATGAATAAATTCAAGTACATACAAATGTATATTCTGTAGGTAGTTTGCCGCATACATCTATTCTGTACGTAAGATTCACGTGTCCTGTATTTGGTTTTGTTCGATCTTTTATAGTTGTAGTAGACCATACAACAAACAACATTCCTTGTACTTTTGTCGACTCATTAAATAATTCTGTTATTATCTAGCCACATTTGCCCTGTATTGTGTCCCATAGGTGTACACGTACGGCCGGATATGTCGTACTCTCTGGGTCAGCAACAAGCTACTGGATGTGATGACGCAAGGCCAGGCCGGCCACCACCAACCCACGCAGTGTCGTCTGTAAGTCTGATTCGTCAAACGTATATACTGACATAGATTATCAGATTAGGTTTCTTAGTGGGTGGGTGCTAATGGTTTTTTCCAAGTAGATATTGAGTAATTTGTTGGCAGCCGGCTGTTGCGTTCACGGTACTACAGTCATAGCGGTATTGAAATGAAAGGCATCCAATGCAATTTCAGTGAATCCGTCTGAAATTGACATTTAGTGCCATTACTTATCACATTTTCGTCGTCATTTCACCCTTAAAGTGTTTGTTCTGCTTGTATAAAGTTGAATGTTTTGATTTTGTTTGCACCCTTCTAAAAAAAGTGTTACAAGTTCACGAAGACTTCCGTCTTATATACGGACTCTTCTTTATTGTTAAATTTACAACGTGGGTCCGTGCTGTTTGGGATTCTACGTAGTCCTCCTTTCTCGTCGATAATTGGCCCTATCCGACGGTGTCAGCAAGTGACTCGCCTACAGAATAACGTTTTATCCAATACTTCGTTCAGCAGACCGTGCACGATCGATATAAGGCCATAGCAACTATGCGAGGTATCGAAATATCATCAGGCGTAAAAGTCGTTTTCATTTCTTCCGAAAATAATTTTAACAGCACAGTAGAACATAGGATGTTGGAGTGTATACAAGATGTCTGATAGTCATCGAAACGTAAGCAAAGTGAAGGACTTCACTGCTTGTGTAAAAGAAATGTTAACTAGTGACAGAAGTCTAAATCCCTCCTCCTATGAAATTGCAACATGATGTAACCCAACACTAGTTACCATGGTGATAGACTGTCTGGCCGAGGTCATTGACCTTTTGTGTTTGGAGAAGAGGAAACTGATAAAACCTTCGGTAAACATAAATATCGTTTTCAGACAACCTCCCCCCATGGGACTTGTGGTCCGCGTCAGGGGAAGCACCGCCCACTCCTCCAGCAGCTACAGAGACGGGACCGTCGTCTTTTCAAATGATAACGGATCGTCGGCGTCACCATGGCGACGACCCAAGCCCACCTTCATGCCACATCGCAGGTGTGCCCGGATCGTCAACCGAAACTTGGAGACCTTCCGGGAGCAACAGGGCAGAAAACAGGTAGTTATATCTGGAAAGTGACTTTACAAATGTCAAATACGATGAACGTTTATCCTATCGCCCTTTCACACGATGTTTTGGACTCATCTTTCGCTTTACATATATCCCAGGAAAGGGCAAATGACTTGAATTGAAATTTGCATACCTTAGACGGCAATTAGAATAGCAGTTTTGTTTCTTCTTCATAATGCCACCTTATTCTTTTTTTAAATACGTTTTATGATAATGTTAATAATATTAGTTTTCAAGATAATAATCATAACATTTTCACAATAAATAATCTTAATAAATAATGATACTGTTGATGATAAAAATAATGCAAACTATGATAACGTTATAAAAGTTAATGATAAAGATCATAATAATATTGTTATCAATAATAATGTTGATGATAGCAATGATAAATTCTGTTCACCTGGTTCCAGCTGATTAAGATGCTGATAGTGGTCATCGCGCTGTTTGCTATCTGCTGGGTACCGCTGCTGCTGCTGAACATCCTGAAGGCGTTTGACGCCGTGAACCCGTACACTCCCGAGGTGTACTACATGGGCATCGCGTTCCAGCTCATGGGATACGTCAACAGCTGTGTCAACCCTCTGTGCTACGCCTTTATGTCCAAGAACTTCCGCCAGGTTTGTTGGTTTGTTTGTTTGTTTTAATCTCCACTTCCAAATACCTTTGACCAACGAGCTTTGATGAAAGCTCCTTGCATTGACCCAGTGTTGACATCACGTGACAAGTCTGGCTATGGGTCAGGCTACTGGAGAAGACCAGTTTTACCTTCAAACAGGATCTCCATCAGTGTTACTATTAATTTCACACTGTTCTTTCTGGAGTCCGCATAGTTGATGATGGAGCCGGTGTTACATGGTTCACTGTGTACTGAAGCTTAGGGTGTTACTGCTACTCACTGTGTTGACCCTGGTGAAGATGACAGACGATCGTCGAACCGTCGGCTCTTGTAAACAAGTAATTGTGAATACAGAACTTCGACATTCAAACAAACAAACAGACAAACAAACAAACATGTCTTGTTCTTCAGGTGTACCTGCGCGCCATCGGCTGGCCGTGTGACGCGTTCCATCGGATGTCGTCCTGCACCAGTACCAGTAGCGGCAGCAGGAGGACCATGGCCACCAAGATGACGTTCTTCTCCGAGTCTCACATCTCTCCCAACAGAGACCCGGCTACAGGCCCGCGCCTGCAGATGGAGTCCACTCTGTAAATGTTGGGAGATCTGATAGCTGTGTACCGCTTAGAGCACAATACATCGATATATCGGTTCCCGTATGGGGCATCATGAGCCACCCTAATGCTTAGGGCACAATTCTACCCCCGGGGCCCGGCCGGGCAGTTTCCAGGAACAAAAATGATTTAAAAGACCAAAGAAAAAAATATAGTTTAAAAACTAGCCACGAGTACTTCTTGTAGATATTGTTGATATGACTTGTTTTTCGTTCACACAGCCCGGCCGGGCCCCGGTTTGGAAATGTGCCCTTGGCATATAAGCCCCGGCTGGGCTCAGAAGTCCGGAAGACATTGTCAATCAGGACCCCATTTCCATTAATAAAAGTAATTCAGTAAACCACAGTGACGCTACCCTGTAGGGAACCTGGAGTGTTCCGGTGGGCACCCGGGGAATGTATATGTCGCCCTATCTGTGCAGTTGATCAGAGATGTACATCATTAGCCAGGTTTAGCCAGGTACAGTTCTTAAAGGTAGCATGATGTTCTGTTGTTATTCCTAGATGCGCACACGAAAAAATAATATATCCAGAGCTAAGATGTGGTATTATTGAACTATATGGCTTTATTGAACGATATGTGTGTCTGTACATATATGTAGATACATGTACAAAGTATAGCGTTACGATTTAGGCACTAGATTTGAAGCTTTCTTTAAACGATGGTCGATCTTGGATGAATGATGGAATGCGAGATGTTTTTGAAAGAAAATTACTATTTCCACTTTCAATATGGTTGTTTTGAGCGTGACTGTGTATACCCGGTATGTCATGTAGTATTTATTGTTTTTCAGGCAAAACCTGTAAATAACGTCAGTATGACGACGTCTATGGGGTGTCAACACCGCTAGAATAACCTGGAAATATAATAATAGACGGAGCATCACTCCACGTTTGTATTTCGATGATGGTGTAAACATACAGTATTTAATGCCTTCATTTATCCAATGGCCTGATTTTGTTTTGTATTATTAATGTCTTACTTGGCTATCTAACCTGGATATGTGTCGACGAAAGGCCTGGACCACAATTAGATGTTGATGATCATTACAGTAACTACACTCCAAAATTTATCAAGTTATCATAGAATGCTCAAAATGTTGTGATGTACAAAAGGATTTTCAATTACTCCAGTAAGCAATATCTTACAATATGTACGTAAATTATCATATTAATCAAGATACTTAAGAAAAAAAAATAAACGAAGCGAAGCAAGAGCGATGTGATACTTTCCTTTGGTGTTAAGGGCTTTTATAATATATCAGTAAGTAATAGAATCAGCAGATAAGTCGAGTGTGACATTCTGAAAAGGTGCCAATTTGAGATGTCTCCATTCATTCATCATCTAGTTCCCATGGGAGCCCTCTGCTTGTAGATAAAGGACTACTTGCCGCTATCCCAGGGCCATTAGTATGTATGAATCTTTTATTTCAGTTGAGGGCTGATATAATAGAAGTGTTATCTGAAAGTGTCGGAGTGCCTGAAGAATGATACATCACGTGTTGGCGATGATGAGTAAGATAACTGCAGACTTAAGTTGACAACCAGAAGAAGACTTGCGGGCTAACTTTCATTACGCCGTAGACCACACTGGCTTCATTTCATGGAATCCTCGCCTCGTTTTTTTTTCCTAGGATTTCAAAATATACCTGATCTATCATTTTGAGATCGGATACAGTCTTGAATTGACTTGGTAATGCATTCCACAACTTTCATTCCATAAACTGATTCCTTGAACTTTCTTTTATTTTCACAGTTCTTTGATTAATATCGGTCGACCGATGATGATGATGATGATGAACTTTCTTGACATAAGATACGATTTGCAACTAGAAAGGCCGACATTTGCTTGGGAGCAAATACAGCATATTTCAGTCCATCTCCATCCCACGCAATAGTGGATTATTCCAAACTTAAAAACTTTGCAAAACTGGCAAAGGTTCTCAAATAAATGAATTAAATAGTAGCTATATGAGAACAAAGATGCAACAACAAGTACTTTGAATCTCGAAAGCTTTACTAATCTTATTACAGGTATGCAAAAACTAACAATGATGAGATTTGATACATTTTGAAGGTCTTAGGCACATAAAATTGAATGTGCGGGTCATTACGCACCACTTAGGTGCAATGTGACCTCAGGTAACCCGCAATGGAACACGTGTTCCATGGATGGAACCGGACATTCTTTAGATAGAACATGGAACAGGTATAGCACTTTTGGCCCTTTTTTTGCTGAAAATAGCCATTAAAGTCCCCCAAATGAGTCATTTGGAAGTGGTTTATGCCAAATATGTGACTGCTATTCTGTAGACACATGTTCAAGGTACCCCTATACCGAATTTCAGATCATTTGGTTGTAAAACCAGGGCTCAGGATCCAAAAATCCATTTTTTGGCGAAAAATGCCCCAAAAAACCTTCATAAAATTTTTTCAAAGGCATGTATCAAAAAAATGGAAAAAACGCCTGGGGGTATTGGCTCACTCTACCTCCATGCCAAATTTTAAGTCATTTGGCTGAATGATGGCTGAGTTGAATCCCTTTGACTGTGTGGCAGGAGGAGGAGAAGAAGAAGGAGGAGAAGAAACATCAGAGAACACAATATATTTCATCCATACCATGGTATGGACTGAAATATAATGAGAGAACACAATATATTTCATCCATACCATGGTATGGACTGAAATATAAATATAAGATATGCGCATTATACGATAAGGTATCAGTACTATACACTTTGATATAGAACTTAGAATTTGACATCAACTACAGTCATCATAGGCCTCTGTACGTCTAACTAGACGTTGGGTGGTGTGGTGTTTGTGCTGCAGTACTGACAGTGACTGATAAAAGTCGCTTCTAATCTAAGCAAACAAGCAGATCGGATGCTTGTAATGCTTAAGGCAAGGTCATTGCTTAAGGCAAGGTCCTTACTTTAGGTCACATTTACAAACCCGGCCCGTCCAGGCGGAAACATATATATATCAACATTCAACAGTATACATAAAAATATAAACTTTTCATATATGTTGTGTTTTGTTGTATGTTTCATCATACCTTTCGTTCCCAAAAACTGCCCAGCAGACTGTACACTTGTTGAATTAGTCTGTTGTTGTTGTTTGTTTTTAATGACCTTGCTCCAACTTGGTGATTTAGCCACCTCCCGATGACGTGGAATGATAATTTTGCTCTATTGCCCTTCTTAATATCCCATTCACTAGTTATAGCTATTATAGGTAACTGTTACTAGGTGTGGAATGAAACGCCGTCTCAATGAAGATTGTTTGTAACGTTATATCCATTCTCCCACGGCAGAGCCCATTCCTATATAAATAGCCGTTGGAGAATGTATCACGGAATCTCACAAGGTAGAGAGACGTGATGAACCACATGAACCGAGAAAATATTTTTATCACAAGTGTTTACATGGCCCAATTTCATTCAGCAGAATACCGGTACCGGTTGGATATGCGTTAGCAGTTGTTGTACAAATATCGTATGCATGAAACAACAAGTCATCTGATGCTATTTTTTTCAGGGCGGCAAAATTCTGTATTATGATATCTGTCTGATTTTTACATTTACTGCCATTTTCACATTTTGTACATCATTTAATACTCGAAGCGTTTGAAATAGCTCCAAAAACAAGTTACGCGATTATTCTTTTGGGCAACGCCTTTAATAGCTTAGGCCACACCGATTTAATTTTATGGATGACATCCTCTGAAGACCCCCAAACTAGTGCGCGCGGGCGAAAAAAATAAAAATCCGGCCAAAAATAAAAATGCTACAAAACCACAGGAATACAAACCTGGTATTGTGAATTTGGCGCATTACATAGCGACGTATACGACAGGCCGACACATGCTGGATTTTTGCGGAATATATGAATCGACACTGCCGTACGTATGTTCTGAGTTCTTGAGTCTTGGAGCTTCGGTAGCCTGGCTGCCGTCAACCAGAGTTATCACCACCATGCACTACCCAGGCCTAAAGCCAGGCCAGAGCCTCGGAATACGTGATCTTTTTTTTTTTTTATTGAGATCGGGCGAAAATCAATGCGCGCGTGGATGTCATCCATAAAATTAAATCGGTGTGGCCTTTATAGTCGAACCAGCCTGCGATACAAAACAAACAACAGTTTTTAATCAGCGACATCGCATTTTTGCCTCACAAATATCAGTATTCTAGGGGACAGGACTGATTCAACTGACTACAGTTAAAGAATGACCAGAAAATTAACTTTGAAAATCAAGTTTTGCCGCCCTGAAATTTGCATGGAGGCTTTCAAAACACCCCCTTTTGCGAAATGGTACCGCCCACCCTCATGACCTTGGTACAGCTGATCTATTCTTCTATTCGCGACACGATGGTGCTTGACATGACTGTACTGTGTAGCGGTAGTACTGACTGACTGATTTGATGTTGTTGATAAGAGATTCCATGTTTAAGGTAAGATGATATCATTCCTACTTGTACATGTACAATCGTGTGCATGTTTCTTGCTAATATTTTACCTTAAAGTAAACTGTCATTCATTAGTTGTCTGTAGAATGGCCTTTCTTTAATATGGACAACTGGACAGTCCGGTTTCCAATTAGGTCATAAGTGTCAACAGACCTCGGACATATTGTTGATTCACGCACGTCTTTGTCATTGTTCAAATATTTCGTATCTTGTTTTGATGGTGGCGAATAATTTTGTTGTTGTTGTTTTGAACTCGGCTATCAGAGTCCACCAAGAGGTCAGGGATATCATACCTCCGTTGTATTTAGTTAGCTGTTTTGTAAATTTATTGTTTGAACGTGCCGCATTGATTATGCAAATTAAGTATGAAGTTTCAACACATTGTCAACATTATGAAATTCGCACCATTTACCACAAATGTATTATTCCATTTTTGGATTGATTATGCAAATTAGGCACTTATATCCATATTTGATAGTTTTCTGTCAGTGTAATTGTGTACATTTGTTTCAGAGTGTTAGTCACATTGTGTGTTTATACTATCAAATCTAGATACATTTTTAGATATAGTATTCTTTAGGAACTACTTACAGTAGTAATACTGATTCCTCTTCATTATTTTGATGTTACGTGAACTTGCAATCAGCCTTCAGACATGTATTTGCAATAAACATGATAAAATATTTTATTCTTATCTTTTTGTAGGTGAAACACCATGATGTCATCTGTATCCAGTATAGAACCTGTGTACCTGGTAACATTCCTGGTGACTATCGTCGTCTGCCTCTCCATCTTCAAGTTCATCGGTCCATGGATATTGAGAAGGATGACAAACAAATATGACACCCTGTCCTTGACCAAAAGAGTGGAGGTAAACGAAACGTAAGCATCACTAAACTCAAATATCATGATTTTATAATAATGACAAAAGATGTGGGCTTCACTTCTTAAGATTCTTGGTACAATGTATCACTCTTCTGAAAGAGTTTAACAATTACCTAATACTTATTAATACTTAGTAACAATTAAATGACTTAGAATAGGTAATATAAAAAGTCATTGTAAAGTACCAAAGGTTTGCATTTGAATTCAATGACATAAATGTACAAACCCTATCTACTTATGATGATACACACTCAGGATAATAAATTGAATGAATGGCACACAAAATTGTACATTGTAATATTATAATGTTAATTACTGACATTTGATTTGATTATGTATTTTCACAGTTCTTTAATTTTGCACACATGCCTAACCTCATAATGCATATGAGTGACTTGAATACATTTTGCTGTCAGAACTTGACAGTATTAAATCAGAATGCTAAATCATTGGTACTTTGCATCTAAGCATAGATATATAATTTGGTCATATTGCTAATCATGTATTCCCTGTCCATAGGATGATGGCGCTGGCCCATTCGTTAGTGGTTGGTCTGGCATCCTGGTATGTGTACTTAACAATGGACGACATCAAACCTACACTGACCAGGTCTGTACCTCATCTTGTTCACATTTATTACTACAACACTAACACATGAAGTTTCATACTTAGGAGGCAGACAATGACAACCTGCATTTTATCTTCATACTCCTCTACTTTCTAATAGTAACCTTTATTCTAGCAAGGGTCTTTCTTTTTGAATTTTTGCTTATGATGGACAAACTTTTGCTCGTAATTTTTGATGGACAAAGATCAGAAATAGCTGTCATTATCATATAATAATATGAAGGCTCTACCAGCAAAATTTGCTCCTTGAAATGCAGGAAATTGGATTTCAGACTCAGAGCATCAAGAATTGCCCCTGGACCCCCCTAGGATATTGTCAAGCCTCTCACCTAGCCACTCAGCCACACGACCGCACCTATTGTAGCCTGTGACACTATAGATAAACTATATATTGCTATATAACTATGTAAACATCAGATGTGCAGTATGATATTTTATTGATCTAGTTACTCAGTACAACTGTCTGCTGCAGGTACAATTCTCCACCTGTCCTGTTCATCGATTCTATCTTCTTTGGGTTCAGTGTCTCGGGTAAGTCACAGATTGTTGTATGTACTACATTCAACATGATTCAAGATTTCTAACATTGAAACTCATAGTCAAATTGAAACCTTTTCATTGAAAGGTAAGGGGTTACAATGTACTTTTGTTGAATAATGGTTTTTGAACAGTTATTAGGCCACACCAATTTAATTTCTTGGTTAACGGATTTTTCTAGAAAAATATGGGAGCGGGCGGGCGAAAAAAATAAAATAAAAACAGGCAAAGGTATCCTATTATGGCCCAAAATGGTACGATAGGAGCCATGAAGTCAACACACCAGACTGGTTCAAAATTTAAACAATGAATTTTGAACTTTTAATGATACCATTGCATTGAAAGATGGAATAACTGTAAGAACTAGGAAGAAAAGGACTGTTTTCAACTGTTCAGGGCAAAATATGAGCATTTTGCAGTTGATTCTGAATTTTTATTTTTATTTGCAAATCAGAAAAAAATGAAGCGGGCGAATCCGTTAACCAAGAAATTAAATTGGTGTGGCCTTAGTGTGATCCATACTATATAATCCTACATTCTGATAGGTGCAGGTAAAATTTGTGTGGTGCAGGTAATTTTCAATGTTACCTGCAGCAGTGCACACAAAGCCACACATGTACAGGAGTGCAGATAAAAAGGATTTCGACCCCTGAGTTGCTCAATTTGGTCACTCAGTAGTCACAACCTAGTGTAAAGAGCTGGTCTCTGTTAGTTACTTTGCATCAAGTCAGTATCTTGATAAATGTACTGGTAGTACTCTAAGTTATATGGAACTAATAACACTGTTTTTTTTATTTTTACAGACCTGATCTTGCTGCTAATCTATCGTGCTTTTGGACTGCCTTTTGTCGCACATCACATTATGGCTGCATTCAATGGATACGTTGTCTTGGTAAGTTGGTCATCAATTTACTAAATGTTAGTTATACATTGTATCACAAGTGTCAATTGTATTTCAATGGTTTCACTTCTAGACTTCAGTTCTAGATATTCACAATTCCATTTTTAGATTTCAATGTCTAGCAAATCACCCAGGCGACAGACCCTCTGATTACTATTAAGCAAGTTTAAACTGTAATTTCCAATTACATAAGAAATTGGACAGACCCACATTTTTGACTGACAGTGTACATTACACCAGTCTTAATGTCAAGGAATGAACAATCCGCTGCTTGTCAACAAAGATGGAGAACGCCACAGACTTTCTGCATCACATGATCCACTGCCCACTAAGTCATGTGACACACTGTGTCATCTGCATGATTAACTTGTCACAGAAGCAGTGGATAGTCCAATCTCAAGTGACAAAGACTCAAGTTGGGTGAGTCCATTTCTTGTGTTTAAAATAACAGTACTGTTGAATTCGCTTCATACAGCAATTTTGGTAAATTTTTGTCCCAAATGTGTCCTCCAGGCTTACCGCTCCATGCCTTACTACTGCCTGACAGGGATGATGATGGAGCTGTCTGGTCCATGTGTCAACAGTAGGTAGGTTCAGCTATTATATAGTGATATATTAATATTAAAAAAAGATAAATATGTTATTTGAGGTTCATGCTTCAACTCAGTGATCTATGATAGAACTATTTAGGACTACAAGTGAAAGATCAGTCAGAATAATTCTTAGGAAGGAGTGTCTTCTCAGCTGTTGCTGTTTTACTGAACTGTGACTGAAATGAGACTATCATTAACTCAGTAAAATTACTGACTTAACCGATCAGTTGCTGACAGTCACATCAGTACTTTAGCAGTCTTATTGAAAACACATGTTGATGAAGTTAATGTTTCTCCCATCCCTCATAATAATAATTCTTAGGAAGCATTCATTAATAAGTATTTGTCAATTGCATTACAGTCATGACAGTTAAGCTGCTTCACTGAAATGTTACTTAAATATAAGACTGATTAGTTGCTGACAGTCACATATCAGTACAGGTGCTTTGCCAAGGGTATGCAGCCATATTGAAACAAGATGTTGATGATTGTCAACTTTCTCAAACCCCTTCCAGGTTCCTAATGAAGGTACTGGATGTCGACCAGACGTCGTCACTTTACATCTGGAACAGTGTCGCTATGTTGGCGTCCTTCATCGCTTTCCGGATGACGGCAAACGCCATCAACGCCTACAACCTGTTCTGGCTCGCCTTCACAGACGACTTTTATCAGCTGACTTTGGCGGAGTACGTCTGTTTTGTCGGAGGTGTCCTCATGTTTTCAGTGCTGAACTGCATCTGGTTGAGTAAAATGATCAAAGGGGCAATGAGACTTTTACGTGGGGATAAGAAATATGACTGAACTTTCTTAAACAGTCATTTCTTCATGTACACCATATTTTTATTTTAGATTTTTTTGGGAAAGGTTGATATGCACAAGAAGTGGGATTCCCCTTGTTTAAAAAAAAAGAGATTTTGATTTTAAAAAGAAAAAAGTTGATTTTATGTAGTGAAATAACTATATAGAGTGACATATTTTATGCTGCTAGATACTTGTAGTTATTGTTTTTATTTGAAAAGAAATTCATGTAATGAAGCAATTTACTATGTACACAATATTTCATGCTGCTAGATACTTGTAGTTAAACTTCTACAAGATGACCAGTTTTGGAGAAGTTAAATGTATTGCAAAAATTACACGACCTTTAGGTCGAAGTGTATTTTATTCAATATTTATTAGGAGTTCTGAACCAACTAGATTGTTTTGTTGAACTTGTGTGATAGACATTGTATTTATTATAAAGAAACTAATAGGTAGAAACACAACTATTGCAACTCAGTGCTGATCCAAGCATTGTGTAAGACTAAGGAGGAAAAATGTTTTGTTATAAAAATGTGATTCCTGTTACAGTTAGTTGGCACCACAATTTACCTTCCAATGTTTGACACACATTACCGCGGTATGTTACAATATTAGATTTTTGTCGTTGACAATATAACTTACCATACTCATTCCAGTAACTTGACTCTAGAGTATACTCATATGGAACATGCTTAGTAGTAATACTAGTATACAACATGTATTTAGTCCATCTTATTTGGAAAAGATAGTATATGTTTATAATTTAGTATTTTGTACAAAGGTTCATCACAAAGGCCAGTGCAAAGTGCAACTGCAGTACTACAGTTACGCCATAGTTACGTCAGCCACAGGTAAATCTGACCCTGCAGTTTGGAGACAAATCGCTAGAGGCCACTGCTACACGGTCCATGGGCCAGGTTTCGTCCTGACGTTTCGCCGACGTCAGGACGTTTTGCAGTCAAGGGAACGACTATTTCATACTCTGAAAGTAATTAATTCTAACAATAGCGATAATCATTAAAAAAAAAAACAATTTCAGCTAAAAACATGGGACGGCAAACCATAACAGGAAACTGCAATTTCGGCGGCGTTTTCGGGAATGTTGCTACGAAAGAGACCCTACATTTACTATTCAACATCACCATCTCTTGATCAGCACCAAGGTCAGCACCAGTTAACATTTACATTCGGAACAGGCTTGACCGTGCGATATTCTGATAAATAAAGATTTTTAACAGCAGTTTCTTGCTACAAATGCAATTAACATTGGATCCTTCTGAATCGCCGCAAAGTTAGGCTGTTCCAGGCTACGAGATCCTGAAAAGCCGCACGGTCAAGCCTGTTCCGAATGTTAACTGGTGCTGACCTTGGTGCTGATCAGCAAGAGGCCTGGAGCAGAGAAACTCTACAGAGGTGTGTGCTTTGAAGATAAATCGCTAGAGGTCGCTGCTGCATGGTCTAGCATTGTTGACCTCCAGTGCAGTGATTCATATGCAAATCGTATTTTCTACCACTGTACTGTTGTGATTCGTCTGCGGGATTATATCTGTTTTCACCCCAAATTATGGTTGTCCCTTATGCTTGTCTGCTCTGTTAACTTGATGTACGGAGGGTCGGTGGTCTTCAAATCCCGCTAAATACTCAACAACGCGACCAATTCTACCGTATACCGTATCGCGCACCAAACACAACCGGGCCGCCATGTTTGTTTACATGTTCGGTGATGTTGAATAGTAAAAGTAGCGTCTGTTTCGTATCAACATTCCCGAAAACGCCGCCGAAATTGCGGTTTCCTGTTGTGGTTTGCCGTCACATGTTTTTAGCTGAAATTTTGTTGTTATGATTATCGCTATTGTTAGAATTAATTACCGTCAGAGCATGAAATAGTCGTTCCCTTGACTGCAAAACGTCCTGACGTCGGCGAAACGTCAGGACGAAACCTGGCCCATGGACCGTGTAGTAGTGGCCTCTAGCGATTTGTCTCCAAACTGCAGGGTCATATTTACCTGTGGCTGACGTAACTCTGACGTAACTATAGTAGTGCAGTTGCACATTCCACTGGCCTTTGTGATGAACCTTTGTACAAAATACTAAATTAAGTCACTCACAGCAACATTTTCTGTTATGTTTCGCCGTCGCATGGTTTTAGCCGTTGTTGTGGTTATCTCTATGGTTAGAATTGAAGTTATGATTAGCGTTAGAGTTGGAAATAGGCGCTCTCTTGACTGCGAAGCGCCCTGACGTCGGTGAAACGTATTGACACTATCATGCTGATGGACCGTGTAGCAGTGGCCTCTAGCGATTTGTCTCCAAACTGCAGGGTCACATTTACTTGTGACTGACGTGTTGGCTAAACTGGAGATTGTTGAATCTAGTTGTAAAAGGGAGCCTTTGAGAAGGGATATTCTGATAAATAAAGATTTTTAACAGCAGTTTCTTGCTACAAATCAACCACAGATTTGCTGGGAGTGTCTTTAGGGTTACAATTGGTTTATTTGAGAAAGAAGTAAGTCTGCATTATATTGCTGCGAAATGCCATCGCCTAAACTGTTTTTGCGATCAGCTGATCACTTGCAGAACTGGTCACAAGCTTTGCAGAAGCGGAGTTTTCGCCGTCGGAGATATTACCATATGAATGAAAACCAAGCAGATGACAGTGGGGCTGGAGGATTGTCACTGTATGCGATTTCCCCGCTGACATCTGCTTGGTTTTCTTTCATATGGTAATGTATCCGACGGCGAAAACTCCGCTTCTGCAAAGCTTGTGACCAGTTCTGCAAGCGATCAGCTGATCGCAAAAACACGTTTTGACGTATAACTCAAGAATGAAGCAATTTGTTTGGAAGGCAATAAGTAGGAATACAATAGAGACAGTAAGGAGTATACTCTGAAAAGAGGGAGCCGGGAAAATGTAAAAAGTTTCATTTTTCTAAAACTAAAACATCGGAAATTCATCCCCTATCACACCCCCGTTTTGGAGCCACCGTTCCGAAAAGGGCCGTATCTCGCTAACGAAGCCTCGCCCATTCCCAGATTTGGCCATTTCGCGAGTGGGAAAACGCGATGGGCTCTTATGGGGGGTTTGCTTCAGGTCTTTTCGGCGCTCATTCTTGGCCTTGAAACTATTTTTGACAGCACAAATACCGGGAACTAATCAGAAATAGACTATTTTATTAAAAGACTTTTTAATTCTATGCCTTTCTTCACCAGAGGAGCTTGTAAAAGCGGTTAAATCCAGAGTTTTTTGGTCACTCATCACCAACGTTTTGGGTTTAAAATGTTCCATAGTTTCAGAATCGGTGCAAATATTCTCTCTTTCTCTTTCTCACACATGTACACAGTCACACATATATCAAGAACTGTCTAAACATGACATAACAAAAAAAAAAGAACATTGGTTACTTTTCTGCAACCACACTTCATTTATTGATAAATGTATAGTTGAATTATTTCATCAAATCAAGTCAAAGATATTTTACATCTAAATTCAGGCATAGGTTCAGATAAAATAAGGTGACAACCATCTTATGTTGATTCTGATGAACCTGAAAATCTTTGTGATCATGCCCACATGCGCCTGAAGATAATTACGTTAGTACATATCTCCGACAAAAGAATATGCCGTTCCTTCTTTGACAAATAAACACACTGTACTGATGTTTCAAGTTAAAACTTTTGATCCAACACAAAGAAGTTCTCTCACCTAGAGCTTTCAACCAGTCACACTGGTCTTCCTAAATAGACTAACCCAGTGAGGCTTGTCACGTGGCTTCTTTGAAGTGTGACGTCAACACAGGGTCAAACGTATCTGGTAGACGATGTCGGCCCCCGTCTCGGTTGACTGTTGACGTCTCTTCAAAGAAACCACATGACAAGCCTCACTGGGTCAGTCTACTGAGGAAGACCAGAGTGTCTGTAACTATCAACACAGATGGATTTTAATGAAAGTATATCATGACTGTTGATGGACAATTCACAGCCTACAAGGACATGTCCGCAGTTAATACGTTCTGATATGTGTACATTTAGATTACGTCGATGAAGGTTAGACACCCTGAAACTGTTACTCAAGTAACTGGATAGATTTGAACACTGCCAGACTCTTCAAGTAGTATCCACTACTAAATACAGCTAGTCACTGACAAAAAGTGGGTGCCATTTGAAACGTCTGACAGCTTTCAAATCTATCCAGTTGCTTGAGTAATGATTTTCTTGTATACATTTAGATTACTCCCCATTCGTGGATCTCCTGGAGAATCCTCAGCAGATCTGGATCCGCAGGCAGGATCATCAGACGGATGAAACGGGTGATGACCCCGCGGAGACAGTCGGCTTTGAAGTCTGCCTTCAGCTGTTCCAGCGTGTAGCTCTGTAAGGCCGAGGATTCTGGAAGAACAAGTTCTCCGTTAAAACGCGAGGCGAAAGTTCTTATATCAAAAACATATATGTATTGATACATGTACTTATTTTTCTTATCATTACAAACGATGCAAAAACAAAAAAAGGCAACGTAGCATTCAATTTGATTATCATCTTCGACATGAAAGTTACATTCTCGGTTATACCATAGCGGAGCGGTTGTGGTCTGGGTGTGTGTCAGCAGTGTAACTCGGGAAGCTGAGTCAGTAGAAGTTGTGAAAACGAAGGTCAAGTTGGAAAATGGTTCACCTGGCGTTTTCGTACGGTACTGCAGCGGGATGTGTATGTGTGTCTGTAGGTATGCGTACGACATAACTCGAGACGCTGTGGATGGTTGTGCATGTTATTTAATGGATGGGTAAGGGTTGCAAAGAGGAAGGTCAAGTTCGATTAGGGCTTCCTAGCTTTTGAAATAATGATAGTGATAATGGTGGTTCTCACCATTTGTACCCAGGATGTTCTGCAGCTTGTGGTGATAGTGAGCCAGGATGGCGTCCCTGTGGTTGTGGAAGACGTCCCAACTCGCGTTACAGACGAAGAGCATGGCCAGTTCATAGGTCGGCGGCTGGTACCTGGGAGTCTGCCAGTCCACCAGCCTTACGTCAGTGGGTACGTCTTCCGCGTACTGTGTTCGGACCAAACACCACAGCAATAATAAATCGTCTTGTAAAGACTATCAAAGAAAGCAACAAAATCTCCTACCTGTGACCCCAATAATGTTTAGATTTTAGAAGATTGAAAATAAAAACTTTGACGTCTTACCTTGAACATGATGTTATTGACATAGCAGTCTGCATGGTTGAGCACCAGCCTCGGGTCCTTCTCCGAGAAGTGCGGCTGAAGGTCTAACTTCTCCAGGCGAGCTACGAGGTCGGCCTGGTCGGGAAAAGTTGCGGCGAATTCCTTCACAGCGGCCTGATAGTGGTCTGCTGATACAGTCATCATAGCCGAGAGATCTGAAACAGTCATGATACAGTCGTACTTCTCGGAAAGACGGACGCCCAAACGGAGCTCCAGGTGGTGTGACAGGCCGTGCAGCTGCGCCAGGGCCCCGGCTGCAAGCATCATCTCCTCACGGCTCAGCGGCTGGCCGTTGGCTTTTATGGAGAAGCCCTGACTTTTCAGATTGTCCATAACCCTGACGGACACCATGGAGCTTGGATCGGTGGCGGCGAAGTAGCATTTTGGGATGAACCACAGGGGATTAGCAACAGGGTGAGTTTCGTCATCTTCATTCCATGGCTCAGATTTGCGCTCTGTGTTTGCCACGGAGAGGAGCTCGGGAACCGCTTCGGAGTAAAACTTGATTTCATGCGCATCTAGTTTGATCTGCCAGTCCTTTATACTCTGTTTCAGTACCTTCAACGGCCGCTCGAAATCTGTCAGCTTAGCGACGAGACTGTAGCGCTGACTCGCGCCATTCCTGGTCCCCACGGCATCAAAAGCGATGATATCGCTCATGATTCCCTTGCCTTGGCTGATAGATCCCTTGACGTGGACGTCCGTGATGGTGACGCCAGGAAGGTCCTTCTGCAGTACCTGCTGCACCCAGTAGGGGGAGATGTGTTCTGCAGACTGCGGAATGTCAATCTTTGTTGTTGTTGCCATCTTCCCTTGTCTGTATTTTACCTATCGGAATTGACAATCTGGTCAATCTTACCCAAACAACTACCCAACGTAGACTCTTAATGTATTTTGCCAACCTAAAAATACTAGCAATCACTAGCAAACTACTTTCTGAACAAAGCTCTAGTAACTTTCTAGCGGAACAGGCTGTACGAATACCAGAAGTAGCTTTCAGTGAGACAAAGAGTCTGTCACTAAGCTTAGAAAGCAGTTCTAGTCTTTTTTGTGAGTAGCCATGCACCCTAGCACATGTGTGATAACTATTTCCATAGAGTTGAAAACGTTTCACAGAGACCAAGCATTCTTTTTCCCACGTACCATCAGGGAATGGAATAACTTGCCTGCGGACACTGCCCTCAGCAACAATCTAGAGGGCTCTAAGTCCAAATTGTAAGCCCAGTAACCTCCACCTCCTCGGTACACATTATTTCACCCCTCCCCCCCCCCTTGCGCAGTAAACCCGTCACGGCGACAAAATCTTCGATAGGTCGAAGGTGGTCGCCTTACGGAAAGAAGGAAGAAGAAGAAGCGTTTGTACGGTAAATATAATCCTACCTGTGAGCCACAAATCCGACGCAATGTTAGGGATATCCAAGTGCTGACCCGCCACGGAATCACTTCTGCACGGAATGAAGTCTGACTTGTCTGCGTCCTTGCACCCTTCTGTCACGGTAGTGTCATGAGGAATGGTAACGTTAAACAAGACGCCTTTGTTCTTAGTGTTTTGACTGACATAGTGAAGAATGCGTGAAGATGTCTTACCCACAGGCACGTCATATTCACACCGGTGCACACCGACCTGAATTTAACCTTAACCCGCTACTGTCATTAGCCATTTCTGGTACACCCGACCATTTCTCATACGGAACAGTTGCTCTAGGAAGCGAAGTTCTAGCACAGTTGCGATGAGTTAAGACGCAAAATAGACACACTATTGCACAATCTTGAAAGTTTATTTGTGTTGGTAAAAGTCATCATGAAGCAAGTTTAAACTGTAACGTCTTGTTTGGCCGTGTAAAAATTCTAGATCTTAATTCAGTACACGGTTTTGTTCAACATAGTTGTGCATAGTTGTATGTCTTGCCCTGAGGGGGTTAGGCCTCGGCATTTTAAGTGCTCCTCGGAATTTACAACGTAAACAGCTAAATGCATTTTATCTTCGGGCATTTTACACGTGTAACAGTGAGGTTTCAAGTGCTACTAACTTACTCGTCTGACGGCGGCCCGAACCTTTTGTCCGAGCGGCTAGAGCTTGCTTTTTTTCTGAGCTGATTTTAGATAGTAGTTGGTATGTTTATTAGTCATTTTGTACATGCTCCATTAAAACATCGTGCTTGTTCAAAGTTGTGTTGCCCCTACCGCTGATGATTATGGTGACGAAGAAGTGGACGATAGCGATGATGAATATGATGATGATTATGGTGATGATGAAGATTATGGTAATGATGATGGTGAGTATGGTCATGATGAATCTGATGGTGATGATGATGATTATGGTGACGATGAAGACGATTATAGTAATGATGGTGATGATGATGATTATGGTAATATAACAAAGTATCGAGACTGCTGTCATGCTGAAGATGACGAGTGTTCAGCTGCATGTTGTGTCATCTGGATCAGTCTCTCACACAGGTCCGAGTCTTGTAGCGCCCGTTTGGTGCCAGCCTCCAGGTTTAAACACTTGGTCACATGCCTCTGTGTGGACCAATTTGAAGACGCTCCTTAAATATAAGTACAAGTCGTCATTAGAAAACAATTAAAAGACTAAATATGGACCAATAAATAGCTAGAACTAGCCTACGATACAAAACAAGCCACCGTTTTCCGTCAGTGATATCGCATTTTTACCTCACAGATCCGGTATGCTATGGGCGATAGGATTGATTCAACTTACTACTTTAAGACCCTAAAGCTAGTCTTGCTGCATTTTGTGTCTTTAATTTTAAGACTGAGGCCTTTGAGGATATAAAGTATAATACTGCCGGTTACCTGCAAGTATTTCTGTCCCAGCCAGAAGTCTTCGTGCTGTCCTGAACTCTGCCGGGTCTACTGCAGCTCTCACCGTGATCTCTCTCCCTCTCTCACTCACTCCCTCATTCACCAGGATGTCCGTCAGTACCGTCGCCACCCTGTCATGGTCATGTTCAGCCCAGAACCAGTCTAGAGCGTCAAGGTCAACAAAAAGAAGGCAAACCGTCCCCTTCTGCGCGTTAATACACGCTTTATATACCCCCATTGCCTGCGCCAACTTGGTCAAACGTTCCTTTGTGGGACCATTCTTCACAATGCTCTGGGTTATCCTTTGATCGAGCTGCTGTAGATGTTTGCCTGCTGGGTTTCTGTTGGAATACGCTGCCGTGAGTTTGACGTTAAGAACGGCACATGTGACGGGAGGCTTCTGTGTATCATACCGGCTACATGGAGGTACAGGCTCTGTCGAAGAGCGGTAGCGACATTTCCTCAAACTTGGGTGATGACTGCTCGTCACGGTGGCTGGTTTTGAAGGTGACGCCATGTTGGGACAAGGTGTGGGCACTAGCTCAGTCCTAGTAGATTGGCTAACCTGTGGATCTACAAAGGATGCCGGACACAAAGTTAGCAAGGACTTGTGGTTAGAGACAGCTTTCAGATAGGTTAGTATTTCGACCATCGTACATCGGAGCATGTCCCTTCTCACGGACGGACGCGTGGGGACGTGGATCTCCTCAAACACAGTCCTATCCCATTTTCACCAGATCTAAGTAGTGTAAATAAGGCATTTCAGGCATGAAACTACATAGGCGTGTCTATGGATACGATCAATTAGACAGAACTAATATACGACCGACTGTTGACAGAAGGGTGAATGAGCAATTCAGTGATTGTTTACTTGTTTGGGGGTAACGTTTACAAAGTCCGCCAATTAAAGTCAGGCCAGATGCCGCTATTTTATGAGTTATTTGATCTCACAGAGCATTCCACGGATATCTAAATTTGGTTTTGGCTTCGGAACGTGGATGGAATGCCTTATTATGTGCCAGAGCATGTACATATAAAAACTTTAAGTTAGTTGCATTGACGGCGGTTTTCATCACAGAGCTACATGTATTCCAGTATCAGGCAGTAAACAGGCTAATTCACGTAACAGTCTAATGAAACATTTGGGAAAAATCAATTGCAACTTGCCGTAGTATCCAGAACCATGCTTTATCCAGAACCATGTTTAGGCACGGTTCTCGGTAAAGTACATGACTGTGAACCCAGAACCATGCCGGGAATAAATCTACGTTTTTTGATACGCAGAGACTATCCAGATGCGTCCCTGATCCTAACCTTAAGTACATTCAGGCATATACAGCGCTAGATATGTACGGTTCTAGATACAAAGGAGAGGTTGAGCTCCAATAATACACAATAGTTTCACTGAGGAACGATTGATCAAAATAGTACAGTGTACATAGTACATTTTGTACCTACCTCCGTGTGGTGTGGCTCAGATGTGAGGGGCTGGGAGAATGTTCCCTCAGATAAAAAAGCCAGTTGCCCCCCGGGTTCTTCCACAGCCATGGCGTAGCCCTGAGCAGAGTCACGTTCCGTAGATTGTCTAAGTTATGAGGGGTGTAAAACCGGTGGCCAAAGTTTGCTCACTTTATCATTGCGTCAACTGAAATGCCTGAAAGCGTTACACACATTTAACAAAATGTGGACTCAGCTGTAGTTGGTGACCAAGTTACGAGAAGGGCGCTGATAATTAGCAGCTTTTGTCTAGTGATTTTCTTATGTAGAAAATTGGCCAAATACAGACATTAGAGTTCCACGATCTCATACCTTCGCCAAAGTTAACCTTTATGACTGGTTTCTCAATGATTATGCAAATAAGGTCCTCATTTGCATAGATTACGTCAATGGATGATTTTCTATACCCGAATAGTACAAGTTGTCCAACGAATGAAAATCTAATCTTAATAAACAGTAAAAAGTAAAATACAAAAAGTAAAAAAGTAAATTACAACCACACAAATATTTTTCAATTAAAATATTTCAATTTTTGGTGCAAAAATGTTACGTAATGCCCCTAAGTTTTTACATTAGTACTGCCACCATTTCTTTTACAACAAGTTGCCAGCATTTTACCACATTGTTGAAATGATATACATTTGTAGTTAGGTAATTGAAAATAAGAAGTGTTTTTATCAAAAGAAATGATACCACAGACAAGGTCTGTAACATGATGTTCTCGCTCTCTCAGTCAATCTGAAAGACTATAAGACCTAAACTATGTACTGCACAAAACAGGATGATATGTTTCCTTTACAACTCAAATTCGAGCTCAAATTCAAATACAAAATCCAGATTTAAGTTTAAAGGACAAGTCATGGAGCCTGCTAAGCAACACTTGCAGCATGTCATCATTGTGCGTGTTATATACAGTGAACATAATCGTTTACAGTCAACCTCACTTTCGAAACACCTTACAATGTAAACCAATGCATTAAAAAATTGCTACCAATTTACCACGAATCCTCAGCTTTCAAAGAAAAATACACAATATTCACCTAGTTTAAAAAAATGTAAAATATATCAATGAAAATTATTTGAAACTCTGGTCATATCTCGTATAGAGCTTCTTCCGCATTCAATTAATCTCGTCAAGTTTGAAAATTCTAGTGTATACGAGGCATTCCTTACCTTGCATGTTGATTTTTCTATGAAAACTAAACCACCTTTCTGGTTAATATGTAGATTTCCTGATCATTCTACATGTAGCAGACATGGGTCAAAACATAATCCTCGACTCAACCCACAAACTTTCGGGTACACCATTCCAAGCCTATTTACCAATGTCCTAATTGGATTGGTCAACTAACATGATTGTGACTTACATGTACAACATGATTGCACTACACTTGCATAGTTAAGATGAATGTGCTCGAAAAATATACATAATTCAGTATGTAAAGTAAAACGCTCTATTTTTACATATTGCATCTTCAACTCTTCTATATCATACAATTACATTACTGTGACATATTTTCTACTCTAGCAGTATAGCTTTCTACCACCCTATTAAATTCCCAATATTTCTGATAAAAAACAGCTTCAAACTTCAAATAATATGCAGTAACCAAATGTGTCATAACAGATGTTGACTTTTCCATGGTCAGTAGTCTTACACTTAAGACATAAAAGGTACAAGTTCAAATATTCAAGATATTGAGCCAACATATTTAAACTCCAAATGTCATTATATGCTGAAAAAGTATTTAAAAAAAGAACAGTAATGGGTAGGATATTCAAACAATGTCTTGAAAAATGGTGTCAGAGGTGGGATTCCATTACCCACACCTGGAAAACCAGAAAAATTGCACCTAAATTTTACACAAACTACAGCTATACTGCCTTACAGCTCCCCCCGTTCATCCATCTGCCGTATCCTACGATATAACGGCTCTTCTAATGTCCCTGCCGCTCGCTTGCTCTTGGGGTGGTCCGGACCGAACACCACCAGGCATGTCTGGTACCACTTCTTGAAGTGTTTGTAGGAGTCCCTGTACTGTGCCCTGTCCTCGTAGTAGATGCCGATATTGATGTACAGACGGGAGGTCAGGATGTGGTTTTCTCCGTAGGTTTGTAGACACAGAGCTAAGGCTTCTTCATACAACTGCAGGAAAATCACCAAACACAAATTCTTGAATGTAAAAAAATAAACATTTTGTTAAAAGATCACAATTTCTGATGAAAAGACCATGGTTTGATTCATACTGTTTTTTTATGAATCAGTAAGTCAGTTTTTATGAATAAGAACGTCCTTGTCTACCTGTCCATGACATTGTACAATGCATGGAGTATTGTTTAGGGTGAGTTTTTGTGTGCATGTTTTTGTGTGAGACTGTGATTACTTGTGTGAGTGTGTGTGTGTGTGTGTTTGTTTGTTTGTTTGTTTGTTTGTTTGTTTGTTTGGGCCCGAAATCACGTAGTTAAATGATGACACTTGGGTGGTACTTCTTCACTGCAGACCACAAAAGGTCAGAATTCAGAGGTTGACAATATCTTGAATGGCAAATTGCATTTTTTTTCCAAACCAGAAGAATGAAATTGGCAAATCAACAAACCAAGGTATCAAATTCGTTAGGCCTAAAAAAAACCCTGTAATGTGATTGTAGTCTCATACATGTATATGGTCTAATGCTTGTCCTTGTATTCAAGTCAAAGACAGTAATAAACAGTAACTGTTGTGCCAAACAGATTCAGGTACAAAACAGAATAGCCTGACAGCCATTGTCCATTTTGTACCCGAATTTGTGTTAGCTCTGTTGGGATGGCACCCAGGCTACTCTAAGGTAGTAAAAGTGACCCATAAACATGAGAACCCATGAGAACATCAAAAGATAATGCACTATTGGACTGAATCAAACAAAAGTAAAAACAACTCATAAAGAAATAAGACAGTAAAGCTTGAACCGGTGAGACAGTAACACATCAAACTTGAAGATAAATTGCATAAGCAGTGATTGCATATTAAGTATGCACAGAAATGCACACTTACATTGTATATGTCAATATCTGATTTCCTTATCCGGAATTGGTTGCCTTGAACAAGCTAGTCTCATTGATGATTATTGCCTGTTAAAATCATATTAGTGCAAACTTTTCTGCTGGAAAATAAGCTGCAGCATAGCAGGTTAGGCATAGTGAATGCTTCAGAGGCTTTGGTGTCGATGTTTATGATTGACTCCATGAAGCAATGCCACACAGCGTTTTGCAGTGCAGAGGGAGAAACAGGTTTGTACTGGAATGTACCATGCATGCACGGGGGTGGTTATCACTCCCCATCCATCTGCCGTGCAATCATTTTGTAGTAATCCTCATTCAGCGTCCCCTCTGCTCTCTTGGTCCTGGGATGGTCCGGGCCGAAGACCACGGAGCAGGTCTGGTACCATTTTCTGAAGTACCTGAGTGCCTTCTGGTACTGCTGGTGGCTCTCGTGGAATATCCCGATGTTGACGTACAGACGGGACGTCAGGACGTGGTTTTCACCATAATATTCGAGGCACAGTCTAAGTGATTTCTGGTACAGCTGATTTGGGAGCGGAGTTTTGTTAGGACAACAGTTTCTAATCAGTCCCGGTGCATGTGTGTGTGTGTATGTGTGTGTGTGTGTGTAGAGGCTATGATTTGCTACCAACACATCATGTTTTTGTCTTGGGCTCCTACATATACATAGTAGGCTGTGGAATTCACTCCAAGCCTCAGTTTTACCTGCTAATTTAGATGTGAACACTTTCAAGACTGCAGTCCTCTTCAAGTCCTCATAGACCTATTGTATTGTATGGTGCACTTTTTGTGTTGTAAATGTGTATGTACTTTGAGGTGATTTGATGTGATATAGTCGAATGAGCCGTGCTTGATTAAAAAAATATGCATGTTGTGTCATATGTAGTAAGCAAAGGAGAATCATGTGACTGTTTTAAAGAATATAATTATACACATGGGTACATTTGTGTGTGTCATTGCACATGTAGCTCAGATAATCAACAAAATGGAAGACTTGCATGATTGCTGAGATGAATTCATGTGTACTCATATCTACATTGTAGCACCACAGTTATTGTATACCATTATACTATGACAGGTGGTTAACATCAACCCTGTCATGTATACGTACCTCCAGCTGAACCTGACTGCCTCTGTCTGCTAGGATGGCCTTGGTCATGATGGCTTCAGCAAGGTGCCCATCATCTCGCAACTTGGGAGAAAAAGGAGAAAAAAATGATCAATATGATGATGCATCTATTGGAAAAATGGGTTTGTCTGTCTTGTCATGTCTCTACATGTATGCCTACCTCTATCCTTCACACTAATTCTTTTTCATGAAAAAAATCTAATTTCTCTGATATTTGCAGAAAATAATGGAGTGGGTCAGAAAGAGATTCATCACCTTCCTGATACCGGTAATCTTTCCAGTACCGGTAAAATTGTGATAACAGAAAAAAAATTCAGGCTGGCTAGAACACTGCAGCTACAATCAGACTACTGTAACAGAGCACGTCGGCAGAATGTACTGCACCTGCGTGAAACCCGTAATGTATTGTACATAGCACTTCAGCAGAATGTCTCATATAAGGTTGTTTTCGCTCATATAAGGTTAGCATTTCGACAGTAGTTTCCAAATGTTATGTCGGAAAGAATATCCTCTGCAACAGGCAAAATTCTGATGCAACGTTGACCAAAACCCAACAAAAAACGCGAAAATACTGTTTCTGCCGACGTGCTCTGTAACAGTAACTGTAACTGTACTGAGTAACAGTCAAATTTTGTACTGACTTGTTTGAAAGTCTCCATGGCCAGGTCGATGTGTCTGTTGCCCTCCTGTGATGCCCGTGCCTTGTTGAGGAACGCCGCTGCATCGGGGTACTGCCTCTCATCCAGGAGACACGCCTGCCAACTCTCCATGTTAAAGGCCAGCTGCATCCGGGTTTTGGCGAGCTTAAACTGTGGGCAACATTCCAAATGTGACTTCACTCTGAGGGCTCAAAATGTTCTTTCTGCATACCTACACTGGTGCAGGTAACAATCATCGAAAATTACCTGAACCAGACAACTTTTACCTACACTGCTCAGACTTTAATGTATATGGATCATACTAAAAACTGTTCAGAAAACATTGCCATTAATTCTTTTTACTTCCAACCAAGCGTGATGCAGAATACCCTGTATTTTATTTCTATCCTACCCATTATAGAAAATTCAGTCATTTCAAAATTTGGTGTCCCTGAAAAAAAATTATCACAGCATCAATTCCAATTCCAACTGGTATTCTGGTATTCGACTTTTCAAATGTAGTGCATGTGGCGCAGGCCAAATAGGTGCGATTTATTCATAATGAAACTTTTGGAACCCTGTGTAATAACCAAATAGAGCCCTGTATGATACAGCTAGTAGTTATCACACAGGCTGGAACACCATATTGACTGTTATCACAGCACAGATATTACACAAAATAGTGTAAGGTGTTACCTTGTTTTTGTCTTCCTGAGGTAGAGTTTCCCTGAGCTCCACAGCTTTAGTGCCGTTGTCAATCGCTGGCCTGAGTTCTGTCAGTTGCTGAGGACTCACAAAGTCATACAGCTTCAGTTTCTGTAGGTAAAAACAAGTAGTAAATTGTTTGTAAAATACAATGTCATTAATAAATGTATACAGTAATGTTACAGTAGCTACATGTAGTAAGTATTGTTGTATGCAGATTCGTTGATGAAAGTTAGACATCCAGGTATTAACAAAATCAAACTCTACTACTGGATAACTTCCGGTCATTTCGAGTGACATTCACTTTAAAATTTATGAACTGAACTGAGAGAACTTATAACGTGAAGCATAGTATGATGTTCAGTCCAGTGTATACTCCTATGCAATCAATGTTAAAAGCACAATGCCTATTGTACAATGTACAGTTATAGGACCTGGTGTATTTATTAGGTTTGGTTAACACAGAACTGTGGCTGATATTGTTCAGTACCTCAGTATAGATGGTTGCTGTGAGTTCGTACACCTGAGCCATCCTTTCTGGCCGCCCTCCCAGATCGTCCTGCTCGATCCTGACCGCGGGAGCGAGCATCTCCTCCGCACCTTCATGCCGTCCTCCCTGAGTCCTGTACAACACACAAGCAAAGGTGGTTAGGGTAGTTGAATCTGAAGGTTCTGGGTTCGAATCCCTGGCAGTCCCCACTGTTCTACCCTTGGTAAAGGCACTTAACAAATGTTTCCTCACAGTCTTGACTCAGGTGCAAATGCATACCTAGCTTTGGTTAGGGAGGACGAAATCTGAATTCAACTCCTATCCTCTAGGATAGGATGTTAAGTCAGAAGTTCCGTTTTTGAGGAGAGCCACACCTCATCAAGCATGTTAAACATCCCACAACATGTATTGAAAAGAGTAAGGCTTTTGGGGTTCTTCCCTGCATGTCACTGAGTAGTCCAAATCTTACAGTCTGCTCTGAGCTTAACTACTTTAAAGAATGACCAAATTGACTTTGAAACTCCAGTTTTACTTCCCAGACATTGCTTTGGATGATTATAAGGACATCTCACTTACATGACTCTGGACACCTGTAGGTATCTCAGGCCCAGTGTCTCCTTGGGGACATCCCCCTTATTCTCCAGCTCCTTCAGAGATGTCTTGTACCTGGTCTCCATCTCTTCTGCTCCTCCAGCCTGGATAAAAGAACCAAGATTTCAGATGATTTTCTTGATGATAAATGTCAGACTAGTTCTGGACAGAAATCTGAATTTCACTCCATTGCCTTAGAGAGACATCAAATTTTAGATTGTTCCACTTTGACTCACAGCTCTCCAGTAAGCCAGCAGCTGACTGCTGTAGTCTTCATTGTACAGGTGATCAAACACGTCCCACTCCAACAGGCACTCAGCCAGTCTGCTGTGGTCACCTATCTTGGTCAGCTGGTAGGGGTACTCCTGAAAGGTCATAATATATAATGTCATGTACAAAGTGAGTATTACATGTACTGTCTGAAACTTTCATGTCAATAATTGTCAATAGCTTTAAATCTTCTTTATACTGATAAATCATTTCATAATGGCCAAAATACATTTTTGTACCAGGTTAACAGGTTGTTCTATAGGGATGATTTTCATATGTTTATATGATTATTCATATAAACACAGAAATCAACTTTTAGTAATGTTACTGTTGCCTTACCTCCACCCTTCTGTCTATGTTCCCCACATGTTGGAAGAAGTTGGCCAGTTTGCTGTGCCACCAGTTGTACCTGGCCTGGACCCTGTCTTCATCTGCATCATCAACCAGGAAATACCTACGGAACAAACATTCTAAGTACTTCTACCATTTTAAAGTATTATGTAGTAGATATTCCTGTGATGTAATCTTTAATCCATTATGCCAATTGAAAGTAGTCAAAGGTGACATTAAAGGCATCCAATGCCATCTTAGTCAGCAAAACTGGATAATCAAGTTTTCTGGTCATTCTTTTAATGTCGTGGTAAGTTGAATTAATCCTATCCCATAGCATACTGACATCTGTGAAGCAAAAATGCAAATTACGATGTCACTGACAGAAAACAGTTGCTTGTTTTGTATTGTAGGCTAGTTCTAGCTAACTTGTATTGATGGGTGGTGCCCAAGTCACCACTTGTACTTGGTTTTTAAATTGCCGTCCTGAAATTTCATTGGAAGCCTTTAAATTACTGCCATCCTATAATACATGTACATGCAGAATATAGATAATGATGAATGAAATATATGATTTTATGACCTACTTTGACCTGACAGCTTTGCTGAGGGACCTGTGGTAGAAATCTAGTCTGCCCTCCCCACTCTCACCAAACGGGCGCAGAAATGTGCGCAATCCACGGTAAACAACCGCCCACTTTGCCATCGGTAGAATCTCAAGCTTTTCAACGTTGGCTTTTCCTGAAAAAAAATTTCAGAAACTTTAAGATTAAAAACAATAATTTTAAAGTTGTGGTAAGGTATAAATTTTGTCATGTACACGTGACACTGTGTAACAATGTAGCAAGCAGTGCATTTTAAATGTATTGAATTTCAAATTTTTGAAAGCTCCGAATTATTCTATGGAACATTTGGAAGCCTCTGGGATAACTAAAATGTAAATAGAACCTGACTGTGTAATACATGTACTGCTAGTTATTACACATATCAGAACAGTATTGAACGTTTTCGCAACCCAGGTATGACAATGTACTACTGCCCTTACCTCGTTTTTTGTGCGGCATGTCTTTAGGCATGAGGTTGTCCTCATCAGCCAGTATCCTCAACAGTTCAGTCTCCAACAGTCCGGTGTTGGAACACTCCAACAGACACAGAGTAGCCACCAACAGGTGACCACCATTTTCCTCTTCAAACCTTTCCAGAACCTGTGTCAACAAACTGGAACCACCCATTGTACAATTACCATTTCATCAAGAACATCATATTGGCATTAAAATTTGTACTTATTTTTGTCTGGTGCAGGGCTAATGTTACTTGCAACAGTGCAAATATGCAGAAAAAAAGGATTTTTAACACTGAACATTATGAATTGCATACACAAGGAGTGTAGATTCATTGAAACAAAATACATGTAAGAACACTTGGAAGCCTGTGTGTTAACCAAATAGAACCCCATGTGATATCTCTTGTTATCATATGGGCTGAAATATCTGTGTGGAATGTTATCACATTTTAGATTTATACATATTATACATAACCCAGAGCTTACTTTAAGAGTCCATCTGCAAGACCCTCGATCTTCTTGGAGACTTTCTCGAACACCCCGTAGACCCTGAGCTCCTCACAGGCGATGGACAGCCAGAGGGGGTTAGCTGAGGAGTCCTTAGACAGCAGACTGTTCATCTGGGAGTGGTCCAGTCTCTTGTTGTACTTTGATAACATCGTCCGCACTATTTCCTGGGGAAAAAAAGGTGGATACCTGATTGGTCAGGAGATCAAAGGACAATGTTCAGAGCACCCTGACCAACACCAACCTACAGTGTAAATAGCCTTTTCACTGAGTCAGCACCTATTCTTGTCTCTGATTGGCAAATCTTAGTCAGTGCAAAACAAAATTTTGCAAGCTCATAGGCTATCTCTAAAAGTGCCCTGCTCTAACTTAAGCAAAGAGTAGAGTGCCCAGATGTAATGAAGGGTATAAAAGGAAGTGTTATACCACCTTCTGTCATTGTGATGAATGAAGACTTTTGATTGAATTTGAATAAAAAAATTGAAACTGGTAAATCTCATTCTTCTGATGCCCAATTGACTTAGGGTGGGAAATATAACCGGCTGCTGCTGCACTACATGTCTGCAAAGCTGTTGTGTTACTCTGAGGGGCTGTTATACCAGCTATAAAGTCTTCATACAATTAATACAAGTACCTGTCTTGCTTGTTCATCCAGTGGCTCCAGTGTGGTTTCAATAGGCTTGATGGACCTGGTCTTGAGGGCCTTGTGAGGAGGTGTGTCTCCAATCATGGAGAACACACATCTGATCTGAGGAGCCAGTTTCCCCGGCAGCCAGCTCATGTTCATGGCAGCAGCAACCTCCTCAAACTGGGAGACAAAAAATAAAAATAAAAACATTAGTCACAGTACTACATGTAGTCTTAATCTGCTCAGTCACACATAATTCTCAATTCAGGGCTACTTATGGGGCATTCATACAGACTGAGTCAACTTTTGCTTGAAAAACTTGAACTAGTTGCATGTGTATAACACAGCCACTTTTTATGCAAACCTTCAAGCCAATGCCTAGCTGGGGCATGAGAAAATGAGACCATCACATAAAAAAGTCTTCAGTTTTTCATATTAATAGTATTCATCAATCTCTAAAACAAATTCATACCTTTTACATGATACATGGATTCAAAACCATTACAAATCAAATTTGTATGTCTGTTGAGATACAGGCCTCAGTAGTAAGACTGACAATACCTGATTGACAGCATCTAGGATGATGACAGTTGGTCTGGTGTTTGGGTTGGACAGCACTGCTGTCGTCAGCTGTACTGTAGACTCTAGGTCTTTGGGCATGGTGGAGTCCTGGAGTAATACAATCATAATCAACATAATTAATCATTATTGTAACAAGATGTTCACAGTGTTAAACAGAGACCATCTGTCCTAACAACTGATCAGGTAAGCACGTCGGCAGAATGAACTGTGCCAGTGTGAAATCCGTAATGTACAGTACTGTACTATTTGACCCAGTGTTGACGTCACACTTCAGAGAAGCCACCTTTTCAAGGAAACCAGAGTGACTAGTCAAAAGCTTAGTCAGAACAAGTTCTCTTTTGTTGGAACCAAAAGTTTTGACTCTGAACATGATAAGAAGACTTGTTACTCACATTGACCACGCCCAATTCCTTCAGCAGTCTCTTCAGCATGAGTTCCAGGTCTGTGGATCCTGGTGTGGCACCAACAAAGTGAAAGAACACATGCCAGCCTTTGTCTCCTGCCCTGAAAGATCCATTATATACAAGCCTCTCATTAATCTTAAGTTCAGTGAATTTCAAAGTTTCATCATGTTGGCAAGGAAACACTGTTCTTATGACACAGAGATTGTAATAATTATCAGTTTTGACTCAAGGAAGACTTGTTAAGTGAATTTCAAAGTGATCCAGTTAAGCTCAAAAAACTCAATGAACAGTTCAGCAATAACTCTTTAACTAGTCATGACAGAGATGGCAGACAATATGTACAGTGCAGTACAGGTTCATTGTACCAGGGAAATTCCCCTATCTCTCACAGTGGACCAACATTGTGAATGTCGAGTGAGAAATTTTTCTGTGTCCAGAGGCAGGGTCAAAACTACATATGCTACTACACGTACATTTGTACATGTACATGACAACTTGTACAGGGGACATAGGGTTAAGTATATGACAGATCAGACCATACATACCCGGGGATTGTGTTCTGTAGGGCGTTAACAACTGTATCGTTGGCTGTTCTTGCCATGACAGCAGACTTCCCTGACCCTGGTCCTGCCACTAACACCAGCGGTGCTTCTACTGCAATCCCAGCAATGTGGTCCTGAATCTGTGGCACAAACAGGTTAAACATGTTAACTTTTCATTATAGCTCTTTCATTTCACGTGTTGGTAACACATCAAAGACAATGAAATTTCGGGCCGTCGGGCGATCGGACCCATGGCATGGTCGAACTGTTACCTCTGGTGATATGGAATACACTGCGTACATGTAGTATTCTATATGACCCGAAAGCAGATTAACTTTGACATGACATTTCAACTGACCTCTCTCAGCACCAGGTCCCTCCCCAACACCACCTCCGCACGGTTCTTCATGAATGACTGCAAGATGGAGGAGACAAAATCCAACAGGAATTCTCGGTTCATGTATTTGCCACTACATTCTTTACATCTACTTTTATTCACATGTATCCACTATACCTACTCTGCTCACATCCAAAACAATACCTCCACTCCAGGAGGTAGTTATCTTGTGGTATCTGTAGACAACAGCAGCTATGAAATTAGATTTGTTGTTTTCATAAAGGATTGATATTTAAAACGTCATTTATTATATTATAATAGTATTACACATACTTATAATGTTCTCCAAATCTAATTCTCAAAAAATACAACCAAACGACCCACCTCGTGAGCCTCCCTCTGTCTCTGGTAAGGGTTGGCAGGGGTGTTATCAAGGGGATACTGCCTCGAGATCCTGTCTTTGAAGAACTCCAGAACCTGCAAAAATCATAGAAGCCTTAGGGCAATCAAGGTATGACCAGATAATGGATGAATGGATGGATGGATGGAAATAAAAAAAGTTTCTGGAAGAGGAGTTTCCAAGGTGAATCTTACCTTTTGTGTAAAGACCCCATCCAGCCCCTTCAGATATACCTTGTCCCTGTCCTTGTCGATGTAGTCAAACTCACAGTCATAGTAGATCACTCTGTTCTCCTGGGGGGAAATACACAAGGACAATCAAACATAGTACTGAATCCAAGCACTCGCAGCAGTAAACTTGCTGGCCACCACTACTACTGTTTGTGAAAGATAAACTGTTAATAGTAATTATAGTAAAATTATTATGTTCTCGTCAGTTGGTAAAATATTACAGAGTACTGTCAATAATGTCACAGCTGGGGTGGTATTTAGTCAATTTGGAAGGTAAATTTCAAGACTAATCTACCCCTCAAAAATCATGACCATAGCATGTCTAGAAGACAAGACACCAAACCTGGAAGTGTGACTGCAGTACCCTCTAAAAGCCACTAGAATGTCAAACTTGACCTTTGTATTCCCGACCCAACCTACCTACCAAATATCATAAAGACACATCTTCAGTTGTCAGAGCTACAAAATTCCAAACAAAAAGGCCCACTGCAGTTTTTTTAAAGCAGCATATTTGGCTACAATGTCATGTATGTGTGACCCAGGCTTTAACTAACAACACAATTAACTTCCATGGTAATACTGACTAGAAGAGTTAAAGTTAGAGAGAGAGTTAGAGATCAACTTGAAGATGAAGGAAACCTACTGAAAATCGATTCTGTAACATGGTCTTCAGCATCTTCATCTTATGAGATGCCATGGGGTTGTCGTCCAAAAACTCCTTTTTGTGAAGGTCTGGTACAGTGTCCATAAAGGAGGCATTTCTGATCATGAACAGAGCTGTCGGAAGAACAAAGAAAAATATGAGGAATGTGTGTGAATTGTGTTGACAAATCATAATCAATATGCACTTTTTTACTTGGCTTACTCCACTACACGGAAGTAAAAGTTTTGGAATAACATGTTTTGGAATTCTCCAGCACCTGAAAGATTTTTCCCCAACTTTACTCCAACAAGCATATTTGTACATAATTATTGATAGATACACAGTACAGTATGCAAGTAGTGTCTGTCTAAAGTTCACAGGGTTACAGACTTTAACATATACAGCTGTTTCTACATAGTACATGAAAAAGTTGCAGAATGTAAGGTAAGAAGGTAAGAATATAGCATATTTTGCTAGGGATACGTGCAAATGATTATAATCCCCCTAAGAGTATAGATGATGAGTTCATTTCTATATTCTATATTCTATACTGCTGAAAGATGAGAGCGTGAGACTCACAGTTTGGGTTGTCTCTCCTGTAGGCAGCGTGCATGATCTCCATCTCAGTAACAGACAGTCCAAATATCCAGCGATACTCGTCAACAACAGCCTGGGGGACCTCTTCTACTGCAGGCACCCAACCGCACCGCTCACTAAAATATACATGTACAACACCATTATATAGTACAGAATTAAGTTTCTTTAGTTCACAAATTCAAAGTTTTCATGTTTAAACATTCCATGTTTAGGCCATACCAAGTCCAGAAGATCAGGTCCAGTTCTGAACCGGAGCCTGGACCTGATTATACATTGTACAGTCACTGTTACCGGTATGATGTTTATTTGTAATGCACAGACATATCAATTTAGGCTAATCTAGGTTCATTCAGGATTACTCAGTATCTCTTTTATCCTTTATAGCCTGATTACCTATTATACTGTGACGGTCTGGTATTCATAATTTTTTGTGGTACTTTTAAGTTAAACTTTTGCAGGTTATGTCGTTACAGTACTGATATGCAGGGTACATGAAATAAGAACATACCTTGTCATATTGACAAAAAATGGCATGACGTTATCCTGGTGACACCTGTCAATCTCACTCAGACATGTGCGCAGGGTGGTCTCTGTGGTGGTGTCTTTAGGGACGCCCTACATTATGTACATGTAAATAGCACAACCTATTTTTTTGAAGACTTGAAGTTTAAAGACTTATCAACATTTACATTGCATAAGAACAGCACAATAATGCAAAAAAGTCATAACAGGAAACTGCATTTACTGTCATTGAACTACAGTATGTCAGGAAATTTCTGTATCCTGGGAAATTGGGTGCACAGCTCCAATTTTGGGTGCACTAAGGTGCACATGCACCTAGTATTTCGAGCCCTGACATAGCAGGGCTGTCCTATGGCAACATTAATTTTGTAGCTCCTGACAGTCAGGTTGACTTGTGTTTTATAATCCATCATTATTAAGGTATGTACGTCATCTCCCTGGCAACCTGATAAACAACATGCATATTTTATAACTCAGCAGACCTTCAATGACATTTGAGTGGACCTGAGTTTTGTTTGTCTTCTTTGTCTTCTAAATGACCTACATTTTACACATAACTGACTGAGATAATTGAGAACAAGTTACTGCTGCAGAATGAATAAACATTTTGATTCATGTCCACCTTTTTTATACCTTTTTTCTGCACCTTTTTTGGGAAGATGCCCTCTTTTTGATGGGAACATGCCCCTAGACCCTATTCAGCACTCTGCATAGCAAAAGTAATTGAGATGATGGGAAAAAATCCAGGCTGGCTGGAAGTCTGGAACATTGATCTACATTTATTTGTGTGAACTCACCCATCTCAGGTCACACTCCACCAGATGTAGCCTCCTACTCTCACACCAAAGTCTCAGGTCAGGGAACACCTAGAAATCCAACACATTCTCACTGTCAACTTCTTGTTTTGAACTTAAAATACTGTATTAGTGTAGCGTAAAGATTGTAACTTTTGCAGATAACTTTATAACTCTCTAGAAATGAGTCACCTTACCTGTTTTACCAACATTTCCCTTTCTGCTTTGAAGTCCTTGAATGTTGAGGACACGAATATTCTGATGGTTTTCCATCCCGACCTCTTGATCACAAGGTTCTTGCCCTTTTCAGCAGACTTGTCCACTGTACCTTCAACCTGTATTCAACAGTATAACAGAATGTCAAAAGAAAATACATATAATTTGTCTGTTTCTAGCAGCATATACAAATTCTGTACTACCCAACAAACAAACACAAAATGTTCACTGCAGTAACTTAGAAACCTGCCATAAAGTCCATTCTCGGACTTGACCTTTGTCTCTCCAACTGTAACTTGCCAACCAAAAACCATGAACATTCATCCATGGCTTCTAGACTTATCCTGTTCTTAAACAAACAAACAAACAAACAAACAAACAAACAAACAAACACAAAAGGTCCACTGCAGTAATGAATGAATTTACCATCAGGCCCATTCTCATACTTTGTCTCCCCAACAGTAACTTGCCTATCAAAAATCATGAACATCCACTCATGTCTTCAAGAGTACTAGTTGTGCCACCTACATCTACAGTCACTCCACCATATCCAAACCGAAAACATAGCCTTCTGGCAGAGGTAATAATCATTTCAATGACTGAAAGCCACAACATCTTTGTCCATGAGCTTGCTGTTTTGAATCTCTTAATTCAGAAACTTCCCAATGCCAACAAAAGGAAGCAAAAGAAAACTTATATAACGAATACATAAATACATAAAAAACAGGGTTTTGCGATATGAATATTTATAACTCAGGGTTTACATAATAGGAATTAAGCCAGACTAATTTAGACTTATATAACGTTTTATCATAAAACACTGCACTGCGGCAGAATTCCACCACTGACGTGTCCTAGCCTACAAGGAAACTACAGCAGGACAAACCGGCCTTTAGTTATCAACCTTCTTCTGACATCAACCAACTGAAGATACTCTGACTAGCCTTTGGTAAGACCTAAGGTAAGACTGAAGAAATTTTCAAAGGTAAGACTTTACATTTTCTGTTTATGTTAGAGGTATTCATATGCCAGGGCACAGACTTTCATTCTACCGGCAGAAATCCCTGTGCGAGTACCAACAGAAACTCGTCTTGTTAGTGTGATGGTCATTCAGTACCATGGACAGTACTATCAGTGTGGCTGTCATTCAGTACCAAGGACAGTGTTGTAAGTGCTATGATCATTCAGTACCAAGGACATTGTTGTAAGTACTATGGTCATTCAGTATCAAGGACAGTGTTGTCAGTATGGATGTCATTCAGTACCAAGGACAGTGTTGTCCGTGCTATGGTCATTCAGTACCAAGGACAGTGTTGTCAGTGTGGATGTCATTCAGTACCAAGGTCAGTGTTGTCAGTGCTATGGTCCTTTAGTACCAAAGACAGTGTTGTCAGTGGGGATGTCATTCAGTACCAAGGACAGTGTTGTCAGTGCCATGGTCCTTTAGTACCAAGGACAGTGTTGTCAGTGTGGATGTCATTCAGTACCAAGGACAATGTTGTCAGTGTGGATGTCATTCAGTACCAAGGACAGTGTTGTCAGTGTAGATGTCATTTAGTGTCAAGAACAGTGTTGTCAGTGTGATGGTCATTTACCAAGGATACTAAGGATAGTGTAACATTGCTGTTAATGTGACATCTGAAAGTTTCAGCAGTCGCTGATCACCATGTGTTAACTTATATACTTCTTAAGGCTAGGCTCATATTTCTTGCTACTTTGTTCTTGTTGTCAGGACACCATGGGAAGAATGCTGAGATACTTGCTGATTTTCCTTCTCATCATCCTGAAGGATACCAGAAGCTTCTGGCTACTCAATAATAAGCCTCACTGCCAGAGTAAAAGTAGATGTAAGCTACTCACACACTGCAAATGCGACAAACTTGGCCTCACAGGCATCCCTCAGAACCTGCCAACATCCATCTCGATCTTGGATTTGAGAAGTAATAAGATTACATCTATACGTCCGCCAGATCTCACAAGGTACAGGCACCTGATAGCATTAAACCTAGGCTACAATCAAATAATAGAAATTATGCCTGGTACATTCTCAAAACTACAAAAGCTCACAGTATTGTGGCTGTACCACAATAGCATAAATGAAATTAAGCCTGGTGTGTTTTCAAATCTACCGAATCTCAGAAATTTGCACCTTGGCCCCTCTAATCAAATAACTGAGGTTCGGGCTGGTGCATTCTCAAATATACCAAAGCTCACAGATTTGAGACTAAACAACAACCAAATTGCTGACATTCAACCAGCTGCATTCTCAAATCTTCCAAAGCTCACAACGTTGTACCTGAACAACAATCAAATAACAAAAATTATAACTGGTGTATTTTTAAACCTACCAAGTCTCACAATCTTGCACCTAACCGGCAATCAAATAATTGACATTCAGGCTGTTCCATTTTCAAATCTACAAAATCTCGCAGAGTTACACCTAGGCAAAAACCAAATAACTGCAATTCAGCCAGATATACTTTCAACTCTTCCCCTGCAGCTACACACATTGTCCCTGGATGGAAACAATATAACTGAGATTCAGCCTACGGCATTTTCAAATCTGCAACAGCTCAAAAGTTTGCAGCTGGCACGCAACCAGATAACTAAGATTCTTCCTAATGCAATTTCAAATCTACCACAGCTAAAAGATCTGTACCTAGAATCTAACAACATAAATGAGATTCATCCAAAAGCATTCTCAAACCTCCAACAGCTCCAAAGTTTGTACCTGCACTCAAACAAGATATCTGCTCTTCCCCTGTCAGTGTATGGTATGTTGGCATCTATTCCTCATGTAACAATTGACAAAAACCCCTGGCGGTGCGACTGTAAGATCATGGTTCCATTCAGGCTAAAACTGCACGGGCTTCATTCATTCGGAAACAAAATAGTTTGTTCCCATCCTGCCAAATTCTCTGGAAAGAAGCTTAAAGATATCAACTCCGAAGACCTTCTCTGCAAAGTAACAACCATATCACCTGTGCCTCAGTTAGAAAGTGGTGACAACTCCTACAATGGCACCACTTACGCATATAACACCCCTGGCTATCACTGGAACAGCAGAGAAAATGCTGGATCAACAGAACGCCCTGTAGGTACCATATTTGCCACACTGCCTGTAAATGCAAGTAAACCGGAAGGCAACAGTTCCTACAGTGGCCAGTTGGAAAGTGCTTTTAATAACAACACCTGCACTCGCACCGCTTCCAACTCCTCTTGCTATCGCTGGTACTTTAATCGAAATGCTGGCCAAACAGCACGCACTGTAGACACCACATTCACCACAAGTAAACCAGGAAACAGCACTTGTCATGTATCTGCTCCCAGTTTCCCCCCACTAGTTGTCACTGCATCTGTCTGTGGTTCAATAGCTGGCACTGTCCTGATTGGTACCGTCATTCTCGCAATCTGGTACAAGAGGAGGGGTGGGAATTCCTGTTCAGGCAAAGACCCCAAAAATGTTTCAAATGACAGAAGTCTTCAAGTGAAGACAACGCCAGCTGTTTTACAGCCAAATGATGCCTACGAAAGTCTTGACACCCCACAAAAGAACCTGCACGAGAAACAAGGCCCAGGTCAAGCAAAAAGTAGTCTTATTGATCAAAAGTTTGGTTCACCTGAAAGTTTAAGCAGCAAAGACAATACTGACCATGACCACCAGTATGAAAATAGTGACCAACATGATCAGACAGGGCAGGGTCAGTCTCGGGCCATCACTGCATCCAACACAAACACCACAACTGCTGTAGTGGCCAGTGGCCATGATGATCACCTGACAGTGTATGAAAATAGTGACCAACATAATCCCAGTGACCATGATCACCATTATGAAAATAGTGACCAATATAGGACAGGGCAGAGTCAGACTCAGGCCATCACTGCATCCAACAAAAACACCACAGCTAGTACTGCAGTGACCAGTGGTCATGATCATCAGTATGAAGATATGAGCCAACATAACAAGACAAGACAGGGTCAGTCTCAAGCCATCACTGCATCCAACAAAAACACCACAGCTACTGTAGTCACCTGCAGTGGTCATGATTATCAGTATGAAGATATGAACCAACAAAATCAGACAGGGCAGGGTCAGCCTCAGATCATCACTTATCATGATGATTTGTTCCAAAATCATTATGGTAGTAATCGAATATACTCCACAGAACAGGTCATGTTAGAGCCCAATTGTGTTTACAAATGTAAGAATGTTCAGACAGGGCAGGGCAAACCTCAACAGGCTGTCAGTGATGAACTGATGGATAATAGAACTTCTCTAGTATACACCACAGAACCGGCTGTGTCTGAGCCTAATCAAGCTTACAAAATGTAAAAATGTTCAGACAGGGGCTTTAGAATGGTCCATACTTCTTATTGCTTGCTTTAGTGCTTTGCTTTAGTGCCTATACAAAAGAGACATAGCAGTTGTACCCATATTACTACCTGTGTACTACCACTAGCCCTCTAGTGTAGTGTCGTTGTACAATTATAATAATTATATATCTATATATTATGCATCCCATTCCAGGGCTTTAGAAATAGAGTGTTGTCCTTACATATACATGTACACCAAAAATGGGGGAAGGATTTTAGCTTTTATGTAAATATTTACTTAGTAAGCCACAATTCATTCAGTGAAATCTTTACAAAATTTGTTTACTTATAAATACTAGAGATATCATTCATGCATCCATTATAAACCATTTGCTGTTTGAAGTAATTTTGATTTTCATGTCTACATGTAGTCCTTTTGATTACAGCAGGTTTCAAACTACTACGTGTTTTAACTTTAACTTCGCTGTGAATAGTGTCTCAATATGGATTGCGTCATTTTTGTATTTACTCTGTATTTGTATATCAGACCTTTCATATGGGTCAGTTGGTGCTCAGGATATATTAATCATTGATGCATAAGCATGTCGGCAAAATGTGCTGCGCCTGCACTAACCAATATTGTACAGTACATAGAAAATGTCTCGTTTAAGGTCATCCTTGCATATTTTTTTTAAGGAAAAAATTTATTGATACCCCGTCTATGGTTTAGAAATGTTGTGTTTGGAAAAGATATTATCTGCAACAGAAGAACAGAAAAAATTCTGATGCAACTTGACCAAACATCCAACAAAACTGAAAAATCCTGGTTCTGCCGACTAAATTTGCTTGATGCGTTAATTAACAACTCTAGACTGCAGGAACTGGTTAAATATTCATCTTATAATTTACACAAGAGAAATTGTATTCAGTAAATTTTTGACTAGCTTAGAGTGAAAGTAAGTATTCCACTGTACTACTGTCTGTAGTGTACTAAGTGAAAAACATTGCATTAGTCATTTTGAGCTGCACTATTAGTATTATATATTAGGCCATGTAAGATTTGCAAATCAGATTCAGGGCCAAATCCGCAGTAAGCAGATTCGTGGCCCCGTCTGAACAACTTGAGCCGGTTTAGTTTGGTCTGAGATATGTGACTTACCTGAAACCAATGTGCAAGGCTATAATAAGACTTTACCAGTATGAACAGGGTCTAAGTCAATAAAAAAAGTGTGATGCCTTGCTTCAATATATGGCTGCAATAGCCATAGCCAGCTGACTGTATTGTACATGCAATTTGTAAAATCATATTTTGTTTGGGACTATATGGCATCAATTGTCCAATATTATTTCAGTTCTCTTAGCACTCTGATTGTATATCTTCACATAGTCAAACAAACAATGTCAATGACCTGGATTATATCATGTAGCAAGTGCAAGTGGCAGGACAGAGTTGGAGGGGCTGGTCACCACATACTGTATATGTTTGTGTTTTAGTGTGAATGAACCTTAAACAGTAGTTTGTTAGGTCATAGACCATGTGAGATTGTGACCATGTGAAGGTAAACATAATGCATTTGCTTTGCAAACGTCACCTTAAGTTTCTAGCTCTTACTTAGTTACTATCATGATTTATTTTATTGAAATTAGAAAAAAAATGAAGAGGCAAACCAAATGATTAAACTGATGTGGCCTGATGTGAAGAAATGAGTCTAACCTGTAGCCATGCGTTCTCCACCTGTGACTGGTAGTTGTAGTTGTGGGACGCTCCACAGCCCATAGTTGTCTCACCTCCAGAACCAAAACACAAGAAAACTGCTTCTACAAGATGGAACTGGTAGTACTACAGAGAGACAAGAAATCAACAGACTGAGTTAAGATTACTTATCAAGCAAAATTCTTAACAACTTTTTTTCATCTACACAAATCTTTTTCCTGTATTTACGATAGTCTAATATTAAGTAAATACAGGAAGTACATGGTGTGTGCTAATAACGTTATACCTGCAAATGTCTATAACATTTGTATTCTGTAGCCTGGAATCCATCCATATGAGCTATTTGCCAGTTCTAGAGGTGCCCTGGCAAGAACTAGAAGAGTTTGCCCAAACTAGATGCTAGATTTTGCGCAAGAATTCTAAGAAAACTTCAACTCAAGCAACTGAACGGATTTTAAAAATCTATACAGTTGCTTGAGGAACTGTTTTCTTGTGTATCTCATTACCTGGATGTCTAACCTTCATCAACATTTGAAAATTTTATCCATAATATTTTTGTCCAGTTTGCCACCAAATGGTACACTGCTATGTGAGTTAGAGAAAGAAGGACTATCAGTGATCCTTGATATCCTTAAGCTTGATTAGAAGTAAATGGATGTACGTTTTTATTAGTTGGTGACAATAAAGCCAAAAATTTAGTACAAGGTGCGTTTGGTGTCACTGTGAATTCTACAAATTATAGAACCGCCATGTTGAAGTAGTCTAACACCTAAACAACAAGTTAACCACAAGCAAAACTGTGTCATTCGTGTAGTAACACGTATTATAGTCGTCAGTAAACATATGCGAGATCTGCATATGACAACGGCATGACAAAGTGAGTACCGTGTAGCTATAGTTACGACCATCACACAACTAGGCTGGATTATCAACCTTTGAGTCTAGATAAATACCTCGGATAAAACCAAGACACGCGATTTAGGACATACCATACAAAGGTACATCCCTTATCTCTAGCGTAAACGTGTTTCTCACGAAACCACGGTCTTTTCTATTCGCCACTAGACTATCGATGCAATAGCAAAAGAAGACAGTCAAAACAGAAAAATGTAGCCTAATAGTGAGAATAATTAGCAGGAGCATCGTACAGTTCATTGCTGTAGGTATGATGAGCTTTTTCACACTCTACATGACCTATAATCGGATCCCTTTTGCCCGATTCGTACCCCGTTGCAAGGCTTGGTGGAGGCTCTTTTCACCCTTCATTGGGCTCTAGACTGAAACAAGACCTACCTGAACTGTTCACATGTTATACCCAGCACCTGCCCAGCACATAAACAGTTGAATATTGCAGGAAGACGAGTCGAAACGCCACAAAAATGTCCCCGAGGCTATTTTGCTGCTCATCACCAAGGAAGCAACTTTCTCCCGACCTTTGACCTTTTCCCATCATGCCATTTGTTAGGGGCGTGTCCGTGAAAAATCAAAGGGCAATGACCTCGCGACTGAATTAGCCTTTAGCAGGCTTCAGAAGCGGCTGAAAAGAGTAGAAAGTCGCTAAATAGACAGAAAACCATGGAGTTTTTACCTCCATGAGAAAACATACAAGATACAAGGGAGCTAGTCCGTTAGGTGAGTACTGTTTGCTGCTCCATTTTCGAAGACCAACTCCCCTGGTATGTTTTCTGTTTATTTGCAAAATTTGGTTTCTTTCTAGCTGCTTCTGAAACCTGGTAAAGGTTAAAACTGAATACTAGTAACATATTGCTTACTTTAAAAAAGCATCCACTTCTATAGAAAAAAAAAAATACAAGAATTTGGACTTCGATAACTCATAACTGAGACCATAAAATGTTCAGAGGTTTTGTAAATGTTTTTTCTTTATTTATGCCAGTGACTTGAGAGATGCTGTTACAGTCTGATTCTTGTATTTTGTAACCTATATACTTGTACTTAGAGTGGCCTTCGTGTTTTGTTTTGTGGCAATTAATAAGTGAAAAAAATATGTCCATATCTGCATTATTAAGTATCTGTTATGCAGTACCAAAACAAGCTGCTAGGGGTAAAAGTCCACATTACTTATTCCTGACTCGAAAAGTTCTCCCACCAAAAACTCAAGAAAACTGGATAAACTGTGTTACAAAATGTTGCTGTACAGGTCATGGTATACAGACAGGACTCATACTAAAAACATATCTCATTCAGCTACATGTATGAACAAATGCAGAGAATATACATAGCAATAGTGCATGTGGTCAGTTCTATTACACAGTGCCTTGCCCCTCGCTCCAAATCGAGTTCAAAATATCATCTGCTTGTTGGAATGCGTTCAACAGGTCACCAAGACCCTCCTCTGCACAGAAGTTCTTGATGTGTTTCATCAGGTCTACTAAGGTGTTCAGGTCCTTGATAGGATTGGTCCTGGTACTGTCGGTGTCATCATCCGAGTCCAACACGGTCTCTGTCTCCTGGCTGGCCTGAAGTTCATCCAGGAGAATCGTGGCGTCTTCGTTCCAGTCCCGCCCCTCCATGTCGCATGTTGCCAGGTCCTGGTCAACGCCCGCCAACTCTTGGAAGTCGCATCCGAAGAGTTCTTGAGAGAGTTCGTCCATGCCAACCTGATCTTCTGAGTCTGATGCCCCCGTTTCGACATTGACTGGATCAGCATTGACTGAAAAGAAAGAATAATGTATTTCGCTTTACAAATTTGAATGGCACCCAAGCTAATTATAACACAAAGAATATAATGAATGTATCTAGATGTACAAAGCAAACAATATAAAAACATGGTTATGTCAGCATGTGAGCAACACTAGTCAGTTTCGGCTGCATTCAGATGCCTTCATAAGGTTGCTACTCTACTACTACTACTACTACTATCCTAGTTTAGATTATACTGCTGCCGGTTTCCCTGTCCCAGGGGTGGGCAGCAGTCGGCTACTCCTTGGCAAAAAATAGACAACTTACCAAGAGTTACATGGTCGAAGCCGGCCTTCTCAAAGCACGTCTGGATGGTGTTCTCCGTGACGTCCTGCCAGGCTGAGGCGATCCAATGGATGGCGTCCAGGACTGTCAACTGCGTGACCAGTTCTTCACCTGTTAGAATGTCGGAGATAGCAATAGAGTCGAGATCCATTTTAATTGGGTATAACCATAAAAAAGAAGACCTAGAGCTATGGGAGAAACAAGAGTGCTTTTACTTTTTAGCTTTCTTTTGCCCTTTCAAACAGGATAAAATAGCCTGGATCAAGCCAAATAGATTGGCGACTGGCTTTGATCTGGTCATTTTCACCAAATTGGGAATGCTCCAGATCTGGCTCATTTGGCAAGGTACAACTTTGAGGAGCCATATCAAGCCGGACTGAGCTTGATCGGGAACGTTTTGATTGGAGTAAAGTTGACTTGATCAACTGTTTCAATTGGCAACGCCCTGGGATGTCCAAGTCATTCTGATATACCCACCTGTTGCCCCACGATGCCTCTGCATGTCCTGGAGGATGCGTGTCAGTTGACGCTTGCGGTACTTCAGTTTGAAGCGCTGGACCACACCCTGGCCCATGGGCTGTGCTCTCCACGTGGTGTTTGACGGGTAGTACACCAGCTCGACGTTCCTGAGCCTGACGTGAGGGTGGCTCGGCGCCTGGTCCAGGAAAAGGAGAACATTGCGATTCTCTAGTCCCATCTTCAGATCAAAGCTCTTCAACCAGTCCAGGAACAGTTCGGATGTCGTCCAAGACATCTTGTTGTGGGCGTAAGTGACAGGAAGACTGGACTGTGGCAGGTTCTTGAAGCACATAGGGCGGGCCGAGTGGCCAATGACAAGCGGTCTCTCTTTCCCCCCGGCCATGTTGGCACACAGGACTACAGTGAGGCAGTCTTTGGCCTGATTTTGCCCACTAAAGTAACTGTGATCACCTCCCATGAACGTTTGGTTGGAAGTCGTTCGAAAGAACAGGGCGGTTTCATCCATGTTATAGATGTCTTCTGCGGAATAGCCGGTCGTGACATCAGCTATCTTGTCTGCCCACTTGTCCCCACTTGTTCCCGGGATTTCAGCGCTCTTGAACCCGAGGACGATGTTGTGCCGGGTTTTAAAACTTTCTAACCAGCCATTGGATGCTTTGAAGCCTACAACGCCCAGCTGTTCTGCAAACTTTAGAGCTTGTTGTTGTAGCATTGGTCCTGTGACGGGCCTGACGGTTGTTTCACAGAAGTACTGCCAGCAAAGCTTGTTGATGTCTTCATTCGCTGTCTCCCTGTTGTTCCTTCTCTTGTGGATTGGTGCGTTATTCTCGTAATAATCCGCTAGGTACTCTTGTTTCCTGTTTACGATGTTCTGGATTTGCGTCTTCCCTACCCCGTATTCTTTGGCGAGCCCTCGGGCCCCGGTCCCGCCCCTCTCGTACCGCCGAATCACGTCAATCTTCTCCCCCAGCGTCAAAGTTTTCTTCTCCAACTTCGCAGCAGCCTGCTTCGCTTGCGTGCTCGACTGGCTCTCCATCGTAAACAGCGGTTGGTTGATGTCCTGTTGTTGTTGTTGTTGTTGTTGTCCTTGCGAGTTTAAATCTATTTCTCCGCCAGATGTGGTCTCTTGTTCCTCAGTCACCTTCTGCCTTACGTTCCTTCTCTTGTGGATGGGTGCATTATTCTCATAATCCGCTAGGTACTCCAGTTTCCTCTTCACGATGTTCTGGATTTGCGTCTTACCTACTCCAAAGACCTTGGCGAGCGCTCGAGCCCCGGTCCCGCCCTTCTCGTACTGCCGAATCACGTCGATCTTCTCCCCCAGCGTCAAAGTCTTCTTCTCATACCTCCCAGCCCGCCTCGCTTGCATGCTCCACTTGCTTTCCATCGTAAAAAGATGAAAGAGTAACGCACGGTTTGTACGTGTGGCCGACCACCGTCTCTTGTCTGTTTGGAATATTCTACTAGTACCATGGGGGAGTAAATTTTGGTGTACAGAGACGTAAATGCATTTCTTTTCAAATACAAACGTTGCAAAGTATAATACTGTAATGTATGTTTTATTTTCGTTATTAGTATGATGACTGTAATAAGTAATTGTGCATTTTGTACTGGTGAATGAAGAAACTAATCACATTGAATTCAAAGTTTTCCCCCAATATTACAGTGTACTATTCCATTGACCTCAACCGCCATCTTTAATCGAAAACCCTAATAATAGTGACTTCGCAAACTGTACATTTCAGCACAATATTCATCAAAAATAGCTGCTATAGCCCGCTTGAAGATGACCTAGTCATCATAGGCAGGTGTTGGGTCACTTTCGGTCGCCACTTGAGCTCAGATCGCGATCGTGCCATGCAGGCGGTCGTCTTGCGCAGAAGCTCTGTCCACGGGACGGAACAAACACTTATCTCCAAGCAGATGTCGGGATTGAATAATGTATTTACAGACGACGGGCGGAGCACTGTCTTTATCAGTGCAGCTTCTCTTTGAGTTTTATGTCTTGTTGAAATGTTTTTAAATTGTAGGTATTTTGGCCTTGCTTTAAAAATCAAATTCTCATGCGTTTGATGCAGTCGCACCTGATGCAAGTTTGAGAATAAACCGACAGAGGTCCTCACTGCCACGTCGGTTGATAAGGCATCACTTGCATTCCATATAGAGACCAACTGAGTGCAGTAACATTTAATTCCTTACTAGCTTCCTTGCAGAAAAAAAACTGTGGAAAGCACAGGTCACTTTGACAAAACAATTTCTACATCTACTACTAGTGATTCCTAATCGCTATATCAGCTATAACAGTTTCCGTTCCGTTACATGTATGCTCTATAACGAGGCCTGCTTATCCATGTACACGTACTCACATCTGCCCAGACAATTACGTCTGAACGCCATGTGTTTTCATAAAGGTCATGTATCAAATGGAAAATTCCTGCTGAAATGAGCTGTTTGATCCCAGTACGCAATGCATATTTTACACACGGTTCTTGGATCATAGGATCCAGACTAGACTGTTATTTTTCAACTTCAATGATACTCTAGTACGTGATGTTAGGTGCGTTGATTCTGGTTGTTGAAAATAGCTCAGAACTAACTGAAACAGTAACAACACAAAATTGCACATACGTGTAAAAACGTTAACAGTGAATTTTAACAATTACAAGATGTTAACTCAGTGTATGAATATGTATGTGTTTGGTCCTCAAGTTGCCTCTCTCTCTGGCTCTTTATATGACGTTTCTCTATCAGCTCTTTCTCTCTCACACTCTCTCTAACGTTAAAAAGAAAAAAAAATTCCTGTAACTATAGTGCTATCTTTATCGTACATGTATTTTGTTCTAGCTACTAGTATAGCCCGTGCCTGGCACAATCCTTCCTGAATACAACCTGTTCGAAATCGCCGCACGGCACGGTACAAAGCAGTCTAATTTGACAAGGCCCCTTTGTGTGTGGCTTCTATAAGGTTGCAAAGAATTACCTATTACAGTTAAAACCGTTCCACTGTCAGATGAATGACATAGTACCCCTTTAGCGTTGTCATGGCTACAGACTGATGCATATTTTTTGAGAGAGAAAAGTAAGACGCGTCGACGTACATAACAGACCTTAAGAAAACAGGAAAGCGCTGCAGACTGACGACAACTTTCCATTTATGAGCTGGTGAACATAAGATGCAGAAATGAGAACAAGAAACCACCACCGGTAAGTCTATGCTATGTTTGTTTGTTTGTTTATATGCATAACCGATAAACTGTCCCTAGGCTCGTAACACACCAGTTTTGCACAGTAAGTGGTAACTGTAGTACACGTATAAAACCAGACTGAACAACTCACACAGGGATATACTAGTACTACTATAACTCTACTGTGTTTTTTTTCGATAAATTTAGTTGGATCTTTATCATGCTCTCCTCAAACATGGGGCCGCTACTTTACGTCCCATCCGAGAGGGCGTCCCTAACCGAAGCTTGGTACTCATTTTGTCCAGTGCAGCGAGGAAATAAAAAATAATAATCTCGGTCAACGAGCTTTTTTTTAAACTCTTGTTCCATTTTCAATGTTGTTGATTCCATTCTGTCGCGGAGTACTGTGGATTTTATTTTACTGCTGGCGCATATGAGAGTAAAGTATTGAATAACATGAATAACATTGTCTTAAAGCCCGGTTGTTTTGTGCATACGATACACTACGGCGTGTAAAAGCTCCTGTCAACAAGTCATATCGTATTTCCCAAATATATGATAGATTTTTGTCATTTAGCAAGTACTTCAATGTGAAAATGACAAGCTTTATATCAGAGACTCTTTTTACACAACCAAAAGGTTTATTCAGCCGACGTTTCGGTGGCCGTCGACTGTCACCTTTCTCAGGGCAATTCTGACTGGTTCACATTGCACAGCAAAGGGGGTACTGTAATAGATGCGTTGCCAAACGCAAAGTATTCTTGGTTGTATAAAAAAAATCTCTTTATTCAATGACTTACCAACCTGATGAAACATTTCACGGAAGCTTTACGTCATATTTCAGGTAAGCCAGCCGACTGGTTGTCTGCCAACCCTGGGGGTAACAACAACAGCGGCACAGACTTAGCAGTTACATCAAATAGTTTCATATCCAGCATGATGCTCAATGACAATGTAGTCATAGTTGTTTTCGCCATCCTCGTGAGTTGTGCCAGTATAGACCTGACATGTTTTCCTGGGTGCACGAGCACAAAATCTTGGTCATCCTGTCTTCCCGACCATTCTAAACCATCACATATTCATCCCAGTCGGAAGATAGGCGCCTGTATATTATGCCGTGCGCATCTACAGGAACAGCCAGTACTAAATAACACCTACCATCCAAACTCAACATGCCTTCCTAACAGCAACCGAGTAGGAATCCAGGGGTTTTCGTTTGGGGTACTGTCAGTTGAGAAACTACGACCGCCCCAGCAATCAAAAGTACATGACCTTGCTCTCATTGAGTGTGGAATCACAGATTTGGAACAGGGTCTTTTGGCTGAGTTTCCTGACTTGCAGTGGTTATATCTTGACTACAACAACCTGACCCACGTCAAGCAAAACTGGTTCGATGCTGAGCAGTTTAAAACCCCTCGTTTGTACTACCTGTCGTTGTCACACAACTACATAAGTAACATAGATTCAAAATGCTTTGAAAAGCTTCCTTTCCTGCACACACTGATACTTGACAGTAACCGTTTGCAAAGTGTCCAGCCATCTTGGTTTCACAAGCTAAAGTTAGACAAACTTTCTTTGAAATCAAATTCTATCAAAAGCGTTGCTCTGCAGACGTTTAAGTCCATGTCCCGGAACCTAAACCTAGACTTGAGTATGAATGAGTTGACCTGTTTGTCAAGGGAAACTGTAGAAGGGATACCCAAACTAAGAAAACTGTCACTGGGTGGGAATATGTTGCTTGCTGTCCATAATTTGGTAATGAGGTGGCAAATTGTCTATCAGTACTACAGGTTTTCCGGCCAGCGGATTGCGGTAATGGTTAACGAAACGCTTTTCTGTATCACTGCAGTCCCCCTACTGAAGCAATTTTATCAGGTCCAGATGGAATGTAACCCCCAGACACATGCAGCATGGCCAAGTATTGACAGTCGATGCACTTTTCTTACTACCAGTAGACTAACAAGAAGCCAGAAAAAGTACAGCTTTCCGTTGATTCTCATATCAGTAAATAACTCAGAATCAGACAAATATGCTAAAAACACCGCCCACTTGTGCCAACATGCTTGGGAAAATGTCTCCACTGTAAAGGTAGCGTTACGGGGAGACACTACTCTGCAGATTGTCCCCATAGGTGTAGAGAAATCCTACAATCCTCAAAGTTTTGCTATAGTTCTATCAGATGTCATCATGTCAAAAGAAAACACCACTGCGTCTCCTCTTGAAGAAATGACGAATATAACATGTTTGGTCTACACTTGGGATAAGACCTACCAACATGTCTTCACCGCACCCTTGTCTAGTACTCCTGATGACCCCGTGTGTGTAGAAAAGGCCACAAGAAATCCTGGTAGTACCTTCAACGGTACACGAGAGGGGATAGCTCTGACCACAAGAGAATCTAACATCACAACAACAAAGGTAACTCTGAATCAGACAAGCAGACTGACTACAGTGTGTACATGTAGTCCCTGTCCAAATGGAACTGTGACAAAGGAGAGATCCCCACATGTAGCGATCGTTATAATGGGAACTGTAATAGGGGTAGTGCTGGTAGAACTGCTGGTAGCGTACGTTATCAGAAGGCAGCGTTGTTGTTCACGGGGCCACCTAGCGGGAGTCCGTGGTACAGCACCTAACAGGTGTCAGCAGTCATCAGGTGATGATCAACAGTACAGTGAAATTCCCGACGAGTACTACAACCAACAAAACACTGTGCAATCCACCACACCACGGACTGATCATCATAAGTACTACAACTACCACCGTAACTCAAGACCAGGGGCACAAAATCCTTACTGGGAAATCCCGGATGAGTACTACAGCCGCTACCACACGTACACATACCCTCCGACACGCCGGGTGCCTGACAAGAGCTACTCTGTAACAATTAATGCTGCTGCAGCTGAGGTGGTCCTTCCTTCATCAACCAGGCGGGGCGGCAAACATCCATCCTACGATATAGCTCCACAAGTCTGGAGAGACTCACAGAACCACCAGATACCTGTACGTGGGCGTCAGACTAATATCAGATCACACAGAATTGTAGCGCCTAGTAGTAATCCAAGATATATGAATCTGATTGGTAAATATTGCAAAACATTGAGAACTGCAAAGTTCAGAAAGCAGAGAATGCCTCTGTACAATAATCCCTTTACCCAGCCCGACAGACATCAGAAAAGTTCAAAGTACGAGGCCGCACTCAGAGCTGAACCATCAAAAAACCAAAGTCACCCAAACATATCATGTCAACAGGCTTCAAAAGGGGTCATTAACATTTCTCAAGGTCTTACACTGGCAAGGTGTGAGCGTGATAGCAAAGGTCAAGTTCACAGGTCCAAAACTCTAGACATGAGTGTATCTCACTTAATGAAGTCCACAAAAAAGGCAAGCCATCATCGTCAGAGTATTTAGGTATGATCACAGGTTCAGGTCATGAAATATAAAACAACATACCACCATGGCACGACCGTCTTTCTTCGGCCTAACCCCATAACCAATGAAAACTTGTTGCCAAACGACTAACGCAGTAGCATGCTGAAGGTTAACTTTCCAATGTTTAACTAAATTTTACTGCATGCTGAGGAAACGAAATAGAAAAAAGTGGTAAATTCTGACCCTTTACCATTTTGCACGAGTGACTTTACAGAGAGCAAGCTTTTTATACCCTGAATGTTTAAATAATTCTCATCCAAGTGTGCATTTGTACATCCCCTTTTGAAACGATACTGGCACTGTATACGTATCTGCACTGCATCCACGCAACTGTTTTATTACGTACAAGTTCTTTTCGAACCGGTTTGCCATCGTCTGACCAGACTGGACGCGTATTCCGCCATGGTGACTGAACTGTTTTTTCCATAAACCCCTGTAAGAAAGCCACGCCCCCTGCAGGAATCAGCTGGTTACTGTAGATCTTGAAGCCTTTTGCTGCAGTAGCAGTTTTCAATGCAATGTGACCTCTTGCTACGAACTCATCATGCATCTTGCAACGAACAAATACCATGTATTCTCTACTAACCGTTGATACGATTTATTTTATAGAGATATGATGAACTCTTGACTTTTCGCAGTTCTTAGTTGACTATTTTAAGTGCGGGAAAAAAGCTGAACTTGCAGTATTTAGGTACGCCGGGCATGTCAGGGCAGGACACCGGGGTTTGTTTCTCCCCGCCCACAGCATTTGCCTACTGCTCTTTATAATTGGTCTCACGGATCAATTTATAGTGTCTGCGATCTTTATGTAACCAGGGAGGGATGATGTCCGTTGTGTGTAGCGTCCCATTCCAGCCTCTATATAATTGACCTCTGTGAGGTCTCTGGATAGTTATGCAGCAGTTGGCAGCAGTGTAAGAAGGTACAACCTCTGAGTGTTTCTTTGGACTTCGAGGAGCCACATGGCGGCGAACAGGACAAAGAATCGGTCTTACAGCAAAGGTGAGACTTTTTATCATATCTATTGTGTTTTCTTGAATGACTTAGGTCTTCTTATATGCTACATAATTTCTTGTCCCACTTTCCTGTAAACAAACACGTGTTGTTTGTAGAAATCCAGAGGTGTTGAACGTACCCATCCCAGAATCCCTTGCAATGCAATCCCTTGTGCACATTCCAGATGCCTGGCTAACTGCATGGAGTATTTTTTACCCCCATGCTGTAGTTATATATAAACAACACTGTACTTCTACTTATTTTCTGTTATACATTTAACCCCTCTGTTACAAATGAACGAACAACCAAACATTTTCCCTGTGTATCTTGTGCAGCCATCCGCATCCTGCAGCAGTTGTTCCCCAGGATCCTGACACTGCAGGAATATCTAGAAGAGTTGATCTCCCAGCGCGATGCTTCTGTACCTCCACTGCTACGGGATGGAGACAGTCAACAGTCAGTACTGATACTTACTAGTATGTCATACCTGGGGGCCTGCACACTGTGGGGTCTGCATGTGCCCTTTTTCGTAAGGTGTAATCAGGCCTTTTTAGTCTTCGTGACTCATAGGCAGCCTCTCCAAAAATCAATGTAATTCGTAAAGTACATTAGCAGCAAAGCGTAAAGTCATCATCAGTTCTGAGACTATAACGTAATTCGTAATTGGCGGCAAAAATTTTGCATAATTCGTAAGCACTACCCTCTCATGCAGGCCCTCATACCTGGGCAGATAAAACTTTCAATACAGGTGTTCTAGCCCTATCTCATGAAGTTTGGCCAACTTTGGCCATGTTTCAATGTCTTGAATGCATAGTATTTGTATGTCACATACATGTAATCATTGTACATTCCATTGCTGCTAAAGGATGTGATTTTCAGGTACATCGATCTTCTCCAAACGACCCTGGTTGGCCTTGGCTACAAGCCCCTCCCACACCGCGTGTCATTTGAGCAGGTGTCCAATCAGGACGAAGTGCTGGTCAGGGTAATTGAGGTGAGGAATGTGTAATTTTTTCTCATTGAGATTTATTCTCATAACCAGTAAGCTGCTTTAAAAAGGTAATAATAACATGCCAGTTGTGCATGTTGAAGTGCTTCTCACACCAAAAACATCTATTACAGCATTTTAATGAACATAAAATTACATCTACTCTTATAGTAGTCCACCATGTTTATGGAAATTTCTTCATTTGTATAGATAAGTCATTCAATCATCCATCCATCCATTCATTTCTTCTTTCATTCATTCATTCATTTACAGAAGCTGTGCAAAAGCTCCAAAGGGCCCACGAAGAATGTGCTCAGCTTAGGCTACAGACTGGTGAGTTTAACTGCATGCTGGAATTTTGTTTTATTAGTTCCTACTCTTTAGCTCTGAATGTAATTGAAAGTTTGGGGCATGATAACAATTGAAGGTTATTTCAATGTCCACCAAGCCTCTTCTATGCCCGCAGGCAAGGGAGAACAGCAGAAGTTTTTCCATAAAATCTCCTTGTATTGAGAACGTTCATCCAGATGACAAGATAAGGAACCTGGAAGGGCGAGTATGGAAGATTCTTCTTAGCAGGTAAGAGGGCCACTGTCTTGCTCACAGTATTGTAAATTGTCAGTATCTGAAAATTATTTTAAAAATGAAGAAAAAAAATTAGTCTTACAAAATGCATTTTGTTTCAAGACATTTGCAGCATCATATTTCACTCAGGTTCAGGACCTTGGAAGACATCCCAAAACCATTGGAAGGGGGATGTATTTTATATGCTTTTTTTTTAAGGAAACAATTTGTTAACGATGGACTGTTGTTCACATTTCTGCAGGATTGGTGATGATGTCATGACCCACCTCCTGGGTAGCTGCTCTCTTTTTCTGGCAGCGTCCCTTGGCTGCTATATACAGATCACAGGTATGGTAATACATGTATAGTTCTTTAGGTCATATGTGGGCCTTCGATGCGAGTGTTACGGCCCATGTGATAACTACCCTGTATCACATGGGGTTCTAACGGTTATCACACAGGATTCCAAATGTTCTTGTAAACCTTACTTACTAGTAACTACTAGTACTTTGATATGATGGGACCAACAAAGTTTTCACTTACAAAATGTATATCTTTTTCTTACCAATAGGTTTCCCTCTGTATGAACTGCACAGTGATTGGCACAAAGTTTCCATACCAGTCAATGCAGAAGGGAAAACAAAGGCAAAGACAACAAGCAGGACTTTGAAATATACCAGGGGGCTTTTAAAGAAAGCGTCATCAAGCATCATCAACAAGAAGCCTAAGGAAGAACATAAAAAGAAGATAGCACTACATTATGCAAGCAAACGTCAGTCTTTACCAAAAACAAATAGACAGCGGCTGAACAACAAAAGATACAATCAAGACAGCAAACAGAGGGAAAAGGAGCTCCTTGATGCATCAAAAGTACAGCAACGTGCAGAAAGGGCTAAAGTGTTATCTGCGCCTTACAACGTAAAGAGGGGGCTCAAAAGGAAAGATCCTGAGGAACTGCATGAGGTACAAAATGTAGTTTATAAAAGGCGGAAAATTGGACACAAGGAAGATGCAAATAACGGCAAGGCAGCATCGAAAAACATTTGCTTCTCTGTAGGTGAAGTAGGAGAGAAGGCAGTCAGTGTTGATCCTGCCATGCCATCATGTTCTCATCACCTGAAGGTGGGTCAGACTCGAAGGCAGATGTCACTGGACAGTCATTGCCATTTGCACACAGAAGGTACACGTGCATCTCATGAAAGTGAGATCCGTCTTCTTGACCATGGACATACCAGACAAAATACACAACTCACAGACAGTTTGACTCCAACTGTCACAAGTCAGACTAGAAATACAAGGAAGAGAAGGAAACATCACGAGAAGGCTGATGACAGAGAAGTGGAAAGATCGAGGTGTGATCTATCAGACACAGGAAAGACTCAACAGGGAAAACGCAAGAGAAGGAGAAAGAAAGACATTCAAGATGGAGCTGAAAGAAGTGAGAAAAAGAATGAGATACAAAAGGGGAAGAAAAAGAACTTAAACTCAGTGTCAATGAGTGGAGAGATGGCCTTCACTAAAACATCAGTGCTTTATGCAGGCCATGTACAGAAAACTGGAGGTTTGTTTACAACTTGACATATTGTTTTAATTGGTCTTGAGCGATAGGCCTAAGTTCAGCACAATGTCACAATATAATGGTCACCTTTTCCTTGTAGATAACGATTGAGATGGTTTTGCATTGCAATATAACATTAAAAGAGTGATATTCTCTTTAACTTTCAGCTGACCTGGATGGGCTTCCTGCAAGCAACAGAGGTGCCCAAAAGTTGGTGGAGAAGGTTTTCCTGCAGGATATACAGAAAAACGTCCACAAACCTACTAACAGCACTGCAGCTACAGAACCCACTCTTGACCAACAGCAGGCTCAGAAACACAAGGTACGTTGTAGTCTGTAGTGGTGAGATGGTTCGTAATTTTCGTAGAATGCATATTCCAAATTTAGCCTGTTTGACATCTCCTGTTGCGATAATATTGAATGTGGTATAAAATAAGCAATTTCAGATGTACCCACCGAATCTATCTTCTTTTCAGATAAGCAGAACTCCAAGGAGATATGTTAAAGTCCAGAAGCTGTTTGTGGAGCTCCTGAAGAGACACAAGTAAGTTTCTGCATTGTTTACTATAGTCTAAATTTGATATTTAATAATTAAAAAAAAAATGTGATTCACTTGAAAATAACAGACATTCATACATGTATTCTCACTACCTTTTAGACAGTGTAGATACTACTACTTGATGAGGTATCACTGCCCAATAAGTCTGGAAACATCACAAAAGCAGCAAGCAGATAAAACTGAAGGTTCAACAGATGATGCCGTGGAGGATAGAGACAGACACATCCTGGAAGCTCCTGTCTTCTACAGGAGGCCTCCACATGGGACATCCAAGGAGAAGACAGCTGCTGTGAATCACAATGGTTAGGTCCACTTGTTCTACATTACATGATAGAATGATATATGATGTATATATAGTGAACAAGGACTATGTGTAATGGCATCCAATGGCAACACGTACACCAGAAACACAACATTAATTCTTCTAGGCCTTACATGTTTTGTGCTGCAATATTGTTTTGACTACAAATTAAAACACAGTGTGTGAAAACCTCCTTTCCACTCCTACTACATATATTTAGGTTCCCTCAAAACTGAATGACCTCTGTTTGCAGATGTGCATCAGGCAGTTTTCCACAGCAGCCCACATAGGACAGATATGGAGAGTTTACCCATCAGCCCCAGGGATGAGTTAGACACGTCAGATGATAGAACATCGCAGGAGTGCCTCATGTCCCAACATTCCAGTATATACCAGGTTCCTTTTCTTCTGCTTTTTTCTGCTCATTAAAATATGGGACATCACCTTTGAATATAGTATGCGAACACAACATTACAGTCATACATTCTGTAGATTCTGGAGTGAAGTGCTATGTATATTATTTCCTAGATTCCACTCAGATGCAGTACTTTCTATCAACATGCTGGCTTGTCTCCAAATCTGAAGTTATACAGAAACACTGACAATTACGATATTTTTAAGTATGTCATTTTTCCTTCCTTTATTTGTCAATCTCTTAATGCATGTTGATTGACAATTCAAATAATTACAAAAAACTACTCTTATGGCATTTAACATGTATGTTGTTTTCTTTTGTTACCCAACATTTGCAACACAGATCTATCAACTGCTAAGAAGTATACTCCATAAAGTTGTCCCAGAGAATCTGTGGGGTTCTAGGCACAACAAAGCCTGCTTCCTGAACCATGTCCTGACCTTCCTGAGGATGGGCCGCTACGAGAGGATCTCACTGCACCAACTCATGACAGGAATGAGGGTCTGTTCCTCACATTCTTATATGTTTAAAAATTCATGGTCATTTTTACCTACATGAAAATGTACATGTAGGTGTTGTTTTTGGTTCTGTCTCTCTCTTAATCTGTCAAACTGTTGAAATTGGCGTAGACTACTGATTCCATGAACTGTGGTTTCTATTTTCAGCTCAATGACTGTGACTGGCTAAAGTTGGACTCCAACACCCTGCAAGAGTTCCAGACCAGAACTGCACTTCTTGACAAGTTTGTGTGGTGGCTCTTCAACAACTTTGTCATCAATGTTCTCAGGGTGCATATCATTATTACAATGATTTCATTTGTATCTTTTTCTGTAAATATATGGAAAGAGGTGTCATTAAACTAAGCTTAGGGAGAAGTAAAAGGCAGTGGAAGGAGAGAGATCGGCTCTGCCCTCAAATACCGTACCCAAGAAACATTTAATGACAATCCAGGACCCTTACAGCCTGTATGAGGCAACCTTTTCATACTGTTGTGAAAGCTACCTTGAATGCAGTCGATAATTTCAAAATGTTTTTTCTGTTAGCTTTTACTCACTTCATATTCCAGTCCTACTTCTACATCACGGAGACAACAACCCACAGGAATCAGCTTCTGTACTACAGGAGTCATGTCTGGAAGATTTTAAAGGACAGGGCCACAGAGCAACTTCTACGCAGGCACATGTTCAGCCAAGTCAGCCAGAGCACTGTCAAATACCTCATCAGGTACATGTAAACTTTTCTACACAGGAGTACAGTTTCTGACAATAGTCAATAGGCATTATTAAATGAACAAAGATGTTTAGACAAAATCGTTCTTCTTAATTTATGCAGGCAGTTTTTTCAATGTGCATTTGAGAAAGGCTTACTTTACCAAAATACATGCATGTCTAACAAAAGTTGTTGGCCATTCCAGGGACCAGCAGTGCCTCGGCTTGGCCAAGCTCAGGTTTATACCCAAGAAAACAGGACTGAGGCCCATTGTCAACATGAACAAACAAGAGAAGGTGAGTCACAATATTAATGTGTCAGTTGGCTGTGTACTGTGCTGTCCTTGGTGCTGAATTGGCCATCAAGGTGATAGTATGGAGTGAATAACTGTCTGTTTAGCCATTTTCTGATTGGCTGTTTACTGTGCTGTCCATGGTGCTGATAGGTCATCAAGGTGATAGTATGGAGTGAATGATTATAACTGTCTGTTGAGCTTTTATCTTATTGGCTGTGTACTATTCTGTCCATGGTACTGATTGGTTGGGAAGGCAAATGTATGTTATTTGAGTGGAAGAACTGTCTGTGTGTTTTAGCTTTCATCTGATTGGCTGCGTACTAATCTTTCTGTTTTCTGTAGACTGAAATGAACAGTTCCGGCACCTCCATCAACTATAAGCTGCAGAACCTGTTCAAAGTCCTGACATACGAGTCAGCCGTGCCAGACAAGATAGGAGCATCTGTGTTTGGGACAGACGACATCTACAAGAAATGGAAGGACTTTGTGGTCAAGCGCAATGCTTTTGGGTAAGAAATTCATCCAAGTCAGAATTTGATGAGTTACATCTAGTATGTCTTCACATCATGATAACCAGGCCAATCAGAGACGTGTAACATTGAATACATCATGCAAGATTTGCATAGTACAAAACTTGCGCAGGTAATACAAGATGGCTCCTATAGCCATTTCTGTTGGAAGTACCAAACAACTCCATGGAGCCTTGGACAGTAGCTGATTTCTTGCACATGTTTTTTTTTTCAGTCCCCTGTACTTTGTGAAGGTGGACATCCAGCACTGTTTTGACAGCATTCCTCAGGACAGGCTACTGGAGGTCATGACTAAAGTGTTGCAGGACAAGTCTGACTATTATATCAGGTACCTTTCTCCAGTATATGTACCAATACTACCAGGTACTGCAATTTCAGGGTGGCAAAACAAATAATATTCTAAATGAGAAAATCTGTCTGATACTGACATTTACTGCCTTTTCTTAGCCTATTCTCGTCATCATAATGTACAACACAAGTAATTGGACTTACCCAAATTTTGTACAGTAAAAAGTTTGGGTAAGTCCAATTTCTTGTGTTGGAAATTACTGTTTAAGCTTGCTTCATAATACAGGTATCATTATTATAGGAGGTATGCCCAAGTGACAGCCACAGAAAAGAGAGTCAACTGCACCTTTGAGAAACACGTTTCTGTGTTGGAAAACTTCATCCCGTGCTTCAAGAAATTTGTGTTACACCAAAACCAGACTGGAAAGATGTATGATGCCATTGCTATTGATCAGGTGCATAATTATGCTTAATAGTTTGTTTTTAATGGTTGTTAAGTCACTATGGATTTGGTCAGTCACTGACTAAAAGTAATGGAGCTACTTGAAATATCTGTCAGTTTTCAAAATCTATCCAGTTGCTTGAGTGACAAGTTCCTTGAAGGTGTTTCTCATTACTTGGATGTCTAACCTTCAGAAACAGATGAGCTTTTATTCGAATGCATTAACTTAATCCCTTAAACTGTAATTGTACAGGTCTGTCAGCACTATGCAGAAACCGCCACTCTGTTGAAACAGTTAAAGCAGCATGTAAAGAACAACATGATCCAGATCGGCAGGACCTACTACCGTCAGATCAGCGGGATCAGTCAGGGATCACGCCTGTCCACGCTGCTGTGTAGCTTCTTCTACGCTGACATGGAGAGGAGACATCTACGGGGGATGGACACAGATGGGGTAAATTTGTATAAGGCCACACTGACATTTTATGGATGACATTCTCTGAAAACCCCAAAACTAATGCGAGCGGGTAAATGAAAGAAATTCCAGCCCAAAAATATGCTGCTAAGCCACAGCCTGTGCACAGGAATACAAAGCTGGTGTTGCAAATTTGCAGTTGTACATGACTACTTTAATGCATGCTGGTGTTTTGCTTGGGTACCATGCTCCACATTTACCGCCAACTCCCTATTGCTGGTAGCTACAATGGACTATGGAGGACGGTACCCAGGGTTCAGCCTTCTTGCTGCAACTACTGACTCACAGAGTAATATTTTCCCACATGTAAGTTGCTGCTACGCCTGGTGGATGACTTTCTGCTGGTTACTCCACATCTCAACCGGGCGACAGCCTTCCTTTACACCATGTTGGATGGTAAGTGTTTCAAAGTTAAATTTCAACAGGAATGTATCAGTGGGATTCTATCTAACGAGTACTGAACCTTTTGGCCTAGCAGTTAGGGTGTTGGGGTTGCAGGCTACTGCTTGCCCCTAGTTGTTTCAGTGGTTCCTACACTGGTCCTGTGAGTAATGGCAAAATGTGCTGCTTAGGGATATCAAACTCGAAGATTTAAGAAGAAATGTAAAAAGGAAAAGGAGGAGGAGTGTAACAGTGTGGTTTAAGCGCCACCAACTGACCTGTCTAACAGGACCAGGACTTTTTGATCTGCTTTTATTAATGAAGGAAAATTTTTTTATCATTCTTATGTATGGGTTTTAATGCGATGACTGCCAGAGATCAAAGTCACTTCTGGGCCAAACCAAATGGAAAACAAAGATTCAAAGGTTATGAAATGACAACAAGTATCCAGAAACACAGTGCAATTTTCAAGATCAACCCAAGACTTCTAAGAGATCCTTTATATACTCATATATACTTGAGAAATGTAACACTTTTTTTACACTGATATGACATATAGGTATCCCTGAGTATGGCTGCAGTGCACATCCTGACAAAGTCATGACCAACTTTCCTGTCCGGTACAAGGATGTTGACATCGTCTGTCAGCCGGCTGTCACCTGGTTCCCCTGGTGCGGCATGCTGTTCCACACACAGCTGCTAGGGGTCATGAAAGACTATACTAACTATGAAAACTTACGTGAGTAACTGCAGACTAGGCTACGTTGATTTGATTACTATTAATATATATGGATGACATCCTCTGGGAACCCCAAAACTTACGTGCAAATAAAAAAAGTTTGGCATAAAAAGTTGAGTTGCCTACATTCAAATAGCTTATTTATAATTTAGCATTTGTGTGCAGTAAAAATTTACATCACTTCTTGGTCACCATTGCAGGTATCAGGTACACCTTGACCTTAGACCTACATCAGACACCAGGGTTGAACATGAAACAGAAGTTGATGAGTACTGTCAAGGCCAAATGCCATGCCTTCTTCCTGGAACCCAAGGTAAGCAGTTACGTGAATCTATTTTGTCATTTATTGGATTGTCTTTTCAGTGCTCAGAAGACATGTACTTCTTTCTGTATAACCTGCACTGGTGCATGCATCATTGAAAATTATCTGCATCAGACAAATTTTACCTTCACAATTCAGACTTTGAGGAGTTGGATCATACTAAAAACCGAAACCATTTCCATTACTTTTTTAATACTTCATAGACTGTGCCTACAGCAAATTTGAATCCACATACACCTTTTTGTCCTTGGTACTGAATGGCAATCCAATCTGGATAGCAGAAATTGTTAAAGATTGACAAATGATTCAACTTTTCACTTTTAACATGTACCAGGTGCATTTCTCTCCTCCCCCTTCCAGGTGAACTCCACAGCTGTGATTACACAGACTCTGTACAAGGCATTCCTGTTCACAGCCCACCAGTTCCACAGCTACAACACCTGTCTCCCGTACAGGCACAGAGCTGAGGACAACCCTGCATTCTTCCTGGGTAGGTGTCAGGATCAAGAATCGTTGGAAATTTTTTGCTGTTTTCTTGTTCTCTGTGTTGTCTTCTTGACATGTTTTTTTGCATAAGAAGACCACTTGTCTAAGACGACCCAGGGCACGAAATACTGGGTGCATGTGCTCCTTGGTGCACCCAAAATTGGAGCTGTGCACCCACTATTTTTTTGGTCCCATGGGTGGTCGTCTTTGACTGTACTTACCAGACTTCTTGGACTATGTCTTTACAGGCATGATCATGGACATCTGCCAGTATCCCCTTAAACTGGTTAACGCAAGAGTAGCTAAGGTAAGGTCTGATTAACTTATATGTAGATGTGAAAAAAAATAATTATTGTGTTTCCGGTTTCCTGACTGACGCTGACCCTAGCCCTTTTGTTATAACGGTCTGCTACTATACGTGTTTCTTTCTTTCAACAGGAAGTGATGTCAGGGCAGCTTCCTGTATCCCAGGATGCAGTAGAATGGTAAAGTCCTCATAGTCTTACAATGTCATTCAACTCTTATCATTCTGCCATTAAAAATAGTTCTTACAAAACTTTCTTTTTGAACACACTCCTAGCATTTGCAATTAAAAATCATGGTTATTTTCCCTTCTTTAGAAGGATATATTAAATGACATGGTCGAACATTTTACAGGTTGTGCCTGCAAGCCTTCAAGTCCAAGCTGTCACCTCACAGATCAGTTTATTTCCCTTTGCTCAAAACTCTGGAGAAATGTCTGAAGAACCTGGAGAGGAACTTGGTAAGGCATAATGCACAGTATTTCATCAGTTTGATAAAACCTCCTTTGCAGACTTATGTGGCTGCGGCAATAATTAATAATTAACACTCAACTTGATTTTTTACTCAGCTACAAAGAGGGAGTTATACCACAGAGTATATGCTTCCCCAACATACTAGTATACGGCATAACTCCCTCCATGGCAAAACTCCCTCTTCGTAGCCCATGTAAAAATCGCATATCAGGAGTGGTTTGGGAACAGTTTATTTTTGCGTGACATGGGAGTCTGAAGTATCCTGCATTTGCTCAGAAATGTTGACCTGAAATAAGTAATGCTATATCATGTATCAAATGGGATTTTGAAGTAACTGTTGCCCCCTTGCAGGACTGTAAGGAACTGCAGCAGGTCACGAGCCAACAGAGTGTAGAAGAGTTCAAGTCCATCCTGGATTGACAGAGACTCAGATGTAGATGCAACATGAACAGACATATACTCCCTCAGCAGCCCTCCACGGCAAAACTCCCTCTTCATAGCCCATAGGAAAATTGCGTACAATGTATCTGCAGGAGTGATTTTGGAATAGTTTATTTTTGGATGAAATGTAACTAAAATATCCTGCATTTGTGCAGAAATGTTGACTTGAAATAAATAATGCTATATCATGTATCAAGTGAGATTTTGAAGTAAATATAGCAGACTTCATGTCCATTCTTGAATGACAGACTCAGATGTAGATGCAACATGAACACTGAATTGAACAGGCAGCCAAACAAAGGCTTCAAATAGCGCCATTATTGTTATTATTTTAATGAGCACAGTTTCTTTAATGTTGAAATGCTGCCTTTTTTCTGGTATATAAATGAATTGAAAAGTTCTAAAACCTTTCCTCATTACTGTAAAGAAATGAAATGGATATAGGCACAAAATATTCCCTCTGAGAACTCACATCTAAATTCTTCAGATTCTCTTTTGTAAAGAATCCCTAGATGAGGCACAAGATATTTAGTATTCACTAAAAGCAATATAATGTTGGAATGTTATTATGGATCATGTTAGTGTTAGTAGAGTTAATGACCTGAGGTGTATATGGTGTCATAATTCCTGAATCCCAGGATGCAGTGCCTGATCATTTCCTAGGAACCACTGAATAAACTTTTACTTACATGATTGCCACCAGTTAATTAATCTTTCGTCATTTGCTGCATGTTTCTAGGTCTGGATCTTTTTTTGTTCGACCAAGGAGGCTTGAACCTCATTGATTTCACTTGGGAAAATCGGTAAGATTCTTCGCGAAGCGTAATCTCTCTAATTAAATTCCGCGTGGAATGTTATTTGTTACCCTGAATTCAAAATGTCTTCGTACCGGTAGACGAATGCCCGGTAATGTTGCCCCTAAATCATAACGGAAAGTCCAAGTCCACAGACAAAATCCACTTGATACAAAAGAACAGATCATCGACGACTGATCGTTCCCAAAGACTTACACCGTGAAAACGGCTTAATTTGCGTTGCCGGTCGTCTGAATTTACCGTCTCCTATACTCATCGTTCAGCGTTGCTAGGATCCCTCCATGTACGTATGTTTAGGCGCATCCCGTCTTTGGATCAAGCAGCGGGACCCAGCTTGTTTTTGTGGTATTTTGTGATCCGCCGGTTTTAATCTCATTGTCTCCCTAGCTCTAATTCCATTTGAAAGTTGTAAAATATGATGTACAATGTCATAATGTTTGGTATATAAGTCTGAACATTTTTAGCCTCGCGGCGTAACAAGTACGGATGGTACCCAGGCGTGACGATGAAAGATCAGTACGACAAAGAACTGGTTTACGTCAGTACGTAAACGAATTACACTAAAGTTTCCGATACGATTAACGGTGAATTGAAACTAAATGGGTCACGCCTCACGGAAAAGGTCATGCAGTCTCTCTCATCATTGTCTCAGTTGACTGTCAAGGACGCCTTTGCGGGGTGTACTGAACAGATGATCGTGAGGCTATAAACTATTGTTATTGTCAGGTCAATCAGTAACTAAAACTAACATCACACTGTGGTTAGGGTAATTAGGTACTGATTGGCACTTCAAGTTTACAATAGAGTAGGGTTGGTTTAACCTACTTTGTAAAGAAATGAATGAACTTTATTGCTCAACAACCGTACATGATACATTGTGTGGCAGTAAGACAACAATACTAGAAAATCGTACAAATATTACTAGTACTACAAAGTAACAAACTATTGTCGATATCAATATATGAGTTACAACCACGTGTATGGAAACTCAGTGGTCTCGCGTCTGAAGAAAAGGAGAAATGACCAGAAAATTAACTTTTTGTATTATTCCAATGTTAACATAATGTTACACAGTAATGCTCATTGGATCATCTGTTGAGGCTTTAATTTCAATTGCACCCAAGGTGGTTAAACATTATTCTGAAATTGTCAGGGAAGGCATTACGTGAGTACAGTGTTTGCCAGTGATGCTGCCTCCTAGCAACTGCCATTGTCCGTGAGAACGACTCTTGAATCGGGCTCATTTCATTGCCCGTGTGTTCATTGCCCGTGTGAACGATGAAACAAGCCACGGTAACGATTGAATTGGAGTCGGGCTCGCCTCACGGGAAAAGCCGCATGTTTTTGTCAGTTGACTGCCAAGGACGCCCGGTTGCGCGGTGTTCTCAAAAGATGAGGCTATAAACTATTGTTATTGTCAGGTCAATCAGTAACTAAAACACATGCACACGGTGGATGGGGTAATCAAAGGTTCTTTTGCACTTATTTACAGTGAGAGTATAGGGTTGGTTTTAGCTACTTTGAAAAAAATTAATGAACTTTATTGCTCAACAACCATACATGATACAGTGTGTGGCAGTATGACAACGTTTCTTCAAAACTATACTATCGCACAAATATTACTACAAATTATTGTCGATATCGATATATATATATGATTAAATCACGTGTAATGATGATTTGGTGTAGCTTAAGGGATAAAAGAGGAAAATTGTCGACTTTTGAATCATCCCAATGTTACATAATGCAGCTTTAAATATCTATTTGTGCTTTAATGACATACTATTGTCACCACCAATTGCAAGGTGGTTTGAATAAACCCTTAAACCTACGTACACTTAAATGGGCCTTTAAATTGCGAAAAGGCAACGTCACAGTGTTTGGTGATGATGCCTCCTAAACAGTGTGCGTTGCCAGGCGTGCCTTTGAAACCAGACCCGGCAGACAGTTATTTAGGTGTGGATAGGGTGACAGGTTAGTGCCGGCCGTTACCTGGCGCGAACCATGTTGCGCAAACAAAGTTGAATGGGGTGATCCGCATCACGTAAGCCATACGCCTATGACTAATGCCACACCGGAAGAACATTCAGTTGAACAATGTACAGGAAAGTTCTAAATACAACACGTCACTTTTCTTTCAAATTCACAGTAATATAATACTCATTTACCTAAAACTAGTATTTTTTATAACAAATTGAAAAAAAAAGCAAATGGTAATTGTTATATGTTATCAATTTTTTTTAGAAAAGGTGATCTATTAGGAGTAAATTGTGTTTAAAATGGGACTACATTAACGTCAGAATGGATCATCATTCCTCCTATTTGTGGTGAATGTGCGAGCGTACAAGGTCGGCTTGCGCAATGGTTTGTGGGTTGTTTACAGAAGAAAGATGGCGGACCCGCTGATGTCGGTGGGAGTAGCAGACGTCGTGGCCGCCCTACTCCTGGGCTGTTTCTGTCTAATATGGTTCACCCACGTTATAGCTCTTATTTATGGGTAAGTAGGCGGTTTCTTTCGTACGTAACTAGAACGTTCGCGGAGGTATTCCCGTTCCCTTACGACACATATGTGCGTTCGGTTGTCCCTAGTCGTGTTCAAATGATCCGCCATTCGCCGGTGCAAATTTCCGTCTCGTAAACGGTCGTCGCCTTTCCGAACGGTCGTCGCCTATTTTCAGAACGGTCGTCGCCTTTCGGAGCGGTCGTCGCCATTTCCGAGCGACCGAACTTCAGTTCCGAATATCCGCGACATGTTCGGGACTTCCCCGAGTTCTTTGAATGTGTGAAATCACACTTCCTGAAGATAACATCGCGACCGAAGACGGGCCAGAACTTGGCTAGGTGGATTGAAGTTGCGTGGGTGCTAGCACATGTATTATAATTATAAGTTCCGGGGGTTGAATTATCTAGGTTAGAACTAGGTTAGTGTTTGAGAAATTCTCGATTGGAACGGGAAGGGTTTGGGTAACTCTGAACTCGAATGTCTCTGGGTATTTATTTTTCTTGTATGTGAACATGTCCTCTCCCTTTTTTCTTTGTTTCCTTTTGAAATGCGAATAAACATTATTTGAAAAAAAAACCCTCTGAACTAGAACGTTTGTAGGTTTTCATACATTGCTGAATTTGAAACGGGGGCGAGAAAAACTCCACATGTATTTTTGGAACAGCCCATTGTGCGAGCATGTAATTTATGACTGCTGCAGGATGGTCTGACTCAGAAACATTCATTCGGAAGCACCATCACACATGCAGGCATTTATTCTGACCAAGGACATTATGTCCTGACTGACTGACTCACAACTCCACCACAGCCGGGTTTTATTTTGTTGTCTCAGTGCTTGCCCAGCATAGCAGGCCATTTCACACTTGTCACCAGCATGGCATTGATGTGCTACCCAGTGAATGTGTCGTATTTACATACAGTGCAGTGGTGAATGTGTCAAGTATTAACATTCAGCAAGGTAACAAAACATAGACATTTCGGGATGAAAATAGCTTTACAAGTTTGTCAAAACTCCTGTCAAAGTAAGACATTGTCCCCCTTCTAAAACAGCAGGTCCTTTATTAATCCTACATGAATTTTACATAAACGAAAGGAATACATACCACAGGGATTGAGAAATATAGCACAGGGACGGAATCTATGTTTGTTTTTGGTTGAAGATTCATTTGTCATTTGTATAAACGGCATTATATGAACCCTTCTTCAGTTTGTTGGCGAAGGGAAACAAGAATAGGCTGGAGAAGATCCAGGCCTAGGATCGTATGCTGATCTTATAAAATCAGCAGTTGAGGAGACAAGTTACTTTTCTGGCCCGCCTACGGTCGCCATGTTATGGACTGAGTGCGATTCACACATTCCAAGAACTCCGGGAAGTCCCGAACATGCCGCGGATATTCGGAACTGAAGTTCGGTCGCTCGGAAATGGCGACGACCGCTCCGAAAGGCGACGACCGTTCTGAGAAAAGGCGACGACCGTTCGGAAAGGCGACGACCGTTTACGAGACGGAAATTTGCTTCGCCGGTCCTGTGTGTGTGCATGCATGGCATGTCGGTCAACCAGTTGTGGACATTCTAGCACACAGAAACTACTATTTCTCAAGCTCTGTTCGTATTCTTAGGAATGATTCTACAAGGATAGAAGGCTTTCGTGTGTAAGAGTGTTGAGAAATTGTGATCCTAGAATCCCATAGTCGTGTATGTGTCAGAAACATGACCCTTCTCTTGGGCATGGCCGTTACAAAATTATGTTATGTTATCTTGTCTTTCCTTCATTTCCCCACGATCTTCTTCATAAATTTGTACTTGAAACACAATTCCTTATAGACCAGGAACCAGTGTGGCTGAAATAAGTCATAACTTTTGTACGGAAAACAAAGCACTTCAGGCCCCTGAGCTCCCTCCACTAGCTTGTATTATGATTTTATATAACAAATAATTTGGTGAATGTATCCAGAATCTAGCACACTGTGTCGTATCCAGAATCATGCTCAGGCACGGATCTGGATAGTCCATGAATATCCAGAACTGTGCTTGAGACAGATCAACATTGTTGGATACACGGAGACTATCCAAAACCGTGCCTGATCATAACTGCAACACATTCACACATTCAGGGCTAAAGCATGTATATAAAGACAGCACCCTCCCACTTTGGATGAACATCACACACATACATACACACACACACACACACACACACACACACACACACACACACACACACACACACACACACACACACACAGAGTTGCGCGGGCGCACATGCACTCACACACACACAGAGTCGGGCACACACACACACAGAGTCACACACACACATACTTATGTGGTTGTTGAATGGAAAGATAATTAAATCTGTCACTCTGTTTACCTTTCTACTGTTTATCTTTCTACTGTACATGTAATTAGCAGGTTCACACTGATTAAATCCATTCATTACCATGTTTGCCTTTGGATTCATTACCTCCAGCTTACCATACACAACAATACTAGTAACTGTTTGTGAAAGCATCTTGAATAGTTAATTGGACATACAGGGACTTTAAATAGATAATGTATTTGATACAACATAATCCTTTTAGCATTAGGACTAGGAGTTGGAGTAGGCAATGACATGACAGTTTCCACTTTACCAGTAAATAAGTATCATTATTCTGGATGATATTTAAAATGGTTTGAATGTTCAAAGCATTAGTATGAAGATCAAGTTTGTACATTCTTGGGTTAAGATATTTTTTATTCTTGGGTTAAGATATTTTTTCAACTACATGTATTAGATAATAATTGTAGTAACTTTATTGCCAGTGTCACAGCCCAATGATTAGAACACCACTCATGTATTCTGTTGCAGTGTTGGGTATTGCTGGTGATCCCTGTGCCTGGTACATGCACTTTTTACCTTTTATGTGACCCCTGAGGCTACTTTCAGGTCTCCTGAGTATTGTAACAAATGTACCTGTGCCTGGTACATGTATGTACTGCAGGTACTATAATTTATGTTTATTGTTTATCTTTACCAGGATATACACATTGCCTTTGGCAGTTTTCAAAGACTCCTGGGGGATAATATAAAGCGATATATCATTTTATGTTTTACGCAATGTTATTTAATACAGGTGTTCTGGCCCATGTGATAACAAGCAGTATTACAATTTTACATATTGGTTTCTATTTTGGTTATCATGTGCACCTCCAAATTAAGGTTCTATAGAATAATTTGATTTTGAGTGCATTCCGCTTGAGCCAGATTTGTATGTTGCAAATTTGAATTTTCTTTTTTTGTTGTTTGGGGACACCAAATTTTTACATATTTGGCATTTAATTAATTTTCGGGTGGGTATGACATAAAAATATAACACAGTGTATTATAAGTTACACAATAAAATTTTTCAATATGCATGTCAGGGTTTTTTCTGAACAGGGGAATAAGGGAGCTGCTCCCTCATATAACCAGCCAGCTCCCTCATACCAATTTTCAGATTGAACCCTAAGTGGCTAATCTTTTTAAAAAATCCCCTCTCGGTCGCTTCGTTCCTTGTCATGATTGCGATCTGCTCCCTCATGCTAAATTTTTCTAGAAAAAACCCTGCATGTAGTAGAATGATTGTGGAATGATGATGATATTTCAGTGGGAAACAGGCAGATGTACATCATGTGCATGGAGGATAACAGACAAGTGGGAGTGGCCTGTTGAACTCAGTCATCAAATCATAATCACTAACGGCACCCTGTATTGTTGTGCCCTTGGGAAAGGCACCTTATATTACAATAATGTACAATGCATCTTAATTTACCATGATGGTGAAAATGAAAACCTAGCTTCCTAATATAGTAGGGATGTTCTCTTTCAATCAGTGGAGGTCCTGTGTTTGAGGAGAACATTTTTACACCTCAAGCATGTGCAAATGGAGGTATTGTATTTGGTGTGTTTGTCTGTTTGTGTTAACTGTTTGCATTTGATGATGCATAATGCCATTGTTAAACTTGTGTTTCTGGATCATTTCAGTCTAAAAAAAATGCCTAAAAAAGAAAAGAAGAAAATCCCTACCTTCTGACCCTAGTTTTGTCAGGACTGAAACTGGAAACACAACATCAATTTTCCTAGGCCCAGTGTGTACATGTGCATTGCTGTGTTCAGACAGTGTGACAGGGACAGCATGGTTTGTGTGCTGTCACCTTGGTGTTAATTGGTTTCTCTGCACATCCTGTAATAGGACCCAGTGTACATACATGTGCATGATGGCACACACCATTGTGGCTTGACCGCTTTTTACACACACCAATGGGAAGAGTCCTGGGACTTCCGCTGTGTCACACACTACTGTGGCCCCGATTTTGACCCCCCACCCCACCCTGCGAAAGTGGCAGAACAAAACAGCATGGTGCACTGAAATGAAAGTCCGCAAAAGAAATTGGTTCAAACAAGCTAAATGAAAATGTTTTCATTGAATTTGAGAATCAACAAATTGGATTGGTGGCTGGCACAAGTCGTCACAGGGCTCAAAATGCAACCTGCATATGCAGGTAAAATTGGAGGTGTGCACTAGTAGGTATTTCTGTCTACCTGCACCTAATATTAATAATACAACAACCTGCAATAGTCCTTGTACTAGTTTTATAGTATAAATGTAGGTCTATATGGATTTGCATTTGCTGTGACCAACTAGTATGAGTTATAAAAGAAATAATATTGGCAGTGGTTTTTGAACAGTTTTTAGTATGGTATGATCCATACTTTTTATACACGTATTTGAGTGGTGCAGGTAAAACTCATCTGGTGCAGGTAATTTTGAATGATTTACACCAGTGCAGGTATGAAAAAAAAAATATGTCTTTCAAGCCCTGCGGTTAACTTTAAAATTAAAGATCCTGATGCTGAATACTGACATCAGGAGACAAAAGATTCCAGCCCTGAATGTTGAATTATGATTGATTGACAGGATTAATAATCAATGTTGTTGCTACACGCTTTAGGACTGGTATTTTTTTGTAAATTGAAGGTCACCCATCTCCCATAGGGATTACACTCGTGCGAGGACACCCAAACCTTTCATGTACACATAACACTTAGGACAAGCCAAGGTCATGCGAGAATTCATGGGTTTGCCTACTCCAGATTTTGGACCAAGTGTTTTGAAGTCGTGTCCTTTTTCATCACAGTTGATTTACTAGTAACCTCGACCATGCTAGTTGCACTTGTTTTGACCAGGGGATATGTTTGACCAAGGACATTCAGCTGCAAGTCCTGATGAATGTTAGGATAAACTCAGTCGCTCACCCTTGCAAACCTAGGTTCCATAGTTGAAGCACAAGGGAAGCACATGAGAAACACATCCAGCATAAGAGGAACTACATCTAATGTGCTTCCTCCCTTTTTCCTCTTCTCATAAGGTTCCTGGTGTCTGTTTTGGAGGATGTACTTCCAATGTGATTCCTTGGACTTTACTATTGCTAATCTAGTAGATAGTAGAGATTCTGCTTCCAGTATGCTTCCCTTGTGCTTCCTTGCAATTAATCACTTACTGTAAGAGAGACCAGGCAAAGATGGGCCACAGGCCTCCTGTGTTTATTTATCCCTGGGGCTAATTATGGGTGAAAAATCAATTATCAATGCACTGGGAAGGTATCATGTACACTGTGCCTGATTGGCTGAGGAAAGGTGGCCATGTTCTAATTAGGTATGGTAGCTTTACTTGAACAAACAAACAACATGATACTCCTGATTCACAGGAGGGCATCTTGTATTATCTAAACCAGCATGGTCCTTGTGCTTCCATGGGCGGAGAAGTTGGTCATGGAAATTAGCCATTCTGGTTCTGTGTGCTTCCTTCTGTTTCACATTGGAACCATAGGCAAAGCACATTCCAGTACTAGTATACTTCCAACTATAAGAGGGTCAGGTTTACAATTACTGTAAATCACTTTGTATTCGCGGTACTTTTGTATGCGCGGTTTTCGCATTCACTTCAATCTGTACTGTGAATTTATCATTAACAGATAATTCGCCAATTTTCTTTCTTCTGCACCTGCCGCCACTGCAAAAATATAGTTCAGCAAGCATGACCGGTTTTCACTGAGTCTGACTGTGAAATTTTGCCGCGAATATAAAGTGATTCACAGTATACATTTTATTTCATCAACCTTCACATTATCATACAAACTTTGCTCCTTGTAAAATTCGAACTCTCACCAGTTTGCTAATAAACCTGAAGTCAATAAAAGAGAATTCACAGTTAAATGTGCTTTACTTTTGTGCCCTGTACAGGAAATACAAGTTGCACCGCCCCCCTCCCCCAGCCTTCCTGATGAAGACAGAGGTTCCTGGTGTTTCTATCCTCAAACCTCTCACAGGCGTCGACCCCAACCTCAGGAGCAACTTAGAAACCTTTTTTAAATTAGATTATCCAAAGGTGGGTCTCTTCTACTCTTACACGTAACGAGTAATTCTCTGGAGTTGAAACTTTTGTTCCAACATGAGAATGGTTCTCACCTAGAGCTTTTGACCAGTCACTCCTCAGTAGACTGACCCAGTGAGAAATGTGATTAGTTTACAGGGCCCACAATGCTGGGTTACACCCAATTTTTTCTGTGGGTGCACACTCCCAATCCCTGATGCAACCAAATATTTTCGAAGGTATACGAGTACACAGCGTAGCCTTGACATCTTAGAGTTAGAAAAATAGTAAAATCTTTGTTGTTTGAGATTATTTGATATGGTGCTCCAAAAACTTAAAAATTTTGTGTACCCAATTCTTTAGATTGGGTGCACTATTCTCAAGTCAAAATGTTAATTAATTTCAAGCTCTGAGTTTATCATACAAACATATTAAGGTTTTGTGTCATATCAAGGCTCTTACATACATGTAGAGCAATGTACCATACTTATACAACTCAATACCATCTGCATTAACACCCATTTGCCTGTACATGCTGAGTAATGCTGATATTTCTTTTTTTTTGTTTTGTGTGCAGTTTGAGATTTTATTTTGTGTCCAAGACAATGGGGATCCAGTTATAGACCTATTACAGCAGCTAATGAAGGAGTTCCCCTCGGTGCCCTGCCAGATATTTGTCGGTGAGTAAAAATGCATCTTTCTTACTTTATTAAGAACAAAAATGGATCTTTGCACAGTATACAACTTGGCAAAAAACCTGAACGTTGGGAAACTGCAAGCAAAGAAATCTGTGTAGAATTACATAGAATTTTGCATCCTTTATTAGTAGAAGAAATAGCAGTTTCAAGCCGTTTATATATATAATTTTTCTTGCAACATGAAACATATTGTTCAGTGACTTTCTCTTTATGTCTATAAGATTAGATATTGCAGTTTATACATGATATGAATGTCCATGTGTGCTGTTTTATGGCAGGAGGGGAGCGAGTTGGCATCAACCCAAAGATTAACAACCTGATGCCAGGCTACGGAGCATCCCAGTTCCCCCTGATCTGGGTGTGTGACAGTGGCATCAGAGGTATGTACACACACATGTACAGCCACTCCCCATCATGTCCAACCTTAAACACTGCCTCAAGGCATTGCATATGTCAGGGCAGAGACTCAAATCTGAAATCCTGAACTGAGTGTCTGTCAACAAATACTCTGATCCAGATCTCTGCCTATAGAATCAGCAATACCAGCATAACATTGCCCATCATAATATTCCAAAAGTTAAACATTCACTTAGTACATTACTGGTGTAGCTACTGATATCATCTTTTATGCTTGCCAAATTAATGCTGTATGTGTATGTGTATGATACTGAACATGAATTGCAGATTGTACCAGAAGAAGCTCTGATCAGGATCTCTATAGGTACATGTAGAGACTGAGAGTTTCATTGAAATGGACTCCAATTGGGATTTCTACTGGTAGAATCATCAATTCTACCAGATCAGAGTCCCTACCCTGACACAAATTCATTTTGCCTCTGGGTATGAACGTATTTTGTTGTAAGTATTTGAAAGGGATTTGACCCTAAGGCCAAGTTGGAACGAAGTGATGGCTCGGAGCTCCACCAATGAACGTCACTCTCTTAGGGGTTGTTTTGAAATGTTATCAACAATAGCTGCAAAATTCCATCAAATGATGGAAAGATAAAAGGTGGCTAGATCACTGCTCTAGAGTCGAGTTGCCTGATATCTTGGTGAGATGTTGAGATGATTTTTCCCCATGTTGTTCCTCCCAGTGAGTAGAGACACCCTGACAGACATGGCTGGTCACATGACAGACAACATCGGAGTGGTGCACCAGCTGCCATACGTGTGTGACAGGAAAGGCTTCTCCAGCCTGCTAGAGAAGGTGAGTGTTACTGTACAGAGTTGACCAGAATGTTACATATGGCAGCTTTAAGTTTGTTACTGAACACTGAATGGTTACATGTAGCACTTGTGTGAGACTTGTCCCCAGTCGCACAACACATGAGGACACATTAACACAACTCTGGACACAAATTATGTCTCCATCCGAGATAAAGAAAGCAGATGGTTTGAGGGTGGGGTTAGAGAAGCAGTACAAATCAGAGCCCTCTCCCCATCCTAAAACCGTGACCAAGGCTGTCACTGACTACCCCCTATACATGTATAACACCCTCTTTCAGTCACATAACCTGTGTTGACCTTCTAACCTCCTGCACCAGACAGCAACCAGTATAAATATAGAAAGAAAACTGGGTTGACAGCTCAAACTCCGACAACAGCTGAAAACAGTAAACAAACCCTTTTGACCTAATTTTCTCGTGTGCCCATAAGAACACCCTGGGCAGGAAAAACATCATCACTTATGTCTCTTATTATAGCCACTAAACTGGTAAAATGAAGAAAGTTTGACCAAAGTAGAAAAGTTTAGATCCTACCTGTTCCCTCTAGCCCAAAAATCTCCAAACTGGACCAAAATTTTTAAGAGCAAAAAAGAATTTTCAAAGATATTAACTAGGGACTACAATCATGTTCCCATTTGGGGTCCCCCCACTGCACAATGCAATAGTGACGTCTGCCTTTAAGTCATTTGTTATCAGTCTGAATTCCTTGTACTGTTTTCAGGTGTATTTCGGCACGGCCCATGCCAGGATGTACATCTCAGCTAACGTGCTGGGGATCCTGTGTGTGACCGGCATGTCCAGCCTCTGGAGTAAAAAGGTCATCGACGACGCCGGCGGTCTGGAGGTGTTCTCACAGTACCTGGCCGAGGACTACTTCATGGCCAAGGCAGTGGTCGACAGGTGTGTGTTACTGTTAGGGTTGTGTACTGGTACTGTGTATCAGTACTGTACCATGAAAATTGATTAGGTACAGACCTGTACCTAAACTGGACTGTGCCTGTACCTGGACTGTATCACATGCACTCCATAGCGCGTTTTACTAACCAAAATTTTATGCGATTGCATGAACAGCTACACACGTTTTACCAGAGAGATTAATGGGATTTGAATGAGAAATTCACCACTTTTGCACAGCATTTGCATGGGAAAAAATACTGTTTACAGTTGGTGTGACTGCAATGATCACCAATGGATACTCTGTGTCTGAGTGAAATGCTGACCTTTTCCCTGTTTGCTGTATATTGCAGGGGTTTGAAAGCTTCCATGAGTAACCAGGTGGCCCAGCAGAACTGTGGGACATACTCCATCCGAGCCTTCAGCTCCAGGATGAGCAGGTTAGTAAACAAAGACATGAACAAGTGCTCTAGTCAGCGTGCGTCTTTTGACCGAATTTTCCTGCTCATAAGAGACACAAATTTTTGCCCAACCTGTCATCTTTGACCGACAAATTTCGGCATGAAAAGATATTTTCATAAAGCAGTGAAAAACAGTTTAGAATTGTTTTTTGTCTGCCATGTCTGTGTGTGTCTGTCTGTCTGTTTCTCCATTGCAGTTTCCAAGAAAGTCTGCAAAATGATAAGTTTGCAATACAGTACTGCAAAAACTGTGGATTTAAAAGTACCATGAAAAAATTGTGATTTACAGTTACTGTACCATTCATTGAGGGTGAGGTCTGCCATCTCTAACTGCCTTGTCTCCATGTCTAGGTGGACACAGCTGCGAGTGACCATGATCCCGTTCCTGGCCATGTGGGAGCCGATGACGGAGTGTTTCCTCCTGGGGCTGATCTGCAGCTGGGCCTTCCACCACCTGTTTGTCTGGGACCCTGTCACTTTCTTCATCTTCCACATCACTGCCTGGATGATCTCCGACTACCTGCAGTTCAGGACCTGCCAGGTAGAGGGTGCTGATTCCTAGAGCAGGATTCTTTCAGACATGTAAAAGCATCCAATGCAATTTCAGGGAGGGAAAACAAAACTATTCTTGATAAGGAAATCTGTCTGATATTGACATTTTTTTTACATTTCGTAGCACATTTTCAGCATCCTTTCATACTTGAAGCGTTTGAAATAGCCCAACAAGCTATGTCAGGCATTTATTTTTTGGGTACCACCCTTGAATAGCTAGAAACAGCCTACGATACAACAGAAGCAGTGACTTTGCATTTTGAGTGAGTGAGTGAGTGAGTGAGTGAGTGAGTGAGTGAGTGAGTGAGTGAGTGAGTGAGTGAGTGAGTGAGTGAGTGAGTGAGTGAGTGAGTGAGTGAGTGAGTGAAAGAGTGAAAGACTTTCAAAGAGTGAAAGAGTGCAAACTTTCAGATGTTAGCCATTGATAAAAAAAGCCATTGATAACAATACATGTACCTGTGAATTAATCAGTACTTTCTTCCCATTGCCACTCTTTACAGATGATGGGAGCTGCGTCTGTAAACAAATTTGAATTCCTGATCGCCTGGCTGCTGCGGGAAACCCTGACCTACTGGTGGTTCCTACGCGGCGCGACGTCACGCAGCATCAAATGGAAGACTGGCAAGTTCCGGTTAAGATGTGGCGGTACCGCTGAAGAAGTATGATAGGGTCTATTTTTGTATTGGTTTAAAGATAGTTAGTAAGGGACAGACTTAGCGTCAGTGTGTGAAACCACTATATAGCCTGAATACAGGATTAAATGTGTTACTGTTTAGAAGCAGTGCAGAGTGTATGATACTAAGCGTACTTGTGATACGTTTCTGTGGGTAAAGCCAGCTGTTGAAATTTGCTGCCAAGATTTGCCAGTGTCTGTGTCTGTATGTGTGTGTACGAATGCAGAAGTTACTTATTTTTAAGGTATGTTAGGCCACAGATGCTACATCATGTAGTATGCAGTAGGACAAGCAGGTTTAGAGTTAAATTACAACATTGAAGCTAGAATGCTTGGTGCTTAGGCGTCAGCTGAATAAAATGGGTATGATGGTTTGAAACATGTTCATGTAGGACTAACCTTTAGTCATGCAAACTGGGAAACATGGACCTACAGTACATCTGGTTATATCAACTGCATATTGCACAAACTACAATGTACATAATAATAATAATATACATTTTGTATGTTACAGCAGCTATAATTGTAGTATATAAAAATAGAAAAAGAAAAACATGCAGGCACCAGACAAATTTTACATTAACCACTCAGAATTTAGGAAGTATGCATCATACTAAAAACTGTTTAGAAAACCATTGCCATTATTTCTTTCATACTTCATTAGGTGGTAACAATCAATGCAGCAAATAAAAATCCACATACACCTACATTTGTATATAACCCCCTCCCCCCGGCTGTGCAAGTAGACATCAGATATACCTGCACAGCCCCAATTTTACCTGCACTAAGGTGCATATACATCCAAGACCTGTATTTCGAGCCCTAGTCAGTAGAATGTGTAGTTGCTGTTGTTTGGCAGTGTGTATGTTAGTACAATAAATGACAATGCTCTCTTCAGTGGTAGTCCTTTTGACCCTGCATGGAATTTTGATGGAAAAAAAATGTCAACCATTTCATCTCCGAAAGTCAAAACTTTCTGGCCTGGAAAAAATGTACAAAATTGAGATAAACGTTAAAGCAAGAACAACAACAACAACATGGGCTTCTAGTTGAGTCAACATTTGCCTGTTTCTTAGCTTAAACATTTTGTCTATGTGTTTGTGTATTTGTATAGAATTAGGGCACAAAACTTAATTGCAGCTCTTTGAAATTTGCCCATCCAAATCCATTTGGAAGTTCAAACTCTTGCATAAAGAAATCAAAGAAGAATTGGGATAAATCAGTATTATGTTGAAAAGATTGTCTGCCCAGCTTTTAATTTGTTTTGTTTTTAGATGCTAGTATACCAGTAACATCATACAATAACCACAGATCTTTTTTTTTTACAATAAATTCAGCCAGTAAAATTTAGTAGAATTTTGTATACGATTGAGAGTAATTTTTCAATAATTTTTAAAGAATATTTATTATGGTAAGAGGGCATGTTGCTAGTCATTTATGCATGCCACTTGTATGCAACATTTCAAAACTGAATAAAATTGCATGTACATGTACAGTGTATAACATTATCACATAAAATTATATATATTGAACCGGTATGTCAAGTGGTGCTGCTAAATGTTATGTACGATATAATCACAGGATTTTGGCATCTTTCATTTCTTAAGTACCTGAAAGCCAGCATCATTTTAGTAGTTTCTTCCTACCATTGTTTTGTGTATTCATGTACTATATAACTATGTAATAAATATGTACTGAGTACTATGTGTATTTATATTGACATCAGTATGGACCTAAACATGTTTCATGGTTGTATATTTAGTGTCAGTCTGTATCTTAATAAGTGCATTTTGTAGACTTGCCAATGTCTCCTTTCTATTTAGATTAGGCTGCATATGAAAACAGAAGAGTGAGAAAACTTGGGCTATCAGTCTGTTAGTTGAAGTTTGATGAAATGACACTTTTAAATCCATAGTGCACATCCTTCTGACCATTCACAGGCAAAATACCTATCACAAATGGCAAACGTACTCAGTCTGGTGTTTTTGTCCATAACACGCTTCACCAGTATATTTTTCTACCAATGCCTGTATGAAAAACTTGCATATGACACCTGTACATATTATATATTGAACAAGTGACGTTACAGTATTAGTGTTACCAAAGTGCTCATGTGTTCTTTTTTTGTGAATCTGTCCTGCCACCGTGTAAACATGCCGTAGCCATTTGCACATCTTGAGATTGACACAGAAGGACAACGTTATGCTGCACACTAGGGGTAAAATATTATTAGCATACAAAAGCAGTATTGTCTGAGTCTGCCCCCCTCCCCAAGATGGTGGCCAGGTAACCAGATCTCAGCCAGTACATTTCAAGACATAAACAGTGGTTAGTAAAACTGATTAATAATTATACATTATGTATTGTTAAATAATAATTATATTATTGTTGAATAATGACATGGGGAAAATCATATATTACATTTGTCTCAAACCTTGAATAAATTGAATTGATTGCTAATTTTCCGTTGTAATCACGTTTGAGAGAGCCACAATTTGGTGTTTTGCGTGAGTTAAATATTCTACTGTCGATGTACATGTACTTAGAAATGTACAAAAAGTCATGTACCCATGAATTTGTACTGTATCTTTTGTAATAGGTATTAGTAAGCTTTGCGATATACTATTGTGTATCATTCACGCTGTCTTATGTCAAATCTAGGCGTCTTTGTGTGTGTATTTTTGATTACTCAGGAATCATTGATCTGTACATTTCTGGAGTGATTTTGCTGATGATTTGTGGATATTTATACTGATTGAAGCTTATACAATGTAGTACCAGTAAGTAGTCTTGCTGCTCTGTTTGCATAGTTTGATTAAAAATGTTACATTTCTCCACAATTGTATGGTCTATGTCTCCTGTTCATTTTTATATTTTCCACTTTCAGAAGCCACACTGAAGAATTTTCAGGACTATTGATACATGATTGTATGTTATGTCATACACCAGTTGAAAAATTAACAGACTACAACTAATGTCAAGTTTGAATTTAGAATACGTTTCTATAATTCAGCTCTTTATTTTGACTACAAAATTTCTACTCACATATCAAATACCAGTAGATCTATCATTACTTAATATCTACTGTTATTCTGTACAGAAACAAACACAAACGGCACAGAAAATACAAACCTTCTTGTCAAAGGTAATGCATTTAACAGTAATTAAAAGCTTTCAGTTTGCATAAATTGCAAATTTCATCGTCAAAGTAGTTATCTAAACAATTTCACACAATTCACTAGCAGCATTGAATTTGTAAAAAAAATAATAAAATCCAAACTGATTTACATTGTTGATCTTGCATCTTTCATGACTCAAAAAGCATTTAATTAGGGCTAATGTACACTGGTTCTACACTGGTTCTTGTATACTATACTGAAGCTCTGTCCCCATGATTGTTATTCTGTTTCATTTTACAGTTCATAATTCTTTATGGTTCTATGTGTAGCTTTTTCCTAGACATTAAATAGTGTTCTATGTAACTCTACATGTCCAGCTAGAATACTTAAATCACTTAGATTCCCAGAACTGTCCATGTACAGTTTGTAGATCTATAGTTCCCCATGTTGAGCAGGTGGTTCTATGGTGTAGTTCTTCCTGGGTGGAACTGTGCCCTTGACTGTTGTTCTGTGCAGAACTCTCAGCCCCACCTGGTCCACAGGAAGCTGTGTCTGGGGGCTGGCTTCATGGCCCACCGCCAGGTTGTCTGAGATGATGAAATCTCCAACCTGCCACTGAAACAACACAATGAAAACAAACCTGAGGGAAAATTGCAGGGCTGTTAGTCTGGTATCCAGGCTTTCATGGTTAGGGCAGGGCAGCCTGTTGAGCTGAGCAGGGGAAAACTATTACCGGTAGAGACCCTGAGACAACCTGCCCCATGCAATCACGATAGACTAGATACCAGTCTACAGGAGTATCACACAGCAAAAATATATGATGTTATACTAGTAGTCAAACTTGCCCAAGCGACCACCTCTATAAGCCAGCCATTTGGCCATAACGACCACTTTTTCTGAGCCCGTCACACATTCAAGTCAGAACCCCGACATTGCTACTGGCTATCAACTGTTCTCGTAGAGGACCCCAACTCCCCTGGCATATCATCTGTCTATTTGACCAATTTCTAATCTTTCCAACTGCTTCCCAAAGCCTGGTAGAGGTAACGTTACATTTTCATTCCCTTTACCCTGTATATATGCTGCATGTATTAATAATGATTGACATACACGTACCTTGTGAGAGTACTGAACTGCATTATTGTTCTTGACAAACTCGTGGTGGATTTCCCTCAAAAGCTGACTGGTTTCCTTCCAGTCTGTTCTTCTCTTCTCAGCATGCGGCAGGCCAACAAGAAAGGACTCTGTCATTCCAAGGTGAAAACACAGCGTCTGTTGTATTAAAAATGAGGAAGAAGCAGTGTTATTTTATTTAGAGGGCCTGCATGGGGGATCCTGGCAAGGGTTAATGATAAATTTAGGACGGACAACAGCACTTAACGGTACATTCAGGATAGGCAAGAACTACCGGTAAATTTTATATAAGTTACACATTATGAAATTGTTACTATAATATTCTAGAAGAAGTTTGACCTTTAATCCTGTTAGTGGGTGGCTGTAGATCAGGGGGTGGACAGGTCCACTTCTGCGGTCGCTGACCATCCAGAGCTGCTCCCAGCGCCAACGCTGTTCCTCTGTTAGTCCGGAAATCACCTCATTCAGCGGGGCAAACACTGAAACACAAGCACACTCCTGACTAGCCTGGTCTCCAGTCTATAATGAGCACTTCATGACCTTAACAAGTCCAGATCCTGAGATATGAAAACAAGAAGTTCTACGTCTACTGCAGTACCAACAAAAGCTACCAGGGGGCCCAAAATCTAATCATTTCTAGGTCTCGTCAAGACCTACCGTAATACCAAGTTCATGACAATGCATATACAGATTCTTGAGTTGTGCTCAGAATTCACAAACACTAACTGAAAACATAACCTTCTTGGCAAAGGTAACAAACCTGTGTTTCCCTGCTTGGGCACGGCCACCATGTGATACAGAGAGTAGCCAAACGGTGCAGGCTGGAAACTGCCGTCGATGTGCCAGCCTGTCCGCCCCACCCCGGTACACCCTTCTGCCTCATCATTCGACACGCGAAACACGTCAGGATGCGGCGACTTCGGATGTTTGTAGAACGTGGACTCCAGTTCTCCAAACCAGCGGCTGATTTCCACATGGCGGTCGCCGCTGACGGTCCCCTGGTCCTTAAACACCAGGATGCGATGTTTCGTGACGTCCTTCTTGATCTGTTCAATGACTTCTGCAGGGATGTTTTCTTTCAAGTCGATACCCCGGGCTTCTGCTCCTAATTATTGTGCAAAGATATAAAAATGATTTTTACCTTCCAATCCAAATACTTAAAAACATCCGTCATTTCCAGAACAAGCTATAGTATATGTACTCGGGGGCTCAAACTCACATCATTTTTGTCCGAGAATATAAGAGACCTTAGCATGTCCAGATCATGGGATATGAAAACCATAATTTCCGCTGCAGTACCATTACATGCCGTGAGGGCACCCCAAAATCATTGGGTCCCTGCACACACAAACGACCGCTACCGAAACAATAGCCTTCTTGCGAAGGTAATAACTTTCTCATCGATCAACGAAGATAATGAGCATATTCTAAAGCATTAATGGTGCTTCAGCATAAAGTGTCTACGTGCGACAAGGCACTGAGTGCTACGTGCGACAACGCACGTAAACGTTGTTGATATACCGTTATCCCGACTATTCCCTTCTTCAACAACAAAAGTAGCAGACTTGATACTTATCTTGATCGGGGTGAGTTTGTAGAACTCGTGGGCAGCCATCCTGGAGAATAATGCCACGTTGATGAGAAACGTTACCTTCGACATGCGACGTTACACCTTACGTGAGTTTCACGCACACCCTAGCAGTCGACGACCGCCATCTTGAAACTGGGATGTGCCATTTGACTATCGGGGGTATCCGTTCTTCATTGCAAGTTCATGCCCCGTGGGCTATTAAAATTGCAAACTTTAGAATACTTCTCACCGATCATATTGACATCGTCAATTCATCGGTTCTATGACTCTAATTAAATAGTTCCAAGGGACTTTTATTTTGACCGACGTCTTCATCAACATGTGATGGACAAATAACACCTGTTAGGGACCCAAGCAAACACCTGTGATAGCTCGTAACAAAGCATGTTTGTCCAAGTCATCCTACAGACATATGAGATATGAGCCGTCTTACGGAGAATACAGGGACGGACGATAGGTCAGCGGTTACCATGGGAACAGACATGTGTCTATGACATGGTGACGTCATCGCCTGGGAAATCATTAATTTGTGATGAAGCAATTAAGCTGTGAGTACTTGGTTGATATGATGGGTGTAAATATGATCTATCCAGGGCACCATTTAACTCAGTCAATGTGTTTACTGGTTACTTGGGGTCTTGTGTAAATACGATGATCGTTGTGGTAATAGCGGCTTAGGTGCCGGTCATCTAGAAATAGTCCCATCAAATTAAATTCGTGTCATTTTCATCCAATCAAGTGATCACAAAGGGGTTATGCAATGCTGCCCAACCTGGTCCCAGATTTAGCCCATGATTACCAGACGACAGGACCACAGCAAACAGCTATGTACATGCTGTCGTACATTGTGAAAGAAATGAGCAAATAAATACATTCAAAGCTAGGAGGCCCAAATTTACACCACTAAACCCTTTACGTGAACAGCTACTCGTATATGCCACCTAAAAATCACGTCCACAGTCTAAAAAAACATACTGCAGTACCAAGTTCAATCACCAGGTGCTCAAAATTGACTTACAAAATCAACTTCACCCCATTTCATTCCGCCCGACGAATTTTGAGATATACACGCAAACATCACCCAGACCAAAAAATTTTCATGGAGGCAACAAGCATCGTGGGACAATTTCTCCTATTACGCATCAATACGGGATGAAATTGTAACGTTTCCTTTAAAACAGATGTTGCTGTTTGTAATTTTTGTCTTACAAGCAAACACCTGTTCACGGGACAGATCAAGATTTGTGGAAACGTCGCCTACGCGCCTCTATACCAGGCCCTACATATACGACCCGTTGTTCGGCACTTATTTGCAATGGGGTAGGGTTGATTCAAGTTACTTTGTAAAGAAATGATTAAGTACTAGTTGTCTAGCTGCGACCACTTCTAGAAAAGTTGAACGTGCTCTTGGCAGGGTAAGTCACACGCCACGGCCATAGATGTTAGCTGTGCGTGCGTGGGAACCTGGGCCTCACTACGTTCAACGCTTTCTTTTTCCGACGGCAAATATTTAGCTGCCATACTTGAAATACGGTGCGCCCTCTTTCAGGATGCACGTACTGGTTGCGCTTTCTGTTGACAGGCAGTGGCCACCGCTGAAACTATTTTTCTGTATTGTACATAGTTTCAGACAATTACATTTTATTACAGCGTGATTTTGTAGTCATTTGTATTCTGTATCAATGTTCTTTTGTCCTTGTTATTTGCCTTCGGGCAGAAATTTGCAATAAATTATGATCGGTACAACTGCGCAGCACATAACCAGTCGGATTTGTTGCCGATCTACTCCTAACCATGGTTGGGGGGCGTTCGGCTGTCACAGTGTTCGGGAGTCTAAATTAGTGAATGTGTGACAGGGGCTTTAATTGCAACAAGGAATATAAATTAGTAGCCAGTATATAATTCGAAGTCAACACCTCACTAATTACATCTCTATAGCTAGTTCCACATACTGAATCATAACAATACTTTATTGACACAACAGTACAGCGACTTGGGTAAGGTCTATAACTAAACATACATATACAAAGACGCGAATACAAAAGAATTAAAATACATACAAGTCTATGAATAAATCAACATGTTGACTTTGACGTATCACATGTAATCCTGCCGGGTCTAAACATTCTTTGATTTGTGCACAGTAGTTATAAGGGTGTATCTCCTTCTATTATATAGTTTAATTTATCTATAGCACGTAAGGTATTTTTCTTGTCCGTACCTTTTCTTTAGCGCAGAATAGAAAGTTTTGAATATTCATGCACAATTAAACCGGACGTATTGGATATGTACGTCTATGGGCAAGTTATTTACCGGAAAGAAAACACACACCTCTAGTTTCACATAGTGTAAAGCCTAGGAAAATCAATGTTTTGTGTCTGGTTTTCGAGTCCAGGAAAAAAACTAGGGTCGTTAGTTAGGGATTTTTTTTTTAGCTTTTTTTCTTTTCTTAACTCTCACGGACCCGTCCACCTGTTTTCTTATGGTCAAATATTTCACCCGATTTACTGAAGAAAGAAATATGCTGAATATGCGTTAAATGATCATGAGGTTTTAAAAATTTAGAGGGTTTGAAACTTTGGTGGCAGATCGAAAATTTCATAGCCTTAGTGGTCGATAAAAAGGCTATAATCAGCGGGTGTTGCCAGGGTCTTTCGGGAAACCGGGTTATTTTTTTCCTATATTAAAGGCCTCAGCCTCATTCGTAGTATATCCCCCAGACGATCCCAACCGCAAACATGTGGTGATTTGTGAAGGTAAAGTCTGCGTAAATGTCCGTGTCTGGGTTCCAGATACACTGGCTCGAGAGTTGAACCTCGGACTTCTTCCCCGTGCCCAGATGGACGAAACACACCAGCTTGTACCGCGGCACCTGCAGGGCCTTCACTCGGGTCTTAATCGTCTGCAGAACGGAACGGAGAATGCAACATTTGGCATAATCAAAGAGGAATTGTATAAAAGTGTTGTTCTATGAAAGGATAGTGTTTGCCTCTACCAGACTCCGGGAAGCGGTCGGAAAAAAGGGAGAAATTGGCCCAATAGAGAGATAACATGCGAGGGAGTTGGTCCGCAAGAGTACGGGCACTACTTGCCCTGAAGTCTGGCCTTCTTATCTCTAACAGATCTTTCGGTAGCAGAATCGCAACCAACCGTTAAATCGGTAACCGGTTGGATATGCTCGGCTAATGAGATATTGGGTTACGATTTTGCCACCGAAAGACCTGTTTCTAGATTTATAGCCTAGCCTGGGGCCTGGGTAATCATACGTCCACGTAGACATGCAGAAAAAGACCCTACCACTTTTATGAGACGGATATGGCCATTTAACATATTATTGTTTGGACGATACAAGTCAAGTTTCGCCCAAAGGCAAATATTGCAAAGGCAGAAATTTTCAACAAAAAGCAAATATGAGGCCTACTTTGTACCTTGTACAACTGTTGTGCCGCGGTAAAGTTACTATTCGTCAGATATCATAGCATATGTCGGAACATACCTCGGCCAGTTCCATGGCTAGTCCGTTACTGTCTTCAGGTCTGTACCTCTCTTCTCCAAGCCGCGATTCTAACACGTCTTTGATAATCCCCTGAACCTTCCGCACGGGAAATTTGACATCAGGCTCCGTTTTGTAGGTGTTCTCGACGATGACCGTAGTCCGGCCGCCCCCCTCTCGGCCCGCCAGGCCGCCGCGGCCCGAGGACTGGGTACTGGAGGCGTGGGTCCGCACGGACGAGGCCGACAGTTTCCTGATGGTCGTTAGAGTGTAGATGTCTGGCCGAAGACTGGACATCCTAGGGGCTCCTAAAGACTTGAGAAGTCGTTGAAAAATCAGGTGTGAAGTTGTATTTGAACACCTGTAGACGCAAGGAGGCTGACTGACTTTAAACCTCCTTGGCAGACGAAAGGGCCTCGGATATTGAAAAGTCCTCACAACTCCCCAGACGGTGGAAAAAGGGTGTGAGCCACAAATTGATCGTGACGATTACGACTGTATTGTTATTTTTATGGAGGCGTCCAAAGAAATCAACCCAGCTCCTCCCTTTTAATTTGTCTGATTGTGTTTCTTGAAACTCTTCAGTACTGTTGTCTTCGTCTGTCAACCTCGCAAGATTTTTTTCTCAGATGACTTCTTCAGACGTTAATGTTGGAAACAACAAAGAGGTGATTTTTTCGATCAGGCCTCACCTAGTGCTAAACGATGTTTAAATGAGCCTGTCGGACGTCCTCTTGTCTCTCTCTCTGTCGTCTTCAGTCCGTCCTAAACCCTCACTAGAGTAACCAGTCACTGTCCGTAAAGAAGACCACGGGGCGACCAGATAACAACAAAGGCTTCCCAGTGTTATTTCAGTGCCGTGCGGGATCATGAAAAGGGACGGTAGAAAGTAAACGTTGATCCGGCGATGTTTTCACTCCGGCCCGGCACACAGCCAGGATAATTGTACCCGTCACGTATCGTCTGTGTCGGCATGACGACGCTAGTCAACTGAACTTTCACCCGAGAGACCCCTTGTTGAGAGGGATTCAAACCAATCCCTCAATAGCCCTCAAGTGAAAAGAATGTTTAGACCTATAGAGCTAGTAGCATGAGTGATACGTTAAACATAACATGTTGATTTATTCATATACTTGTTCAGTATTACGTTAATCCATGTGTATCCACTTACTTACTTGTATGTATTGTAAAGTTGTAGTGGACCTTAAGAAAGTCACTGTAGTGTTTGTTGTGTCAATAAATAGTGTCTAGTATCAAGGACATTATACAGAACATTATACTCTTATATAATGTCCTTGCTAGTATTAAACAGGTCTCTTGTGAATATGGGCAGGGGATATTTTGGAATGGTTACTGACAATAATGCGATGGAGCTGTCAACGAAAGTATTGCATTATCATAATGTAATACTTTTGTTGACAGCTCCATCGCATTAAATACATTGGGACAGTCCACTTGTGTAGTATATGTGGACCTGAACATATCTGTTTCATCAAGGAAACTGTTGAAATTCATGGTTCGAATTTTTTTAGGTTAGCCATCAATATTTCAGGTTGCCGTCAACACTGGCTGTTTATTTTAGACGGCAAGACTTGTTTGCTTAAAAAACAATTACTAACTTGGTGCTTCGTTTGGTGGTTATAGCAACGACAAGGTCCTATCACACCATATACTAGTACACCTTGGGCAGGTCATTAACCCTCAAGAAATCCATATGATGGATATGATATGAGAGAAAATATTTATCATTTGACAAGTGAGGGAAACCTAGGAAAAGTTTATTGGTCAAACTTCATGTACAATGTACTAAGTAACTTCCAAAACATTCGGCATACATTTTCGAGACTGTTGTTGACGACAGACTCTTCTTGACATCCAAGAAAATATAAAAAGTGTAGGAGCAAGAAAATTCACCTAGTCCTGTTTTCCATTTTAATTTACTATTTTCTTCAATTGGAAAAGAAGAGAGAAATAAATTACTAGTACATCACTGCAGGAAAGTTGCATATAAGTGTCAGCACCCTCTATTTTGTAGTTGTACAAGTTAGTGATTTTATTGGTACAGTACAAAATTCTCTACCAGAAGAAATGAAACATGTCTGTTTACTTTCATTGTGAGGTGTATACTATTAGATAAAAAAGAAAGCCAGATTGAATGTATAAGACATGTTTGTTAGTTTATCTGATAAATAAAATGTCATTTTTAATTTATGTAAGAATGTATGTATTGATCATATCATATCTTTCAGACATCCAATGCGATTTGAATCCGATGAAAGCCATAATGTGTTGTGCAAAGCAATTCCGCAAAACATCTCATTTAAGGTCGCATTTGCATATTTAAGGATGTCATTCCGTACGTAGCTTTCAAATGTAGTGTCCGTAACGTGTTGTCGAAGTTGTGTTGGACAAGATATATCATCTGTAACAGGCAAAGTTTTGATACAACATTAATGAAACATATGACGACAACAAAAAAATCTGGGTTTTGTGCAGGTGCAGTACGTTCTGCCGATCTGCTAACTACTGCAACTTCTGCACCATGATCTGTTCTACAGTTTGCTGCTCCTGATGTCCTCTTTGATCCGCCATTTCATCAGGTCCACACAGGCCACAGCATCCTCCTTACTGTCATGGCCGCCAACTGTAGGGACACAACGGGGAACAACGTGTCTCACCACCAAACAAATCATCACAAACATTCAAAGACAATTCAAACGCTACTTATGGATAAATTATGGAGATTACTTCCGGACGTTTCGACTGAAATCCATCACTCTTCTTCAGCGTCACTAATATGAACTGAGAGAGACAATGAGTGAATCAGATGGATGTCACTCCCAACATCCAGAAGTAATCTCCGTAAATTATCCAGCAGTAGAGTTTGGACTGCCTTTGGATATTGTTTACCTGGATGTCTAACCTTCATCAGTGTACATATCAAACATCTTTAAGTTGTTTTTTTAAGTATTCCAGCTGCCGTTTTCCAAAGACTACAATTGGTATGTATGAAACAAAGATGTAAGTTACTTTTCTCAGGAAATCAGCAACTTAAACATATCCTGATCTAAAATATGACAAAGATGTTATCACACAGAAGTTCCTGTGGACCTACCGTCATTCTGTATGATTTTCTGCAGAAACTCGTTCATGAGTGTCCGCAGAGCTCTCTTGTAGGGCGGGCCCATTTTATGGGGAAAGACAACAGACGTGTCCACCACTTTACTGTGAATGATCTGGGAAGGAAATAAAAATCAAACTTAGGAGTCACATATGAAATTCCAACTAGAGCAAAATTCAACACTGCATTCAAAAGCACATAGTAAATGTACATTTGTATGTATGGATATTCACTCCAAACAAACCCCTCCCTAACAGATCATCTATCATGACTGATTACTTGTACATTGTACTTCTATGGACTTTTCCTAATGTGCCATTGTTTTCAATCATTTTCATCATTTAGATCCAGTTCTTACTACCCTTGATATGACATTTTGGTATCATAAATTAGGAGACTGGCAATTTTAATCATACCTTGAGTGATAAGAGGTCACTCTCCAGACTGTGTCCCAGGAGCAGAGTTTCTGCACTGAACATACTCAACAAGACTGCCTGCACATCCCTGATGGTGGTCTCTATACCAATCATGTCTTCTGCCTTGATACCACTGAACCTAGAGGGGGAAAGCAGTAGACATAGCTGCTGCAGTTACTGTAATATTTGTCTTTCAATGACAGTCTCATCCTATTTTGTGGTAAAGATTCCTTACTATTAGCAAAAAAAAAAGCAAGTAGCATGACCTTTCAAGTGCCTATAACACAAATGTTAGTTTCATTGGCTAGTTATCAATTCTGGTGAATATGATTGGGAAATGCTGCATTTTGGTATCAGAAGCACTTTAAACAATGTCAGTGGCCACTTTCTGTTTCTTCAGAATCTGGTGTATGACATGACTTACCTTGTGTTGTAGTCAATGACTTTGTTTTCAGGCTTGACCAGGGTCTCATATACCAGTTTGTTTGACCAGTTGACCACAGAGACTCTGGTGAGCTCCATGCCTCCATACGTGTAACACTGACAGGGATGTAGGGTAGAAATAGCTTTGTCAGATTATCAACTTTTGTGTCACATAACATTGCTTGGAGAACTCTTGCCAAGGTACATTGTACAGTACTACACATTCCTGTGCTATTGCAAGTCCAGGTACATAGTACCATGATAATTATGTTAACTTACCATTTCACAGTCTAATGCGAACACCCCTGGGTCATCCGTTGGTGACTTCTGTAAGGTGGTGACATATCCTTCCATGTCCTCCTTTCTAGAGTCCCATACATGCAGCTATAATAAAAAAGAGCAGTGATGAAAAAATGTGGAACTGAATGTGTTTCTGTACCTAAAAGCAGGCCAATTGATTGACACGTAGAAAAATTTCAACACAGATTTTGTATGCTTGCATAGGTACTCAGTTTGCGTTTGTGAGTTTTTTGCCTGCTTGTACTTGTGTAAATCGGTTCTATATTATGTTCCTGTAGTTTGTGTCAGAATGAAGAAATGCACCCACCTCCCCTGTAGAGCAGCCCTCTGCCTGGGCGTCCCCCTGACAGCAGGTGTACCGGGACTCTATCCCACCTGCCACTGTACAGGAACAACCAACAACAACCTTCAACATCACATTATTATTATACATTAAAGCTGCATCACACAACATTAGAATCATACATTTTCTAGTCATTTCTTTACAGAGTAAGTTGAATCAATACGTTCATGGAAGGCACACCATGTCTTTCCCTGCCAGTGTATGTTTTAAATGCATAAAAAGCCCACTGCAGTACTCTTTGAAAACACCAGTTGAGCCATTTTCGAACTTGCCCTTCGTTTTCTGCTGCCCCACATAATATCACGAAGATCCTACTACAGCTTCTGGAGTTACACTGTTGACAACATACAGTCCCACACCACTGCCACTCCACCATGGCCAAACAAAAAATATACATGTACCCTTCTGGCAAAGGCAATTTGTATAAGTGTCTAACCTCTGCGTTTCCACAGCTTGCCATGGTGGTACACACATTCGTCCCTCTTCAGGTACCGGTTGTTGTTCAACACTGTGAACTGTTTCCCACAGCGAGCACAGTACTTCATGGTAGCTGAGAGGAGGAATACAAAATGTAAGAAACAAACCTAAGCTGTTACTGGAATTCTACACAAGGAATACGAACGTGAAAATTAACAGCAGTAAATATATTTGCATTATTCAAGAAAAAGTTTATACATAGTACAAGATGACAACAGACTACTTTCAGCTTCATTTAAGTTGTTGTTGTATAAGAGAGGCTGCTATGTTCAACATACAATTGAAGAGACATGACAAAAAAATGTCTTACGGTCAGAAGACTTCTTTGTTTGCTCCTTGAAGAGGACAGCTGACCCAGGCTTGTCCACGCTGGGTCTTGGGAAACCATTCTCTTTTAGCTGTTCTTCTGTTAGCACATAATGCAGCAGATGTCTGTATAGTTCTGCACCTGGGGTAGACACATTCAACAATTATGTACTGTGTAATGAAGTTTTGGTACTTTAGATCAACACTGCAAAGAGGTCTTTGCTATGTAGAACTTAAATATCAAAACTTCATTTTCATGGAATTTACCAACACAGATGAGCTTTCATGCTAATTATGCACTGTACACTGCATCAAAATAATCTATGAAACCAAATTGCTTCAAAATGTACAATTTTGCACCAAACCCTGATTTGTCATGGCTTTCGTTGGGCGTTTGCATTGGAATTTTGCCCTTTGCAGAACTGATGATATCTTCCCGGACACAACAGTTAAAAACGGCAGATTTTGAGGGAATGTCATTCTTAACTCCGCAAATACGACCTTAAACAAAACGTTCTGCTGAAGTGATATGCACAATACTTTATGGGTTTCACGTAGGCACAGTGTGTTCTTCCATTGTGCTGAGTCCTGACCTTGTAAGTTGTCCTCAGCAGACTGAATGGGGTGTCTGTGGATGGAGAAACTGGTGTGAGCCGCCCTGGAACCGCCCAGCACCGCAGCATGGGACATCTTAGGCCGCTGCTGATTGGCTGGCACGGCTACAGGAGACATACGGGCACTGTGTCAGATAAAGATGCTGGCAAATTCACACTTTTACCATGTATGAGTCTGATTGAGTCATATACCATTCAACTAGAGTTTGGCAATCTCATTTACATGTACCTCTATGAAATATTTAGAAATTTTATAAGCAGATGACTTCTACACTGTGTGCATGAAATGCAGCCAGGGATGATTGTGAAATTTTCCCTGACCTTTTTTAGTAGGAGTGGTGGACAGTCCATGTTCGCTACGCAGCCTCCTGATGGTGGACACTGTGGCCGTCAGGTAGCCTTGTCGGGCAGTGCAGCGGTCATAGCAGTCTTTTTCTTCCTTCAGGGCCTAGAGAAATTTCAAACCATGAAATCAGAGTGGAACATCATCAGAAGGGAAACATGGCATGGCACTGCCAAAGTCTCACGCAAACATACAACACGCACAGACACACACACACACACACACACAGACACACACACACACACACACACACACACACACACACACACACACACGCACAGACACACACACACACGTCAAGCAATAAAGTTCATTCATCCATCCATCCTTCCTTCATTCATTCATGTGATCCTTAGCACAAATGTGGGGGCCTGGTGGGCTGCTGAAACTGTACCATTGTGAGAAACTCACCCTGTCATAGGCTGCCTGTTCCGACTGACAGATGAGTAGACACTCGTCCACTATCTTGTTCAGGTACTGTTGTCTGGTGCTGGTGGGGATTTTAGAACCAAACTCTGCAGGCACTGTCGGCCTCTTCAAGGTACTCTGTAGGGAAAAACTTCAATGATGAAAATGGCAGGAAGAGCATTCCTAGATCCTGAAAAGCAGTGTTTTTAAATAGCACTGAGGTCTCTACCCTGCTTTAAATAAGACAGAAATAATAAAAGAAATGTCAGGAAAATGATATATTTCCCTCTACTGTTACTGTATCAACTAAGAAGCCAAGAACTTTCCTAACTGTTGCAGGTGCAAACTCATAAATGTGCGGCATTTTATTCATATTGTGAATGGATATATGTTGTATAGTGATCTGTTTCTTTCAATTGGAAAAAAAGAAGCAATGCATCTGAAAAGGATTTTGCTTGGGGGTCTTCCTAATGTCTGAGGTACCAGCGAGCACCGAAGGCACGAGGTTTGTATGGGTTTGTAGGGTTTGAAGGTTGAGCCTTCTGAAATGCCATTTCTTGCATATTTGAGAGGATTTCAAAGGAAAAATCAGAGACAAATAGGATTCCAGTCCCGCTGGTGATACAAATCAGTCCACATTTTAAAGAAAAATCTTGGACCTTTAGATAAAAAGTGGACCGAACCCCCCAATCCCCCCCTGGCTACGGGCATGGGCTAGAACCCTGGTGTGACCTGACTGACCGGTGCAGGGGTGTGTGCCACACGACGTCCACCCTTGGGCGCTGTCTTGGCCAGAGTTGGTGCAGGGGTGCTGGGAGATTTACGGAGGCTGTTCTGGGGTTTTACGGGGCTCCTCTTGTTGTTGAGGGTGTATTTTCCGGCAGGTGGTGGGATCTTTGGTCGGTGGGCAAGACGTTTCTTGTTTGCAGCTGAGCTGAGTAAGGATCCTGAGGAGCTTGGTACTGACTGTAACATATCAACAACATCTCATTAAATTTTACTTATCATATTTAACACAACAGATGGGGAACATCAAATTTTAGAACATGTTTAGATGCCAAACCCGGTATATGTACATTGTACAATGTCATGTAGATGATGATGCCCTTTGCTAGCATGAAAACTATATAAAATTAACCTTCTTCTACTGCGAATGTTCAATGTCTCAAAGTACTCAAGAAGTACTTAAAATTCTCAGTAAAAAGTCACTGAACTACGGTCCATTTACAAATTTTTAAGAGATCACCAGGGCATTAGATTCAGTACTATGTGCAATGGTGGCCCGCCTCAGCAGCAGCTGACATGCTGTATGGTATTCCACATGTAGATTAGGGTATTCTGGAAGGTAATAGAGGAGACATACAGTAACTTGAATTACAGTATGAGGAAATTTTGACAATAAAATAGAGGCTGCAGTTCACCTCAGGTTCAGCAGGTGGGGCTGCTGCTGCCATCTCCTGGAGTTTCTTGTATCTGTCATGAATCTGCTGCGAGGCTGAGGGTCTGGGTCGCTTCTGGGTCAACCTTCTCATGTTGGACTAAAGATCACAAAAAATTTCATACAATAACATATTAATATATCAAACTATTATATTGAAATCCTGCATTCCCCCACATACTGCCCACTTAAAATTACTCCCCCCTACCACGTGCTGCATCACATTCAGGCATGACCTCCCTATCAATCAACTGCCCAAATTACCTCCCATTCACCATGCAACCAATAGGTATTAAGGAAAGCAGAGACCACAAACCCACAACTCAGCCACTCAAAGCAATACTTCTGCTTCTGGGTCAGAGTTTAATCAAATCTGACTGGGGTTTGAGTACTAGTAAGTTCGGTGGTAATACCCCAGAATTGCGTCTAGGAAATCCAGTCTAAGACCTTCTGTACTGAGAAGAAAAGTACCCTTGCACTCACCGTGTCAAAACTTGCCTGGTGGGCTGTCCGTTTCTTCCCTGCCTGTCCAGGTAGACTGGTGAAGTTAACTTCTTCCTCTGGCAAACTTTCCTGTATGATACAAACATAGGTCTCCAAATGCTTTTTTCTCATATACCATCAGCTACATCGCATTTTTTTCTTCACAGGTATCAGTACTAGTATGCTATGGGATATGGTTAATTCAACTTAAATGTACTTACCCAAATGTAATTACCCAAAAATTGACCTTAAAAATCCCACTTTATTGTGATGAAATCGCTTTAAAATTGCCTTTAACCAACCTGAGTCTGGTCCTGAGAGCCCATCTTGTCATCGGCCATCTTCCCGTGTGTCTCCTGGAAAATCCTAAGACATTCCTCGTACGGATCCTCTGAATCTTCAAACTCTTCCTCCTCTAACCTCCGCAGGGTGTCAGGGTCAAAGTCAGGTCCACTGGTGTTGTCGTCTGATGTGTTTACAAATAAACATGATCATGACAGTGGCAAACAAAACTGTTCTAGAACAACTGATGATGTTAACTGTTTACACCTTTAGAACATTTTCCTGAACAGCAGCCAACTGGGTTGGCTGAGGTTTGGAAGCAGACTCTGACCATATTTAGGCCATGCCTATCTTTTTCTATGAATTGAATTTGAGTTAAATTTGAGTCAAATCAAGCCCCAAACTACTCACCGTGATCAGATTATGGCTAATACAAGACAGGGGTTAGCCAGGTCTCCATTCCAGTGGTTTCCAGTGAATCACCAACTTTTAAACAGTCATGTAGTATTTGGAAATTGGACCATTGCACACCGGGATATGCCCCTAAACTTTTTCCAAAGGTGTGCCATGGTGGGCCCTTTAACGTGCGTGGAGTATGGCTCTCCCCAAAGAAGGGAACTCCATTTAACGTCCTTTTACTATTAGCACATTGAGAATGTTGAGGTCTTTCATCATGACTACCGTACTACAGGATATAAACTCACCTGAGGATGCATCCTGGGAAGTACTATCTGTTGGCATGGGGACATCATCTTCACTATCATCTCCAAATAGATCAGCATGGCTCACTTTTATACCAGGTGTCGTCTTGGTCTTACCATCCTTGTCTCCCCTACTTTTCAACTTCTTCAAGGCTGATTTAGAAATAGAATGTCCTGACTTCTCCCTGACAAATGTATCACTCTCTGAGTCTGAAAACGTGAGGTCGTATGGCGACTCTAATTTTGGAGTTAATTTCTTTTGCGAGCTTTTGTGGGCCACTAACTTTCCATGTTTGTCATTGCTGGCTCCTTTCTTTGAAGAGCTGCTAGAACTTGACTTTTCTTTTCCTTTTTCCTGTTTTTCTTTTTCACGTTTATGACTGTTTTTCAATCCTTCAGAACTTATCTTGACATGTTTACTATCTTTTCCATGTTTGTGACCCTGATTTTTATTTACTTTGTCTTCTGTGGATTTGGATTCAGAATGGACCTTGTAGGTTTTCTTAACTTTTGTGCTATTTACTTTGCTCAAATATTCATCGGAGTCACTTGGATTCAACTTTTGTTTTTCAGTTTTTATCCAGTCCATTTTTTCAACAACTTCAGGATGATAAGTTTCGGAGAGTTTGGTGGCTGTGCCTTTTGTTAGAGATATAGAATGTTTGAGGTTTTTCATTCTCTTTCTTTCATTTTCTACAAAGCTGCCTGTATTATTCTGTCCAATCTCTTCATGTTTTGCTTTCTTTAACTTTCTTTTCTTTTCCCTGTCAGACATATCAGTAGAGCAATCTTCAGAAACTAAGTCAATAACAGAGTCCTCTCCCTCACTCCCCTTAGGCAAATTGTCAGAGGAAGAATCCTCACTATCAAACACCTTCTCACGTCTGCTTGGTTTGGAAGAGTTTTTGTCTGTGCTTTTTAATTTTGAACTTGACTTTGATGCAGAACTGTTTTCTGTTTTTGACGTTTTCACCTTAGAATGCTGCCGACTTTCCTTCTGTTCTTCTTTTGTGGGATTTTTCCTTGTGGAGTTTTTCTTGTCACCAACAGCCTTAGATTTCCCATCCTTTTCTTTGGTTCTAGTTTTACTTGATACTGACAAGTCGTTGCCATGCTTTGCTGCTTTTTCATCTGAGTTCTCAGATTGGTCCTTAGAAACTTTGGCATCTTTAAGATGTTTAGAAGATTTCTTTTTCTTGATGTCACCTCTGTCTGGTCTGGAGGAACCATTAGTATCATTACCCTGCTTGTTGACTGGCCCTGTTGCTCCAGTTTTCCTTGTAGAGCTTTTTGACTCAAATAGCTGTGTTGTATCTTTGCGTATATCTTCATCATTCATTAGTGTATACTGTGTTGTTGAACTTGAAAGACCCAGGCCGGTCTCAGATACCTTATCTGAGTCTGACACTCCCTCATTATTGCTTAAAGTACCTATCTCTGGAACTGTGTCTGATTCCGATATTCTATGCTTTATCTCCTCACTATTGCTTACATCGTCTGCTATTACATCCTCTCTAAGCTTTGCATTGTCTTGACTACTGCCCAAAGCATTTTGATCTTGTCCAACTTTTCTTTGCTTACTGACTGGCTGTGCAGAGCTTTGCTCAGAGATGTCTAGCAATTTCCTCTTCTGTTGTTTCGGAACAGCAGAATAATTCATAATGGGGTCATACTCCATGTCTGTTCCTTGATACTTGAAAGCCTCTGTATACTTATTCACAATTACTGTAGTTGGTTCTTGCCTTATGTCATTACTAGTGTCTAGATCAGTGATGGGAGTAGGATGGTAGCCTAAGCTGCCACCTATAGCTGTGGATGGACGTGTAGGGTCGTACTCTTGTTCTGTAATGTCGACCCCCGCGGCGTGACGTTTCTTCAACTCCGCTATTGGAGTCGGCCTGTACTCCAGTCTCCCCGCGCGGCCGGGCATGGTGCTGGGGAGTTTCGTGTGGACAGCCGGAGCGGGCGCCCCTCCTCTCGGTGACGTCTCGCTTGCAGACGGGTCATAGGGCATGTAGTTGCCATGGTGATGGCTGAGATCCATCTGTTCTTTCTCCATCGCATTCCGGACTTTCGCCACGGCGTCCTTGACGATGTCGAGTCTGAGGACCGCGGAGGAGCCACGATTGTCGTCTTCCTGAGCGACATCGCTTCCTGAGAGGTGATTGGTCGATGCTGTCTGTACTGGTCTCACTGGAATGGAAAGGGGTTTAAAAAACTGTCATGGCATGTGACAAATGGCATTCACTGACCATAAGTATGCAAATTAAATCCTGATAATGATTTGCATAATTTTCATCTAATTATGTCAAGTATTACTAGTAGTTGAACTATCTACAAACCAAAAATTGAGACCACTATCTGTCAACCAGTTCTTGAGTATTCCTCCTTGAAATATTTGTGTCTAGATGTATTTAAAGCTCCTTGATATCAAACCCGGAAGTTCTGCTGCAGTAACATAACAAACCACCAGGTGGCCCAAATGTAATTATTTCCAGGTGTCATCAAGGTTTAAAAATTATATCAAGACAATCCACCCAAACATTCTGATTCTATCATGTTCACAAACACAGCCACACACACTCACGCTCCCTAAAACATAACCTTCTTGGCGAAGGTAAAAATTAAGTTGAGTTGTCAAAATTTCTCACCATGCTTGAAGTGGCAGTGCGACCTGTCACAGGCGCCTTCTGCCAGAAAAGGGCACGGATTGTTCCTGAAAAAACCTGACGAAGTAAACATGTCTTAGTTCTAGCGAGCAGTTCACAGTAGAACAAGATTACATTGTTCCATTTCATAGAATTTCGCGAATTTCTGCAGCCCTCACGGTGTTTTCTGCTAAAAAGAGGCCATCTTTGTTTACGAATGAAGCAAAGGCTTGCGGGAAACCAAATCACAGTAACTTTTCTTTTGGGAAGAACCATTTATTTCTACACATATAAAAATATGATCTATATTTCTATGGAAATAATTTAAGTGTTGAGTGATTAACTCTGGGGATAAACGCGGGAAAACTAATAATAAATCAGGGTCGACCTTTGCCCTCTACTCAAACCATCATGGCGGAAGCATCTCTTTTTTAGTACTCACTATTTTGGTAGAGAAGTTACTTCTTGTACTACGTTCTGTCGACACTGTTGCGGCTTTTACCGACTCGTGAGTGTCTATAATCACACCAAGCACACCTAGGTAAGTAGGGAATTACTGGGATTTTCCTCATCCCGGCGTTGTAACGCTATTTATTCGGAAGGGGGTGTATCTTTTTCACGATTACGTTACCAACATGTTCCAGGCGAATATGTGAATCGAACACACAGAAAAATAGCCAATGTTGTCTTCTCTAACATGACTAGAGGGGACAGAGGCAGTAGACAGTGTCTCAGTAAAGACATGAACAAACATTGGTGGGAATAAATGGTTATTTTTTCCATTTCATTGTAGTAAAAACATGTACAGATACCAAATCCCACACCAACATGCACTGATCGATGTTTTCATATCATCTTGATGCGTGGATTTAGGATGTTACAACTTGGACATTATTGGACTCAATGTAGCCCTTTTTTCTTTATCAAGGTTGATTGTGGGAGTTTTCATGTTGTTAATACTAATAATAATTAATATGAATGTTGGTAGATGGTGATACATAATGTGCCAAACATACTAAGTACATGTATGTAAAAAGTTACCATGGTCTGATGATATACATTTGCTAGATTACATATAGCTTTGAAAGATACATATAGTGTGTTTGAAAGATCTCCAGTGTTCACCCAGGTATGTATGCACTTTATATAACCGGGGTTTAATTCCATGTGTCTGAATATGTCGTATCATTTTTTACCATAAAATAGTCTTTTCCCCCCATGTTCAAGATTTACAAAAAGTTGAGAGGGTGATGAAACTTATATGTATGAAAGTCCCCTAATGGAACGCAGTTCTTGATTTAAAAAATTTACTCACTAATTATGAAAAATAAGTCCTATTGCATTGCCTTAAAGAGTCACAAGGAAGCCTATGATAATTTGGTCTTTTCTTCATTTTGACAATACTGAGTATCAACATACGGAATATCCTAAAGATCCATCCATAACTTTTTGCATTACCCCCCCCCCATACACACACAAATACACTACTAATTTGTTCATCTACACATCTTATTTAAGTTGTATTCATTTCTGTCATGTAAAACATGTGTAGATGTCCATGTAATTGTGTGTGGTTATGTTATAGAATAAGATCATAGCCTGAACATGCAATTTCCGCTGATTAGTGTATACCGTATACACGGCTTTTTGCACAGTTTTTTCACTGTTACACGGCTTGCATGTACGTATACAGCTTTCAATCACAATTAAACATGAACAAAAAGTTTTAATTTGTATCATATATAACTACCAAGTAGTACAAACACAGATGGTCTTTCATGAAGGTTTGAAGTATGTTTTCTGCCAACACGGCAGCTAGATGCTGGAATTTTGCTTGTTTCTTGCAGGATAGGAGGGGGTTAAAGTGGCAGGCAGAGCCATGGCGTCCCCGATCGAGGTCGATGACCCCAGCATCGTGTCCGCCCGTCCCCGCGCCCGGCCGCAGATCAACCCCGGCGCCACCGAGAAACTCCAGCAGGACCTGAAACGGATGGTACAGACCGAGCAACAGCCCAAGTTCAACGGACCAATCAGGGACAAGAAGCAGGGCGACAGATTGGCCGACTCGTGGCGCGGCGGCAGCGGTGGTGGCAGGAAATCGTGGAAGAAGCACCAGCACAAGCTGGCTCGCGGGGAAAGATTAGAACAGGAAGGGAGGGTGGATGGTACATGGGATGGGCTGCAGGGTTCTCCCCAGTTTACTGACAAGCTCAGGGACAAGACTGGGAGGGACAGGCTAACATCCGCTGGGGGAAACGGATCCAACAGACAAGTCCAGTCCAACGAGGGCAAGTTAAGCATTACAGTCGACAACACTGCAACGCCACCTAGCGGCCAGTATGCCATACTGCAGAGGGGACGTACCAACCAGAGTAGTGGGAAGCCTAGCACCCCTGGGACAACCGACACAGATGGTACAGCCCAGCGACCTTTGACACAGCAAGGAGCAGACCAATCAGAACGCAAGAAGGCCAAAAAGGGACAGACCAAAAACAGAAGGAAAAAAGTCGCCAACGCAGGTGACAAACAAGGAAACAAGGTTAGAAACCCCATTAAAAGTAATACCTATCTTCAGTGCACAGTGAATGAGTAACACCTAGATTGCACAGTGAACCAGTATTAATAATATTTGCTCTGATGAGGATGACAGTCATTGAAATGTATGTGCTCTTGTTAAACAAGAAAAGATCTTTGCTACTCCATTATTCACCAATCTGATGAAATTATAACAATTGTACTTGATATTGTTTGTTTGACAGGATGAACCGCCAGGAAAAGATGGAGAGACAGCGCCCGAAGACATCATCCCAGAGGCCACTTCTCCCGAACTCATCAAACTAGAGAAAGAGTTGGAGAAGGAGTATATCTTCAGACTGAAGAAGGTAGCAATTCTGACATTTCCTACTGATTTTGTGGTTTCATATCTATTTCTGATATGTACCTGCACCTAACTTGCAATGGGTTACTTTATATGTACTGAATCTGATGAATGTTTATTTTTATTTGTATTTACATCAAAATCAGTCCGCAAAGCTTAGCTGGTGTGTTACTCCGAAAGGCAGTTATAATTATACCAGCTATACAGATAATGTCTCTGTAAAATGCAGACTGCAGATGGGTATTTCTAATGCTTCACACATACAGACACACACACATGAATGCTACCAAAAATATAACCTTCTTTGCAATGTTTCCTTTCTTGGCAAATAGCGTTCTGCAGCCTTCCCCTCGGCCAAGTATTTCTGCCGGCTGTGCCAGTACCACTGTGATACCCCCGCCGTGTGCCAGCGCCACATCAAGGAGAGCAAATCACACAGGAGCAGGATACAGGTCAGAGGTCACAGGTCACTGTAGGTCAGGAAACAGGTGGGAGGGTAAAGGTCATAGGTTACATAAGGTTCCAGCAAATGCCCAACAGATTCATGTACTATCAGCAATGGTGATCATATGAAAGCTGGTTAGAATTTATGTGGGGTTGTGTGGCGCAAAGGTAGAGTGTTTGGCTCGGAACTGAGAGGTCCCAGGTTCAAATCCTGCTATGTCATCGATCTTGTGCCTTTAGGTAAGGCGCTTAAAATGACGTTCCTCACTTCACTGACAGGTAAAAATGAGTACTACCTAAGCTTCTGTTAGGGACATCCCTCGGATAAGATGTTAAATGGAGGTCCCATGTTTGGGAAGTGACACACCTTAAGCATGTGAAAGAACCCACTACACTTATTCGGAAAAGTAGAAATCCTTAAGGGTTAACAAACATGTACAAAAAATGAAACGTCATGGATGTAACTCATATTTTGTACCCTAGGGAAAACGAGCCAATGAGGAGCTGCGTAAGATCCCCAAGCCCACGGCGGCCCAAGTCGGTGCCCTGACAGCGCTCCTGGAGAGGGTAGAGAAGGAGCAGGGTCTGATGACAGCAGACATGACAGCACGACATCAGCTGTCAGACAGGGTGGAGGCTGTCATACAGAAAACCCTGCCTGGTACGGTACAGCATAGCTCAGCAGGACGTACTGTGTGAAACTCATAACATATTTTAGCTGTGCCACGATAAAGTTTGATACAAATTGTGTTCCAGCCCGTGTGATAATATTGGTATGGCCTTTGGTCCCTGATGAAAAGTACTGGATGCTACTTGAAACGTCTGACAGCTTTCAAAATCTATCCAGCTGCTAGAGTAAGAATTCTGACTGTTGTTTTTACTCCAGACTGTAAGATCCAGCTGTATGGGTCCTCCCTGAGTGGCTTTGCCCTGAAGACCAGTAACGTCAACCTGGATGTGTCTGTGCCCAAGGAGGTTTGTACATAATGTAGTCTTAATCATAGTATGGAAAAATTCAACACAACACATGGAGGCCCAAGTATTTTGAGCTTTGACCTACATGTAGTGTCATCTTTACTGCTATATAAATGAAAGCCAGTTTTATGGTTTTTAAACTACATGTACTTGTAAGCATTGCATCTTGTGCCCAATATGACTAAATCCTTGAATTTAATTTTACAGGCCAACCCTTCTGAGATTCTTGCCAAAGTAGAACAGATATTAGCAAAAGAAGGTAAGAATATTATGATTTAGTATCAAATTGGTGTTTACGGCAATGACTTTTTCTGTATGTATAATGACAAATGTAATACATTATATGCCAGGGTGGAGACACTGTCAGTAGAAATTCTGATTGATAAATTCTGTACATGTAAATGATCCTGAATATGAATCACAGATTGTATCAGCAGAGACTCCAATCGAGATCTCTACTGGTAGAATTCCTTAGACCTTACCTTAGATCCTCCCGCAACTACTGTAGAATTACTGATTCTAATAACAGCTCCCTGCAGCTGGTAAAGAGCAATCAGAAGGGTGTAGTACTACTGTAACTGTAACAGTAACTACATTTTCTACATACATAGTCTATGTTCATTGAATAAGACTTACTATAACTTGGCAACTTGAATATAATGAGAAAGTGTATCTTAATTGATGGCATAAGCACTGAAATTTTTGCATCGAATTTATGTACTGTGGGATATTTGCTGCCTCTTAACAACTATATATGTTTTTCCCTCTGTTTCTCAGAGTCCTTTGCAGATGTAGAGTCCAACTTTTCGGCCAAGATTCCTTGCATTTCATTCAAGGACAGAGAAAGGTAGTGCACCGCTTTGTAATAAAATTCTAACACCAAACTGGAATGTTGTTACAATTTGTTGTTTAGCATTGAGATTGTCACTTACATTGCAATATGGTCTAGTATACCTCTAACTGTATACATGACTGATGAATACATGTAGTTGTACCACAGTACTGACACATTTGATTGTTTCCAGTGGGTTACAGTGTATCCTCAGTACTGGGAATGATGCTGCCATCTCCACCTGTAAGCTCCTGGCCACCTACGCACGGATAGACCACCGTGTCCGAACTCTGGGCCTGGCCTTCAGATACTGGGCCAGGGTGAGACAAGCAAATCTTTCAAGGCCAATAAAAACTGCTACAGTGTACAAAAACACAATATGCATCATCTCACACATACAATACAATGTACTAGTAGATGACGTTCCAAACAACATACAAATGCAGCGAAGGGATAGTGAGTTACAGCTCCGAACGTACGGATAAAACTAACCACAATACTTCTTTTGAAGGTCACTGACCTCCTTCACATAGTAAAAGAAAAACTTTTAGAATAAATTATTATTATGGTTGCTCTATATGGTACATAATAGGACTGCCATTAATGTGTGGCTAGTAGCCTTTAGTTTCATACATGTACCTGGAAATTTCATCTAGATTGTTACATGTAGGTTGTGTCTTCTTCTTACAATCAATATACTTTCCCTGACAGGTGTGTCACCTGGACTGTCAGAGTGAGGGCAGCATGCCTCCACATGCCTACATCATCATGACGGTGTACTTCCTCCAGAAACACCAGCCTCCACTGCTGCCAGTTCTACATGAGGTAGTAGTAGTTATTGTACATGTAGTTAGTAGGCTACTAGCAGTAGTAGTTGTCAGTAGTTACTGTCAGTGAGGGCAGCATGCCTCCATATGCCTACATCACCATGACAGTGTACTTCCTCCAGAAACATCAGCCTCCCCTACTGCCAGTTCTACATGAGGTAGTAGTACAGCAGTAGCAGTAGTACATGTGAAGTAGTACATTGTAGGTAGTAGTAGGGACTGTCAGAGTGAAGGCGTTTGACACAGAGCTTTTACCTATAGATGTGTGTTCTGCCATTTTTGTGATGAAAATAATAAAAAATTGACCCCCTTACTTTTTAGCGTTGGCACTTTTCTCTCACTTTTCCATTTATTTTTACGACTTTGCCACAGGCTATCCCTGACAGTATCCACCATACAACAGTCATAGAACGAGATGGCAAAGTACTCATACCCAGGGTGGAGAAAAACTCAGAACCGGTAAGTCAATCTTCACCTGAACAGTTCTGGACAGCATTTTTGGTACAGATTTAAAATACCATAGATGCACAATCATGTCATGTACCAGAACTGAATGTACCGTACCTGAATAAGTTTTCTTTATGTCTGAACTAAATATTTTCACTAGGTGGAAGGGACATTGTGTGACAATCGTCATTTGGGTTGACATAACGTCATACATGTATGATATTTTTTTCAGGCAATGTGACGTATCATAATGATATTTCTCCAGGTTGACGTGACATCGTACCGGCAGACCCCGGGGCGTGTGGGCGCCCTGTGGCTGGAGCTGCTGCGGTACTACAGCGTGGACGTGGAGCTGGAGGACGTGGTCATCTCCATACGGAAGAGCAGCGCCATCACCCGCTCCGAGAAGAAGTGGCCGCACCGCAGGATGGCTGTGGAAGGTGGGAAGGAAACAGGACTTAAGACATCCAAATTGAATGCAATTTCATTGTTACGGTGGCAAAAACAGAAATATTGTGGTTGAGGAAATCTGATATTGATGTGCACTGCCATTTCGTAGCACATTTTCATCATCATTTCATGCTCAAAATAGCCTCAAAACAAGCTACATACGTAAGCCATTTTTCTGGGTACCATCCATAGCTAGAACCAGCCTACAATACAAAATAAGCAACCATTACGGTTTTCTGTCAGCAACATCACAGTTTTGCCTCATTTGTATCAGTATATTAAGGTTCATCATTCTTATATAACATGACCTGAAAATTGACTTTGAAAATCCAGTTTTTCCACCCTAAAATTGCATCAAGTTGGATGCCTTTACAATCTTATAACATGGGCAAACCCTGTAGTCAATATCAATTGGCATAAAGAAATTTGCTGAGATTCTTCTGTGCACAACAGATGGGTATTTCTAACACTGGTACTGTACATTTTCTAGATCCCTTCTCCACCAAGAGGAACACAGCCAAGTCCCTGAACAGTCCATCTGTGTTTGACTTCCTGACTGAGCGGCTCAAACAGGCCTACATGTACTTTGGTGTGAGGAAACCAGCCAGCGGGGCAAATCAGGAAGACAGAGGAAGCATAGAGAACGGGAAGAGCGAGGAACAAGGTGAGTTTACGTTATCCACAAATTGGCCGATCATTCAGGCCATGCTTATAGAAAATCTGCCTGCCTATAATTGGCTCTTGCTATCCATACTAAATTCAATATAGTTTCTAAATAGTTATTAGTATGATTCACACTTCCCTAATTCTAAGTGGTACAGGTAAAATTTGTCTAGAGTAGATAATTTTCAATGTCAGTAATTTTCCCAGGGTCACTAATGAAAGGTAGTACTAGTAGATGCTGCCTGAAAAGTCTGACCAGTTGGTTGATCATGAGTAACTGTTATTTCCTGGATGTCTAACCTTCACCAATGTAATTTTACATCATTTATTATGTTACCTGCACCAGCACAGTATTTTGAGCCACAATTGAAGTAAAGTTTCTAATCTACGTACAGATAACACCAAGCTGAACCAGGCCAGTACTGCTGGTGGTTCCGAGTCAGAAGCAGAGAAATCTGGCCAGAATTTCAACTTCAACTATGACTTGGACCATCAAGTAGACAGTGATGATGGTATGTCTTCTGATAACGTGTTGTGACAGTACTATAGGACTCTTATCTAGACAGATAGTGTATTATAAGACACTAGGAATATTCAACAAGAAACAATCCACATGGTTTTGGTGTGTTTGAATATGTATCTGTATCTGTATCTGTATAGCCGGTATAACCGCCTTTCGGCGTAACACACCAGCTTCGCAGGCACGCGGCGCGGCGGCAGCTGGCTATATTACACCGATCGACTTGTTACACCTAACCCTTGAACTTCTAGCTCTAGACATTGTTTAAAGCTATCTATTGACAATGCCCCTACTGTACTTGGTGACAGTGAGTTCCACTCTGCGATAGTTCTAGGAAAGAATGAATTCTTGAACACCTCAATCCTTGGTTGATAACTCTGGTACTTGAATGCGTGGCTATTTCTTGTTCTCTTCTGGGCTGGTATTAGGTACTTAGTAGTTGGGACATCCACCAGTTTATTAGTCATTTTGTACATCATGCATAGTCTAGACATCTTTCTTCTGTCTTCCAGTGAAGTCCACTGTAGGTTTCTTTTCATTTCCGTGACACTAGCACCTCTTACATAGTTGTTCATACAGAATCTTGCAGCTTGATTCTGTACCCTTTCCAATTTGTCTTTGTCTTTCTTTGTATATGGATCCCATACTGTCGCAGCGTATTCTAGGTTCGGTCTTACAAGTGACGTGTATGCAAGTGATTTTACTCTAGTTGGACATGCCCACAGATTACGTTTAATCACTCCCAATGTCTGTTTCGCCTTAGTTGTGATATTATTAACATGTGTACCCCACTTCAGTCCGCTTGTCAGCGTGACGCCCAGATACGGATGGATTTTTGTGGTTGCTAAAGCCTGACCACAAAACTGGTAGCTAGTTGCATGTGGTGTTCGTTTGTTTGTTATGTGCATAATGTAGCATTTTTCGGGATTAAACTGCATGAGCCATTTGCTTTGCCATTCTTCCAGGGTGTTCAGGTCTTTTTGGAGAAGTTGTGAGTCGGTCTGTGTAGAAAGCTCTACATACAATAGACAGTCATCGGCAAATAACCTCACATTTGAGTCAAGCTGATCTGGTAGGTCATTTATATACAAGAGAAAGAGCAATGGCCCCAGGACGGTTCCTTGAGGGACCCCAGACGCTACTTTAACTGGAGCCGACGCCTTCCCTTCAACCACTACTGTTTGCTCCCTGTTGGTCAGGAAAGCCTTTAACCAATTCAGCGTAGGGCCTTGGATTCCATAGTACTCCAGTTTTGAGATGAGCCTGCCATGGGGGACTTTATCAAAGGCTTTAGTGAAATCAAGTATTGCTAAATCTACCTGCCGTTTACTGTTAAGTGCGCCAGCTATGTCATGGACTGTTAGTATAAGCTGTGTTTCTGTGGATCGTTTGGCTCTGAATCCATGCTGGTAATCTGTTAATATACTGTAACTTTCTAGGTGCTTCATGATTTGGCTATGGATAATATGTTCAAGTAGTTCGCAGGATATGCAGGTCAGTGAAACAGGTCTGTAGTTGCTGGGGACCGCTCTATCTCCTTTTTTAAAGATGGCGCATATATTTGCATCCCTCCAATCTTTAGGGATTTCTGCAGTGTTTAGCGAGTGTTGGAAAATATTGGTTTGAACAGGCGCGATTTCACTAGCTGTCAACTTGAGGAACCACGGTGGTATTTGGTCTGGTCCGGATGCTTTAGAGGGATTGAGACCTTGAAGCATTTTTTCGACACCATCAGTAGAAACTACTATATGTTCCATTGGAGGAGTACAGGGCTGGCCTAGAGATGGCATATCTGTGGTGTCTTCCTCTGTGAAAACGACATATGACATATGAAATATGACATATAGTTCTGTGCTGTTTTATTGGAATAAAGTAAAGATCTTAGTTTCAGTGTTTCAGCTATTATTGAGGAAGTCCAGAAGAACATGCAATTAATTTGTCAAATTGTTCAGGTACTGTAGAGGTACAGGTACCTCTCTACAGGTACTGTACCTGCTGTTACATTTAGGTACCTAACTCTATACAATGTGGGTGTGATTTTGCAGGAGATGATGGGGAGGATGAGGAAGAGGAAGAGGAGGAGAGTTCGAATGAGGAGACAGTGGAGACCATCGGTTCATACACAGAGTCCATGGACACCTCTCTGTCTGACAACAACAGCACCCAGCCCAGGGACTCCGTCAGTGACATGGACATGCTCGTGGAGTCCGTCGTGGAAAACTGTCTGTACTCCACGGCTGAGAGCTGCGTGGAATCAACAAGCGAACTGGAAGTGACCACGGAAGATGAAGTCACGGACGGAGCGGTCGAGTATAGGAGCGAGAGTTCTGAAAGCTGTTCCAAACCAGCCAGTACCACAAGAGACGTTACTGCTGAACCAGTCGGTAAAAGTGCAGATAGGAGCAAAGACATTGGAGGGCAGGACATGACGGCCAGTAGTGAGAAAGTCTCGCATCTCAACCAAAGCCTGGACTCTTGCCATGCCAACATAGTGACATGCTCTACAATAGAGGAGGCCGCTGTCTTGCTAGTCAAGTCAGCAATCAAGTCAGCGCTGGTGTCCCTCGGGAATACAGACAAAGCAGAAGAGATCGGTGATGCAAAGGAAGAGGAAAAGAAGGGAAACGACTCACACTCCGAGTCACAGAGCATAAAGGAGGATGAAACCACCAGCATTTCCAGTGAAAAGTTTTGCTTTGAATTCACCACACAAGCTCTGACTGGGGGAAAGGTGAGGTTATTTTTGAGACATCCATGGAAAATGAGCCTGTTACATTTTGGGACTTATTGGCTGTTGTCACAGAAAGATGTTACTCTTTTACTGTAAAAATGGCATTGTGTGACCAAGAGCCAATAGGCATGCAGCTTTTTGTTATGCATGGCCTGATTGGCCAGTTTGTTGCAGGTTGTTCTTCTTGCTGATTGGCTGTATAGATAATTGGATCATACTGACACCTAGCTATATTTATATAAAGATACATGTACATAGTGTTAGTGCTAATGATTTCTAATGGACGTAGAACAAAATGTGGTACTGTATAGTGTGTACATGTAGTTCTATCAATCTATGACTCACATTTTCATGTTAACTTAAACTTGTGTTTGTGTTTATCCTAACAACATTGATAAAGCCCACCTTTAGCTGCCTTATGTTGTTATTTTCAGAGGCCTGTCGTGACCTGCAGCCTGTGTAAGAAAGACGGGCACCTGAAGGATGACTGCCCAGACGAGCTGAAGAAAGAGCTGAAGCCCCTCCCTGACCTGACCCCTCAACACCGGGACCTGCTGGACAGAGTCTGTGTGTATGTGTATGGTAAGGAGTTTCACATATTAGCATAAAAGTTGGTAAATGAGAAATAAATTGTTCTCTAACTAAGAAAGAATGACTGGAATTTTTGACCGAATCTCTTGGTCTTCGTCAGGCATCTGATCCAATAGCTTTTTCTGTACATTTTACTTCAGTGATGTTTTTGTATTCTCCAGAAACGTGCCACCCCCCTCCCACTGAGTACAGCTACAGAGACATGATTCTGAAGGACCTGGAGAGCTTCATCAGACAGGAGTTTTCAGGTTAGACATGGCTTTTCATTTGTTTAAAACAAAGTATTCTAAAGGTTTCTAAATGTGTATTACCTACTCTGCCTACATTAAGCAGTCTTCTGGACAGCGTCTGTTTTTCTGTTATTTTACAGAATTTTGCCACTGATGATGGCCAAATTTTGTCCAATCCAGAATCTTTGCCCAATCCAGCATCTTTGACAGACAAAACTTGGCTGAGAAAAAAAGTATTTAAAATTTGAAACAGGTCTACTAGTGGTGCACTGCAGTTCTCTCTGCAACCAACAGGAGGCATTGCAGCTAAGTAATAATCATTGTTCTGACCTCTGACCCATCAGGTTCCCACCTGTGTCTGTTTGGGTCATCCATGAATGGATTTGGCTTCAAGGGCAGTGACCTTGACATCTGCATGACCTTGGAGGGTCACGAGACCAGCGATGTGAGTTCTCCTTTGTTCTTTTTATCTTACTTTCTATTCATTAACTTTCATAATGTCTGCTCAATCTAGACTTTGCTCAATGATACACACATCAGTTAAAGTCTTGTAAATTTTGAGGGCTTTCATTACTTCATTCTTGTGTTGTTTGTTTGTTTGAACAGTGCATTGACAAACCACTTCCAACCCTTTTTTTTTCAGGACTTAGACTGCATCGACATCATAGAAAGGCTGGCAAAGCTTTTGAAGAAGCATCTAGGTAGGAACATTGTCTGATATCTATGTAATAATTAAGATGCATTCCAATTCCTGATGATTCTCCTTATGTTCATAAATGTTTCTTCATCTTTAATGATGGGCTTCAGAATATGTGTACATCTATTTCAGGATATTTTGATTAAACCTTTTTCTGTTTGTTTCAGACTTGTACAACATCCTGCCCATCACCACAGCTAAGGTGCCCATTGTGAAGTTTGTTCACCGTCCCAGTAAACTGGAGGGAGACATCAGTCTGTATAACATCCTGGTATGTTCCAATGAAAGCTCATCTGTATTGGCTGAAGCCATAGTTTTAAGCTTTGTTCCAACAGAACAAAAACACTCACCATGAATTCTCAGTCAATGTCGTTGACCTTCGATCGTCACTCTTGGATCTTTGTACATGTAGTTTTGAAAACCCCCATGTCTGAACCTAATTTGAAGACACTCTGTGCCCCTGTCTCAGGCCCAGTACAACACTCGTATGCTGAACATGTACGCAGCTATGGATGAGAGGGTTCGCATTCTGGGCTACACCGTCAAAAGGTTTGCAAAGGTTAGTCTGTTACTTGTCTCTACAGCCTAGTCCTGTGCAAATATGTTAAAATCTGTGTTCTATTCTAAGGTAGCATCCAACTTTCCATCATTTGACAGATGGAAAGACAGAAGCTGGCTAGAAAATTGTTCTATGTACAGTAGCACTACTTAAAGACAGCTTGTGTTGTTAATGAAAGTTCATCTGTATTGGTACATTGTAATTACATTTTTAAAGTTTGATCCAACACAAGAGATTGTTCTTACCAAGAGCTTTTGACCAGTCACTCTGGTCTTCCTCAGTAGACTGAACCAGTGAGACCTGTCTGAAGTGTGACAGTCAACACTGGGCTAGAGAAGCAATGTGACAAATCTCACTGGGTCTTTTATGGAAGAGGACCAGAGTGACTGGTTGAAAGGTGTAGGTGAGAACAATCTCTTGCAGTTGGATCAAAAGTTTTTAACTTCAAACAGATTGTGTTTGACATGTTATCTCTGTTGTTCCAGATCTGTGAGATTGGTGATGCGTCCCGTGGCAGCCTGTCATCCTACGCCTACATCCTGATGTTACTGTACTTCCTGCAGCAGAGAAAACCTCCCATCATCCCAGTCTTACAGGAGGTAGGGACCTTTTCCACTGTGACACTATTTCTGTAGTTAAGTGTTAAGATCACAGCCAACCAGTCCTGACAGACTGTCCTGTCGGGAGGCAGTCATCAGCAGTGTTCTGCGCCTGCGCGAAACCTGCTTTTTCACAGTTTTTGTTTGATGTTTGGTCAATAAGTTAGAAATGGTTTATTAGTTACTATGACATCAACGGCATAGGTTTGATTCCCGAGGGCCAGGGTTCTCTTTCTACTCCCGCCTCGTGTTTTTCTGTGTGCTTCAGATTCAAAACAAATCAAAAGTTTTTTTGATGCTCGCTCCAGACGTCATAATGCCTATCTGCCACATGTTGTTTGATATGCTTACAATAAGTTACATTCAGAAATCAATTTACTTCCAGATCTTATTACAAGTCCTTCTATTAGTTTGTCTCTCCTTTGGAGGTTCCAGATGGTGCAGTTGTTCCTCCTTTTTTTCTGACTGTACCCTGGGGATAGTTACTAATTTGGCTGAATTTATAATGATATTCATGTGTATGATCATGATAGATTTAGAGTAATGCTTCATCGGCTATTTATCATATAATGATATATGGTTTGTAAGTAGTATGATGTTTTGGGCCTAAAACAGTTTCTAGTAGAAAAAATGTCGCTGATGGATAATGGCTGCTTGTTGGCTGGTTCTAGCTATTTATTGGTGGTACCAAAAATTAGGGGCCTCATCATGTACATAATGTACTGTATCTTTTTGTAACTTTTTATTGACTCAGAAGGAAAAGGCAGTGGAAGGAGGGGGGTGGGCTTTGCCCTCCAATACCGTGCCCTTGACTCAGTATATTAACAACCCATTGCCCTTATACAGCCTCAAGCAGGCTATGGGACTACTGTGGTCAGTTACTCACTCACACTCACTGCACGGCTTAACGTCCGTTGTTCCCCGTCATGTAAGGGTTGGACGTTGTGGGGTGTCGTTTGGGTCTAATAGCTGCTCTCCAGCTTCTTCTGTCAAGCGGGTTGGCCTTCTGCAGTTTCAAGCTTTTGACGTCTTCCCTAATACTGTCTACCCATCTCTTTTTTGGGCGGCCACGCGGCTTTCGTCCCTCTACGGGCATTGTCATGACCTTCCTTGGCCAGTTCTGTGGGTCCATCCATTTGTACATGCCCATACCAGCGAAGTCAGTTAGCCAGCGCAAAATGATCCGCAAGTACACTGAACCTGTCCACATGATTTATTCAGACTTGGTACATCTCCTGTGACAAATGTACACACAGCTCCAACCACAATGTCATGAGGGAAATTTGATTGGGTGATGTCAGCAGGCAAGTGAGGGGAAAATTAAAGCCGGTGTCTGGCCAGATGGCTTGGCGGCTTTTTCATTAGGACTCCGACATGTAATTTGAAACTGTGCCAACTTCCATGTCTGGGGACAATGCCAACAGGTTATTATTCTGCAAACTATATTTGCGATATGTCACAAAGAATTGTCCTCTCTTAATCCCACAAATGCCTGCATGGTACATGTATGATAATAGAATTTTTTTTGAAACAAATTCCCCTGCATCCCACACTTATGTGACATTGCTTCCTTTAGAGCATGAAAACTATCTACCATCCAAAATTTGTGACTCTAGCACGGCTAGATCACGTGATTTTAAAACCAGAAGTTCTGCTGCAGTAGCATAACAAACTGCCAGGTGGCCCAAGATCTCTTTACGATATATGACGATATATTCCACAAACTGTTGTATCATGTTGTATCATTTTTATATGAATATATGATAATAGAAAACAAGAGTACAAAACTACCTACCATCCAAAATTTGACCTAATGTAACATACTAACAATGACTTTTTTTGGAAATTGCTGTAACAATGGAAGTACCAGCGGCCAGTTGCTATAACTGAACAGTTAAACAGCTGTTTTCTCATAGTATAAAGTTCAGGGCAGAATTTTTTTCGTGTCTCATGTTTTACAGGCTGTGATATTAGGAGGTACAGGGCAGTGTGTTCTCACAAAGTCATGTCCTATGTTGGCTTGATGTTACTCTTGTTCAGGAAACCCCATAACTAGCCCATAATCACCCCTACATGTAATATATATTATGACATACAGTGGGAGTTATCTCTATGGAGCACATGTTGCTCTGCTGGATCCACTGAGTGAATGAGTGCTCTCCCCTGATAGATCTGTAGAGGGGCAGTACTATAAGTACTGGTGCCATGCTGTCTGACTACATGACTTATGTCTCCCTCCATCTAATGGTACATTGACCCCAGGCACATGCAATATAATGTCAAACCCACGGGCAACTCTTACATGAAGCAAGTTTAAACCGTAATTTCAAACACAAGAAGTTGGACTTAACCAAGTTTTTGACTGTACAACTGTTCTAAGTCTGTTGAGGAATGAGCAATCCATCACTTTTGTGACGTCATGTTATGCAGATGACACACGACTCAGAGACCAGTGGATCATAGGCTGCAGAAAGTGTGTGGTGCCCCCCGTCTTTGTTGAGGAATGATCGTGATGCCCTAATATAAAAATTTTGGCTACCTTGTGCAAAAAAAGTCTGGTTCGGTGTCCAAGATTCTTACTTGGTGAATTGCTTTGTCCTTGGCAAAGTTGTACAGTTGAAAATTTGGGTACGTCCAATTTCGTGTGTTGGAAATTACGGCAAAAAACTTGCTACATAATGACTTCTACCAACACAGATGCACTTTCAAGATATTGTACATATACCACAGAATGATAATTCTGTTCAGTCGTGCGTCACAGATCCTCGGTATCCCAGGTGGCGGCGACTCTGCCAGTTAACCTCCCTGGGACCTCTGAGGAGATCACAGTCCTCATTAAACATTAACTAGCTGGATACTTTAGCTAAAGGACAAGGTCACGTAGGAGCAGGTCGGCAGAAATGTCAGCAGTCCCTGTGGTGCTCTGATTATTACTTCTCTAGACACTGCGTTTTAGTTTTATGCATAGTCCTGTCAATGTCTATCTTGTCACAAATTGGTGAGTTCTTTTTAATGGTCTGACGCCAAGTTTATTTCAGGCCAGTTTGTGTGATTTGCATCTTCTTTGCACAAAAAGCATGAATGATACATGTAGATGTTGAAATAACATGTTACAATACGTTAATGTTACAATACGTTGTCTAATAATAGTTTTCCATTTCTGCATAGTCCTGTCAATCTCTTTCCTCAGAGTTGTCACAAATTGCTAATTTTTTAACTGATCGTTGGTGATGATGATGATTTAAGTGATACCATGCAGTAATTTCATTTCTAGCCAGTTTGTGTGATTTGCATAAATTAAAAAATTGTGGTTTAAGAGCTCCATCAAATAAAGTGGGAATCTGTGCATGTGGTAAGTGCCACCAAAGGGCATGTCAGAAACTAGGCTAAAGGTTAACTTCATTTGCTGTCTTCCCATTGGCTGAGTGCTATCATGTGATACCAGGCACTTTCACAGTCAGGCTCAAGGCAAGAGGGAAGTCAAGATCAATCATGGTTTATATTACCCTGCACAACATGTAAAACCCTTGTGACTTTTAGCACAATTTCTACATTGACATAGTACATGTACATGTTCTTGCAGGGCTCAAAATACTTTTTGTGCACACTGGCACTGATGCAGACATCATTGAAAATTACATTTTGTACCTGGCTGCACCAGACAAATTTTATCTGCACCACACAAAATATACTATTATATTAGCTAGTATGAATCACACTGAGAACTGTTCAGAAATCATTGACATGATTTCTATGGCACAAGAATCTGACATTCAAAACATATTTACATGTACTTACTAGGTGATAGTCAATACTCAAATACTTTTAAAATCCACTGAATTTTTTAAACATACATGTAGATGTAAAAACAACAATGACCTCAGTACTTGATTGCAGGTTACATGTACATGTAGTTGCAGGTAGACATACAAAATACCTGCACAGCTCCAATTTTACTTGCACTAACCTGCATATCCATGTCTATTTTACATTTAGTCCTCCATTTATGATACAAAATGTCAAAATAATGAAAACTGCCAGAAGGTCAGATCCATGTACTAGTCACACAGTCACGAGAAAAAAAGTAGGACTTCAATAAATCGAAATAATAAAAGCTTCATTTTGAAGTGCATGGAACTGGTTCAAAGCTGAAATCAATCCAAGGAGCTGTCTGCTCTTGAGTAAGCGTCTGCCATCTGTCGCCTGGATACGTACCAGGCCATATGCTGATGAATTAGTTCTGGCAGACGTAGATAGGGAGACTTGAGAATGAAAGGGGACATGTACATGTAAGAGGACTGTAAATCAGACTGTACAGTGAAGTGGGACATCAAGAGGCAGTAGCTAAGGGCAGGAGATGGGGAGTGGAGACTAGAGGAGAATAGTAATGGGCTGGACAAACTGAAGAATACAGTGTGCACATCACTGATGCAGAAATACTGTCAAATTCATTGAATTTCATGTTCATAGCACTCATTTTTGGCACAGTGTGAGAATCAAGAGCGGGGCTGGAAATACCTGCACACACACAACAAATTCAGACTTTGAGAAGTATAATTTGGGTCATACTAAAGATTGTTCAGAAACCATTGCCATTATGATTATTTCATATACTTCACAGAGATGGTAACAGTCAATACAGCAAATAAAAAGTCACCTACACCTACATATATTAACTATTAATCTACATAATAGTACAATGTACATGATATTCATGGTGAAAGTGCAGGTTAGGTGCAGGTACACATAAAAAATACCTGCACAGCTCCAGTTTTACCTGCACTAAGGTGCACATGCACCCTGGTATTTCGAGCCCTGAATAGTTGCACTTTGAATTACACAATTTCTGAGTCACTGTCACTGGGTTTGATCAAAAGAAGCCAGAGAGTGTTCTTAAGCCAATATCCCTCTCTCTGTCATTTGACAGAATTTTCCACCCATCATGTATATGGCCCATCAACTTATTTTACGTAATCTGTCATCTCTAAAATGTCTGTTGCAGCTCACAGTGTTTTCTGGAATTACCAGCATGCAACTCCCAAAGGTGCTACTGTATGCAACAGGTCTCACCAGCTAATACATACATTTGTAATGGCTAGTGCACATCATCATGATTGTTGGTGCATTATGTCTGCCAGAAAGTGGTCATAGCTTTTCAGTTATTATATATTTTGTGTGAGTGTGTGGGCTGTACATCACTTGTATGATTGTATACAGCTGGTGTGTTACGCCGAAGGGCGGCTATACCGGCTATACCGGTACAGATATATATTGAAACTTGGTGTATTTTGTAGCTGCACATATCACTGAATACAGTGTAATAAATCATGATCATACATGTAGTAATGAGAATTTCAGATAACGAAATAGAAATGATAAGTTAAGCACATTTGATTTACATGATAAGGAATTTATTAAGCAAAATGAGCACATCATTATTTAATCCAGAATCCAGCACATTGTGTTACTGAGTTGACAGCCAGCTAACCTAGGGATTAAAATGCCACCTGCATAATTATGCAGGTTAGTTCAGGTTAAATTGGAGCTGTTCATGTATTCTGATGTCTACCTGTATGTACATTGTGCATGTACACAATGTAACCTGCACCAGGCCATTGTACTGGGCACGTGTAGTACTAGGTGTATACGCGAATAAATTTTTTTTGGCTTGCTGCATTAACTGGTACTACTTAATATGAAGAAAGTAATAACAATTTGGTTTATGGACAGTTTTTATTGTGATCTACATGTATATATCCTTCGTATTAACTTAGAATTCTGAATGGTGTAGGTAATGATTACCAGTACCAGTGCAGGTGTGCAGAAAAAAAAGTATTTCCAGCCCTGTAACCACTAACTGTATCAGTTTGGCCCTCAGTCTAATTCCCACCCCAGCAGGCTTTGAATGAGGTCTCAAATAACACAGGGACAGACGTTCTATCTGGTAATGCATGTATGTTGCCATGGCAGCAGCCTATATAGCCCTACTGCCCACCGTAGGGACTTGGGGAGCATAATGTCATTACGCTGATGTCATCATACATAATAAAATCAGCATAATCAGCTGTGGCAGCGTTGTGTAGGAACCACAGAGCCCATGCAGACCGGTTACGCATCATTAGACCGGTGTTTTTCTGTGTGGAGGTGGAATCCTTAATCAGGTGGTCCGTGGAAATCCATCCCTGAACAGAGGCGCTCCCGATCATGACATGAATATAGATGAGGAAGCCAGTGGAGCAAGGGAGACAGGCAGTGCCGTGCAGTTCTTTCTGTGTGCGTGGATAGCACACAGTCCTGTGATGTTTTTGTGCCAGAAAGGTATTGAGTGAAAGATGTGGAGCCATCATCACATGCTGCCATTTGTGGACCACTTCAGCTACAGGGATGGCAAACCAGCATACGGTACGAGGCTGATGCGTTAGCCAGCAACTGCCCGTGTTGCTCTTATACATGTATATGCAGAACTAGCTGAAGTAGGATTACACCGGAGACTGAGTCAGCGGAATAACAAAGACTTCTCCCCAACGTAGCAGGGATGCGAGAATTCAACCTTCCCAGATGACATGCTGTTTACAGCTTATGTTGTGTAGCTCGATCCTGATGTGACGTTTTTACTTATAGACAAAAAAGGTGGGGACGATATTCAGTCTGGTGAAAAACATGGCCCCTGCAGCAGTGAGATATGTTGTGTTGGTGTTGGCTGTGGCATACTGTACAGGGAATGAGAGGGACTGCCCGTCAGGCTGTAAGTGTAACCATACCCGCAGAGTTGTGACGTGTAAGGACGCCAGACTGAGAACGATTCCCGAGTCTCCGCGCCGGGACGTCCGCAGGATGATATTCCGCGGGAACCATGTGGACACGCTGACTCGCCGGATGTTGTCCGGCTACCCTCGGCTACAGTACCTCAGTTTGGACTGGAACGAGATTCGTGACATCGAGGAGGGCGCTTTCCTGCAGCAGAAAAACTTACAGGTGTTGCACCTCTCTGGAAACAGAATCGGACGTGTGGACAGGGCCATGTTTTTAGGGCTGGAGAACTTGACGAGGCTAGATTTGAACGCCAACGGCATCACCACCATTCCCAGCGGCTCACTGCAAGGCCTGGGCAAATTACAAATTCTGACCCTGGTGGGGAATGATGTCAACTCGCTGCCAGGATCCTTGTTCCGTGAGTTGCCCAATATTCGACGAATCGCCCTGTCGGGGCGGAAACTATCAAGCCTGCCTAACAAAGCATGGAGAAATGTGGTGAGTCTACGCACGTTACATCTTGTTGATTTTCCAATGGAGAGACTTGTGGGGAAGGCCTTTACAGACTTACCCAAGCTCACAGGCCTTTTCTTAGAACGATGGGAGCAACTCTCCATCATCGCCGATGACAGTTTCGTAGACTTAAACTTGACATCACTGTCACTAGCAGGAGGGAGTCTCACCCAGGTGCCAGTCTGTGCCATCAATCATCTCATCTGGCTAACAAAGTTACAATTATCCGGCAATCCCATAGCCACCATTCCCCGCCAGGCTTTCGCCAACCTCACCATGGTACAGGCCCTACGATTAGACCACATGCACTTAACCGAAATCAGCAGTGGTGCTTTTGCCCATCTTTCAAATCTGAGATTACTGGACTTGTCGTATAATTATTTAGTTTCGCTGCCGGCAAGATCATTCCGGACACCGATATCTATCCACCACCTTGTGTTGGCTGGGAACAACTGGCACTGCAATTGCGAACTGCAGTGGATCTTTGAGAAAGGGGCGGAAGCTTCCATCCATCAGGCGTCCAAGCTGGTGTGTAGAACTCCTCCTCATCTGCATGGTGTTAACATGGTGGAACAGCAGGGCTATAATCTAACCTGCCAGGAGCCGCTAGCCCTGATAACACAAGGACACAACATGTCCGTGCCAGAGGGAACTGAGCTACAGTTACAGTGTGTCACTGCAGGGGACCCCCTCCCCAAGGTCACATGGTGGATTCCAGGCACCACCAATTTCACTGCAGACGTTCAAGTGGAGAAGACGAACGTCAAAGGAAATGTGAAAGGCCAAATGTACCCCGTTCTGGAAAACAGAACATTGAGCATACCAAATGTTACACACAACAACAGTGGAGTGTACACCTGCTTTGTGGAAAATGACTTGGGAAGTGCTGTGGCTGAGATTAGTGTTCTTGTCACAGAAGTGGAAAAAGAATTCAGCAATGACGACATGAGAGACAGTTTGGAAAATGTTCCATCTGCTGTTCTTGAGCGAGTGCCAAAAGACAGTTATTTGGATGGTAATGGCATGGCATCCAAGCGAGGATTGAAACAGCATTCCGTAGTACACAGGGCCGTCCAACCTGCGTTTCTGAAAGGTTCCCAGAGTGCATCAGTACCACAGTCACAAACACAAACACAGCCACAAGGGTACGTAGGTAGCGATGACACGTACGTGACAGATAGCGGCCCAGTAGAAGAAGATGTCCTGCAGGTGTTCGATGAAGAAAGTACGGGGAAGTCCGCGAACGGGAGTCAGATGGGACAGATAGATACGGGGGCCCCGCCGCAGAGTTCCGTTAACCCCATCATCGTGGCCAGTCTACTGGGGAGCGCCACGTTCCTCGGGGTCGTGGTGTTCTGTATGATCTTCCTGCTCATCATGAGCTGGATCCGGCCCAGCCACCCCGACCGGGAGGACGCTGCCGCACACACGCCGCGCAGACAGCCGTCCGCTGACCGCGAGCAGAACCACCAGCAGCGCCGAGACAGCAGCATCACCAGCTCCATGCCCAGCAAGATGCAGACCAGAATGGAGCTGTACCAGCATGCTGAGATCCTGCGAGGATGACAGGATAACATGGAAACTAACCAAGCCTGACTAAAAAACAAGCCCACATATTGCCGACCCTATGCAGGAATACCTAGGACAGATGTGCCCATGGTAATCACTAACAGAAGGCACAAGGGACAAACACTGGAGAAGGCATAAGAGCCAGTCATGAACTGTAAGTTCATCTGCGTCAGTGCGTTTTTTAGAGTTCAAAAATTTTGTTCCAACACAATAGAATTATTCTCAGATATAGATTGTATAACCTTTCACCCAGTCACACTTCAGCATCACATAATGAGTTCTGTCAATCAGAGAAGCCATGTGACAAGTCTCAGTGGGTCAGTCTATTGAAGAAGACCAGAGTGATTGGAAGAAAGCTCTAGGTGAGAACAATTCTCTTGTGTTGGAACAAAAGTTATGACTCTAAACAGTTGAAGATAAATTTGACAGGCTAGGGAAATGACTTGTTCCCTTTCAGTGTAAGAAAACAGGGACTGTGTTCGGTAGTTGATGCTGAAGTGCAGATGTCAGTCAGGGTCACACGATGAGTACAAACACCAGATTGAAGGCAGAATGTCTTAGTTTGTGATGGTTAACCTACAAAGGTTTATTTTGTATTATATATAAAAAAATGTAACCCAGTGTAGTACTTGTCTTATCATGGCTTAATAATATATCTGTAAAAATGTTTGCAATTGTTTGTATCAAGTAGGTGTTTAACTAGGACTATATCATTATGTTTATTGTACACAATGCTAAAGGTAGGTTGCCTGGAGCTTGTAGAGTGTATCATACACTAGTCTACTACGTACTGTGTAACAGTAACTGTACAGTAGGTATAGTAACAGGGCCAAGCTGCTGCTTGTCAGGACATGCTCTTTTAATCTGAGTGAATGACAAACATTTGGTACAATGTATCTGTAAGTATGGTTGTTTCCTGTGGCTGCATCTGAGGTATACTATCATGTACGTGTATTTCTTTCTCAAAGCTAACTCACAAATATATACATGTGTACTGTGTAAATATTAGGACTTGGATCTGGCTTTTTGAATTTCAAAACAAACACTGTTCAGAATCAGAATTCCCAAAAAGACTGATAAAATTTTCTATTTAAGTTCTCAAGGGCTGTTTGTTTCTAGAAAGATAAATTTTTTCTGTCTATGGCAACTCAAAATGATCGCAAACATGCACTACGAAGGAATACACATGGTTCAAATCAAGACAAAAAAAATTGCACTACTGAATGATAAACCTTTTTTTTTTTGGTTTCACAGCTTGGCACACTATGAATAATACACAAAGTGAAGCCCTTGGATCTAGCTCCAAACACTTTGAAAATTATGGTTAATGTCACACTCATGATATCTTCAATCTGTCTGAGAGTAAGGTTGCATTGTGATAATGAGTTGTACAAAATTTGTCATATTGTTGTCACATGTGAGGTACTAATGTTGTGACCTTGTGTACTTAAATAAAACAAACATAGTTACATACATTGACTTTGTAGTTGATATGAAATGTGTAATAGGAACAACTTTGTTTCCGTAAGTAATGTAACTTTCATTATGTATACTGTCATGTACATGGGTGCTGAGAAATTATTTATCAATCATGATAAGTAACAGTAATGCTATTAATAATAATTGTACAAACATTGTTACCATGTCTTTACGTGATTCAAAGCCAAGCTGAACTATTTTGAGCTTGCAAGAGCGTACAAATAGATATCAAATCTACATTTAGATTTCAGTGATATAATTCCTTTATTCTATTGTACAACATACCCAAGGCATACGGAAGGCACATAGAACCAGAAATTAAATGTTAAGAACATCACAAACTGTGCTGGTCTTCAGTTCAAATGAGATAGATAACAAAGGGAGTCATTCAGTCTTACTGAAAGGACTTACATGTATTCATAATTGTATCAGTATAATATATAGAAGACTGTGGTAAACAGTTTAGTCTCTGGCCGTTTTTTTGGCAAGGCTTCAAGAGATGACAGCTGGCGACTTTTGTGTTGATTTAACAGTATCTACATACATTGTGTAGGTGGATTTAATGGTTTAGTTTCTTATAGGAGAAGGAAAGAAACAGCATTTCCATATTCCTTACCTGTCATGGTATCAAATTTTTATTGTAATAAACAACATCTAGACCTTCTGATCTTCTTAAAAAAGGAAATGTTCCCTGTTACAGAAAATATTTGCCAAATTCAAATAAATATCTGACATATACTTAAGATTTGTAGTAAGCAGAAGTCTGTGACAGACATAGTTTCATGCTCTCTCATATCAAATCCAGGTTTTGTTCAGGCATACAGACTTCCAGGTTACCCTTCTGCTTATTTTTGTGGTTTGACAGGTTGAGTGTTTCCATTTCTGAACAATTTCACCCTCCACTGAACTGTACAATAGTAGGTTGTGCATGCGGTTACTAATATGGTGAATGATATTGATTGAGAAGTCTTGTGGTGATTATCAACTCAAAGTTTCATTTCATATGCCGGTATGGTGTAGTGTTATCATTAAATATCTAAAGGAACATGGTAAATGGGCTGGTAAAAATGATATCTTACCTCTGAGTCAGTGAAGTTTAGACATCTACTACCTCACTTGGCTAAGCACAGATTCAAATTTAGCTTTATTTATACTGGCTTGACATGTCAAGTAAAATTTGCAAGTGAAGTCTGCCAACATTTATGTTGGTAATTCAAATGTACATCAAATACATTGAGCACATAATACAAATTTTTAAACCTTTTAAAAAACGGGTCAACCATACAATCAATGCTGTTATTGTGTAGATAACATAGACTCAATGCTGTTATTGTGTAGATAATGTACTGCCACAATGGTGTTATTCTGTAGCTACCATAGAGCCAGAGTGCTGTCATTGTGTAGCTAAATTAAGTACTGTCCAAAGTGCTGAAAAGCTTGTTGCTGAGCCATGAGCTTTCCATTAAGGCGCAAATTGCTTAGATTGGTATCTCATTACTGGTGTTCTGCATGCTATATGCTGTGGCTTGGAGGACACCAGCTGACTCTGGCTGTCTTCACATTATGACGGTAAAACCAGAGGAAGTCACATACTTCACACCTGGTCCGCGTGCCCACATTCCTTAGAAATCTTGCTCAAGGGCAAGCTAGAATCCTCGTTAGTTTGATAAAAATACAAAAGCTAGCGTCATGCCAATGTCAGACTGGCAGAGGTCAACAACCTGCTTGGTGCCCCCCTCCCCCCTTCCAGCATCGTTAGGTATACCTCAGACCGAATGCCGACACAATCTTGCCGTGGAGCTTGTCATAGACCGGACATGTTATTCAGTCTTTACCGCTTTTTGAGTGGTGGTGGCGTATGTTTTTGTGTTGCATATACATGACAGTAAATGAAGAAAATATCACATGTTTAGGCTTATAAGTTGGTGAAGTCACATCCTGTTCAGATTAAAGTTGCAATGTGCTAAAGTCAATTTAAAACAACCCCGGACGTGGTTTGGGATTGAGTCAGCTTCAGAGTGACTTGGGGAATTCAGATGGAGCCACATCAATCCTGCTTCAGTGGACTGGGGCTTCAGTCCGGATGTACAGGCTTAGTGTAAAGGGGGCCTAAGAGATTTTTGTGAGGTACTCTTGGAGAGTCATCAATTTGCCTGAGTGTACTTATCATCTTCCCCATGATTCATGTGCATTTCATTGTCATAGTTATTCATCATGTCAGCATTAATCAATTTAGAGTGCTCGCCAGAATGCATCAAAAGGTATTTCAAGGCTGTCCATCATTTTAATTCAGAGTGCCCGTCAGAAATCAACAAATGGATTTATGGCAAAGCTGTCCATTATGCTAATTTGGAGTGCCCATCAGAATGCAACAAATGGATGGCAGGACTAAGGAGATAGATTTTCCCTGGGGTTAATGGTTTGGAATGTACTCAACAGATATTGAGTGTAATCTGATGTATTATGTTTAACATTAGAGGCCCAATCAATCTCCCTAGCCATTCAGATTGTACCATTTTCATGGTAGGGAATAACAGCAAGTGTCCTATGATGATACACAGTTTTATTACTTCTAGGGAATAAGATACGTACTGTATCCTTCCATGGAAGGGTCTGTTTTTGGTAATTTTTGTGTGTTCACAGCTATTTCTGGTTGGATTTGACGGGTTTCTTTGATTGTTGGCCTATGATTAATTATTGGGGTTCAGATGATTTAAAAAAAAAATCTTTTAAAGAAATGTGACGAATTTCACTTTCAATAATATTAGTAGCTTTATGATAATATATGATTACACATGTATATGATATAATAATTGATTTTTCATTTTTTTACCATTTTTTTCTAGCCACATGACACATAGAGTTGAATCTAACTATTGTACATTACAGAATCATGAAACACATTTTGCTGTTCCCAGTACTGAAACCTTCTCCTTGTGTTCTCAGTTACATGACGGCCAGCCTAAGCCAGAGAAGATGGTGGATGGGTGGAATGCCTGGTTCTACGATGACCTAAAGTCTCTGGTGAGATCCAAATTATAGAAACTAGACTTACCAATAGACTGGACTGAGGATCCAAATTATATTATAATAAATAAATGAACTGGACCTTTAACATCTCACAGTATGATGATTGTAAATGAAGCTGAAAGAAGTCATTTGTGAACTGTATACTTAAGACATGTTGAAACCAAAAAAACCTTCAGTAACAAATCTTCTGCTGTAAACAAGGTTAGCTTGTGTTCAGGACTACAATGTACAATGTAGGTCAATAGTGTTTTTGGGGGGGGGGGGCAAATTTGACTCAAATTTAGCTCAAATTTGATTCTTATTGAAAGGTAGGCGTGGCCTAAATCTGGTCAGACTGCTCCAAAAATTCAGCAAACCTTTGTCGTTTGCTGGTCAGGGGAAGGTTCTAAATATGTGACAGGCTTGACCTTGACTTTTGCCCTCCCTCCAGCCCAAGAAATGGCCCCACCTCGGGGAGAACAAGGAGACGGTTGGGGAGTTGTGGATCGGTCTCCTCAGGTTCTACACCGAGGAGTTCAACTTCCGAGAACACGTCATCTGTATCCGCCAGTCTGCCATCCTCACCAGGTTTGAGAAGATGTGGACATCCAAGTGTATAGCAATAGAAGGTGAGGCAGGGCTTGAAATACTTTTTCTGCATTACCTGCATTGGAGTAGGTAACATTGAAAATTACCTGCACCAGACAAATTTTACTTGCACTGCTCAGAATTATGAATCACACAGTAAAAGTGCTCAAAAGGTGGTGACCGTGGCAGTTAATACATTAATGATACAGTCATGTACCTACATGTACATTGAACATTTTACATGATTATTGGCAAACAAAACCTGTGTAAATTTGCTCTAAAGATTCTAGTCTCCAGGTACAGTGTACATGTAGAGCAAGACGTACATTGTTTATAATCAAGTATGGTGATAGGTGATCTTGTATCATTCCAACAACGTTAAACAATCATTTCCCGTGTTTCTTACAGATCCCTTTGACCTGAATCATAATCTGGGAGCTGGTGTGTCCAGGAAAAGTAAGAAGACTTGTCCTGTGCTTCATTTACTGATGCTGCATACTTTTGATATGCACAATTTGTTATACCATTTTCTGAAACAGTATCATATACCTCCTGAATGATCTGATTTCATTTGAACAGAACGCATGTTCCATTTGGGGTCACTGGGATGTACATGTAATCTCAACACTAAGTCTTGTGAGATCACGAAATGGAAACTGCAGATTGGCTCAAAATCTTCTTGCTATATCATGATGTTTTCACCCATGATATTGTATCATTAAATTTTGATTTCCTTTTTGTTTGTATTTTCTCCAGTGAACAACTTCATCATTGGTGCTTTTATCAAGGGGCGAGAAACCTTTGGTATGACATTGCGCAGTGACCTCTACCATCAGTACACACCCATGCCATACATAGTGGTAAGTACACCAAATCTTAGTCTTACTAGACTTAAGACAATGTTATGTTTCTGCGTTATCCGTTAGCCATACTGGTAAGGCTTATACATGTAACTGTTGATAAAATCCAATATGCAATGGGTAGTGAAATCCGACACTGTCTATCGGACAACCTTAATGTCCAAGAATGGTGCTGTTCCACCAGAGCCCCCTTGTATAATTGTAGGAACTGCATGCTGGAATGATTAAGGTTTGTGGCATACATGTAAAAAAATTAATGCCAAGCCAGTTTCTATAAGCACAGAATACTAATTATGAACAAGGCACCAGCCAGGCATTCAAAGTCCTATAAACCATTGCTGTTTGCTAGTCAATCAAAAGTTAACACTATCAAATACAGCCTCCTGATTGGTCAATGGATTTTGTATATGATAATTATTCTTGACATTGCTTTTCAGGACTACCTGTTTGATGCAGAGGTCCTAACTGATGGAGCCCAGCCACCTACTGACAGGTACAGCAAACTGGGTCTTTGGGCTACCACTATTCTATGTGCGTTAGTGCTAGTATGATTACCTCCATGAAAAATGGAGGTATTGTTTTTATGTGTGTGTGTGTACAATCTGGTCTTATGCAGCTTAACAAAACCGGTGTGTTATGCCTGAAGGTGGTTTACTGGTTATATACAAAACAAACAAACAAACAAAAAATGTGCTTCTCTCCCTGCCCAGGTGCTGTAGGATATGTGGAAAGATCGGACACTTCATGAAGGACTGTCCGAAGAGACGCACGGGTAAGAAGGAGAAAAAGAGGGAAGGTGGGATACGTCACATGACCTACGTCTTCACTTGTTTACTTACTCTTTATATAGACAGTGGTTACTTAAAGGCAGTCTCACGAGCAGAGGCCAGTATTACATATATTTTCTTAAAGAACACATTCTTATTAAATATATACATGTGTATACATTACACAAAATCAACCAAACTTGTTACCAGAATATCAATGTCGTATATTGTAACAGCTGCCTAGTCCAAACTCAAGTTGACAATACAATTTTTGGGATTCAGGAAATTAGTACAGAACCAGAACAGTCCCTTCTGCTCCTAAGACTGCCTCAGAGTGTCATGTTAAAAGACTTTTTGTTGTGCAGTGCAGTGCCAGTTTTGTTGTGCAGTGTGTGATAGTTGGACAAATTTGTCTCTTTAACTTCTAAGATATTTATTAAGATGATGTTTGATGTGCTATGGACAGGTGACCCAGGTGGGGACCAGCAAAGACTCCCCCAAAGAAACAGTGGACCATCCCGGAACAACAGGACACCAGGGGGGAGAGGCACTCCCCAGTCAGCAAAGGTGAGGTCATTGTTGTATCCCAGCAGATACTTGTCTCCAGGACTTCATATCGTACACAAAGAGGAGATAATGGAATTGTACGAATTTTTATATGACATTGTGTTGTTATATGTAATACTATGTATAATGTGTGTTGATCATCACCATGATATGTTAACCACCCCAACATTATTGAACGTTATTTGAATGTATGATAATAAAATCCTGGGTTGATTTTACTGTATAAGTTCATTGAAAATCCACATTACACCTACATTTGTATATAAGCCCAGTACATGGACCAGTGCAGGTTAGATGCTGGTAGACATCAGGAATACCTGCACAGCTCCAATTTTACCTACACTAAGGTATTTTGAGCCGTGGCTTAGTATGACTAGGGCCAATAAAACACCACTAAGCCGGAATGGTTACCAGATGGTAATTATCTGTATAACATATAAGGCAATGACGAATTTCTAATAATATGGATTGCATACTTCATATATCATGATCATGGAATGGTTTTCTGCCCTATGGTTGGTTGACGAATCTTCTGCTAAACATGTTTTTCTTACCTTACTGGATGGTTTTGGATGATGTTGACTTATTTGAAAGTTTTGCTGAGTTTCAGGAGCTTGAGCATGTACCCGACCACCTACTGTACCCAGTTATGTATCAGCCAATGGCTAGACCTGATGTAATAGTACTCGTTGACAAGGTCATTACCCTGCAACACATCCAGCCGCATGGTGGTGGGGTTAAGGATGTGACTGTACATGTGTTAAACAGATCGCTTCAACCTGATATCTGTACATGTTGTTACATGTATAAGCGATAAGGCTAAACTGCTTGTTTGCAGGAGTAGTTCGGCCAAGTTTGGCAGGTATATACGGGGTATCTTAAACAAGGAAATGCACGGCGTGAGGTTCCTCATGACACTCAGTTTGGGGCACATGCCTACCTGCCTGCCTATGTGCTCAGGTAGGTACTGGCCCCTTGATCCCCTCCGTCTGGTTTCTCCAGCCAGCATGTTCGGGGGTCAAATTTGACTCAAATTTAACTCAATTTCAATTCATGTAGAAAGTTAGGTGTGGCCTAAACCTGGTCAGACTGCTCCTGAACTTCAGCCAGCCTTGGTTGTTTGGTGGTCGGGTGAAGGTTCTGAACATGTTATAGGGGCTTAACATGATCTCAGTGGTAGCTGCTACCAGCCTTCTTGTTGCTACCTGGCAAAGTAAAGTATGGTATTGATTCAACTTGCTGTGACAAAAGAACACAAAAAAATAGGTAATCCTTCATTGAGCATCTTGCCAGGGGCTGTGCCCATGATATATATGCACCTGCAAGTTGAGTATATTGTCCATGTTATTTTCCAGGGCTATTATGACAGGAGGAACATGCTGGACCATGACCCGCGCAGTCCCCCACGTGGGCCCTACCAACCCACGCCGAACCAGGGCCAGTACAGGGGCAGTCCCCACAGGCAGGGGGGCAGGGAAGACCCCCCGCCCAGAGCTATGTACCAAACCCCCCCACAGCCTGTCCCATTTGGGAGGCAGGGGGGTGGTGGGTACTACAGCAGACAGAGGCAGAACTCCAGAGAGCAGGACCAGTATGGCAGATCACCTGAGGTGAGCTTTGTGCCATTAGACCATGTCAACCCTAGTGACATGCAGAATGTTAAGCAGTTGAAACAGAAGTTTAAAGTTTAAACTTTTGTTCCAACACAAAGGATTGTTCTCACCTCATTTGAACAGTCACTCTGATCTTCTTCAATATAGACTGACCCAGTATTCACAGTTCCAGGTACATTAATCAGCAACATTGATGTATGAGTGCACAAAGACAAACTGCCATGATGGCACTTGTATTGGAGAAGGGTATAGATGAAGTATAAGCAGAATTTGATTATACTGTATCTTTCCTTCCCAGGGGAGGATGCCCTTGTATGCAAGAGCCCACGACTCCCCACAGTTTACCTCCAGTCCCAAAACTACCTCACAGCCTGCCCACAATCCTCGGGGGAGCACCAACTACTTCATCCCCACCATGCAGTACACCAATCAGCAACTGACACATCATCCTCGATCAGCCAATCAGCAGCCAACACCTTCACCCCCAGCCAATCAGCAATTTGTTGCCCACACGTCATCGCCCAATCAGCAGCTAGGAGCCTCACCAAGATCCAATCAGCAACTACCCATGCACCACCTGGCCAATCAGGTGTCACCTCAGGTAGTCCAAGCACAGAACAGGCAGCTGCCCCAACCCAGACAGAACTGGGGTAGGTACGTTACCAGCAAGGAACCCTGTACAGCTACATGTAGTCTGCTAGGTCACACCTAGGTTGAAGTGCCCGTTTTTAGAATAAACTGATCCCTTAAATCAGACCCTACCTCAAAATCACTCACTCTGGGATATACAATGTAGATTATGCACACAATGTGTATTTGCAAAGTCAGTGATTTTGAATGAGGGAAATTCATATCTGTGACAGCTTAGCTGGAGGTTAACACCACCAGACATAACAGTATGCAAATATCTTTGCATAGCTAATAACAAAATTATTTCAAGTCAACTTTGTTTTGGTACATTGTACCAATCTGCATACAAACTAGTAGTGGACAGTCAAATAGATGTCCCTTAAATGGTACTTTTTATTACATTGCCTAGATGTATAGATTAGTGTTGTGCAGTTTTTTCGAAACAATAGCTGTTAGCTATGCCTCAGATACAGTACCACATACATGTTCTGTAAGTGTTGTGTGCTCTTACAGGTGAAGTGCCGCCGCAGCAAGTAGTGATGACTACACAGGGTCTGGTTTTCCTGTCACCGTCACCCCCCCACACCTACAGTGCACCCTTCCACATCTCCAGTAGTCCACCTTACCAACCACATGGAGCACAACCACCGAGATAGCAAACGTAGGGGGGGAAGGGGGGAGGAGGGTTTGGTTTAACATAAAATATGTAAGGTGCTGCTGTCTTCTGAGGGGTTACCAAGCAGATTTGGATTTTGTGCCTTCTTGATCATTTTACACAGTTCAGGGTTAAGACAAATGTTGAAGTTAGTTATATCACATTAAAGATTAAATGTTCTCCAACTACATAATTATAATAAATGAAATATTCCTTTTCAACCCTCAGAACACAAGTTGCCCTAACTTGCAAAAAAAAAAAGGAAAAATTGTCATATTTTTGTACTGACCAAAGATTGTTGTTTGTACAGTATTGGAATGTGGTTGTCAATGTTGTAGAATAGATACTTAGCAGAAATTGTCATTTTTTTACATGAATATCATAACCATAGCAAGAATGCATGCATATTGTAGACAGGACTACACTTATCTAATGTTTTGACCTTTTATAGAATTTCTGGACTTGGAATGTGAAGCAAATTTGTAGTACATGACAAAATAATGTAGAGCTACACATGAACAAAACAGGAGCTACATGTACAATGTATTTCTCTGTGCTTTTGGTAAAGAACATTCAAGTGAGACCACAAGTAAGGTGTGCTTACAAAACTGGAGCTGAAAAGGGCTACTGTACCCACATGGAGTGTGTACCATATCAGGAGTTTCTATCAAAGTGGTATAAAAGAACCATGCAAAAGCATAACAACAAAACATACAACCACATGTACACTGGTGTGCCACACTCTCCTAGGCACACAGCATACGCCTTGCTGCTATTTGTCATGTGATCTCCCATTACTGAAAGTGTATGAAAAGCTCTGATTCGTTTGAAGTTGAAACTTTTGTTCCAACACAAAGGATTGTTCTCACCTACAGCTTTTGACCAGTCACTCTGGTCTTCTTCGACAGACTGACCCAGTGAGCCTTGCCACTCTCTCTAGATGAGAACAATTTCTTGTGTTGGAAGAAAAGTTTTAACTTCAAACATGTAACTACATGTACCAACACAGATGAACTTTCGTGACAGTGAAACCTCTAATTCCTCTGTCTCATGTAGACCACAACAATTCCATACGGTAAGTCATCTCCATGACCAAAACAATCATCAGATTGTATAGAAAAAGGTTCAAAATAATTGTGTGGCCTCAACTGTTAATAGCATGTAAACCTGCATTGTGACACTTTGTTTTATAATATTACATAAACTTATATGCACACACTTTGCACTCTGTTGTAATCAGAAGCCAACAACAACTGCAACAAAAAACATCATAATTAAGATAGAAATGTGTATGTGTATGATGATGTAAGAATTTCTACCTTTTGGGTACCAGGCTTTAGGTACAACGAACTGTTTTTTTTAGATGCAATGAATTAGTTCTGTCCTTGCACATCATATTCTGATCTTCCTGTTTTAACATGGCTTTCAGGCTAAAAACGTCAGGTTTAGTTGCCAACAAGGCACAGGTGGAGATGCTGGGGATCATGGCTTCATACAAAACTCATTTTAGGTGTGGGACTGATTTTGACACTTCAGTGGAAGCCTGGTAGACATACTTTGATAGGGAAAACTGTATACTCGCAGGCATGATGTAAAAAGCTTCATGCAGATGCAGTTGTTTTATCGTTTAGTCCCAGGGGCTTGAGACTCCATGGTGAAGGGGTATGGTATTATGTTGGCTGCACGTACAAATGTACTGCGCCTGCACGAAACACAATCATAGAAATGTGCATAGCATTTTGGCAGAACGTCTCATTTAAGGTCCTATTCATGTATGTAACAATGACATCCCATCTATAGTTTTTTAAATGTTGTGTCCGGTAAGATGTCACCTGCAACTGGTAAAATTCTGAGGCAACGTTTACCAAACATCCAACGAAAACCATGAAAAATACAGCTTTTGCACAGGTGCAGTACGTTCTGCCAACATGCTTATGGTGAGGGGGTATGGTGGTTTAGTTACAGGCATTCTGGTAAAGGTTTTTTTTCTAGGAACTTAATACATGCTCTGTCCAATAGCAGCTGAGAAATTCACTCATAACAATCACATAAATTGCCATTATTTTGTTTCTGCTATGAGTAGAGGCTGGTAAACTGGGACTGTACACAAAGGATATGGATTCTTTCCTCACACTTGGAGGAAAGTCAGTAACGTGCACACTTTAAGTCATCGGGAGGCTTCATATATGTGGGAAGTTTTTGGTTTGCAGCAGAGGCTATAGCTAGTCTGATTGCATTTCCCTTTTAGCATTTTTTTGTTCACAGTGATGTCAACATCTTTTTACTTAGCCTTCCAGTAGTGTTAAAACATATTTTCACTTAGCCTTCCAGTGTTCTACATTACTAGAACACACATGATACTGAAACAGGCAACTATCAATAATAGCGCTACAAGTTGCTTCCATATACAACTACTATGCTCTGGAGGATCACTCAATCTTGTTGCGTATGCTGAATCAAACTGTATTGAAACAGTCTAATATGTAGATATTATACTAAGTCTTACAATCCTAAGTAATCTATGATCATTACATTACATTGAGTCCAAATGATGGCCAGCATGACGTTTCCTTACACAGGAAATTTCAGATGCTCTATTTACTTTGTAAATATTGCTTTTCATTTCAGACTTGTACTTATTTGTTCCCAGGATGGAGATGATACAATTGACTTGTAGTTGCCTTTCATAGTCTTGTTTACCATGGCCGAGAGGTACTACGTATTTTGACACTGTTGAAGTATAACATCTAGTGGTTCTGACTTGTAGTATGTGCAATATTAGGGTTATAAAGTAATGGACATTTGTCTATGAGTCAGTAGATGTTGCTTTCTGGCCCTAATATTAAGTCAGAATTCCTAGCTGTACTTTTCGCAGTGTTGAAATACATGTACGTTGTACAAATGTACCTGTGGGCCACAGTACTTGTTTTTGCAGATTCTGAAGTAGACTTACATGTGCATTACATGCTATCTTAACTGGGCTCCTTACTGCTTGCACACTTGAAGAAATAAGCTGGGTTCTGCGCTCCCCAACAGTTGAAGTATGGAAAAACACAATAAAAATACTTGATGTACTGAGACTTTGGTTGAATAATTTCAGACATGTTTATTGTCTTTATGTTAATGTATATAGAGTACAGTACTCTCCAAGCAGAGGTTTGTGTTGGGCTTATTCTTGGTGTGTTTTTAGGCTTTTTATCAGGGGTTTCTTTGTTCCAGTGGATTTTTTTCCACCGCAAAAAAGAAACCCTGATAAAAATCCTAGAAACACACCAAGAATAAGCCCAAACTTCTGCTTGGAGAGTACATAGAGAGAAAAGACTGTTGGACACTGGGGTACTTGACGTCTAGCCTCCATAGCATGCCAAAAACTGGGGGTCTTCGGGGTCTTTGGGTGTTTTATGCGCTATTTTCTGATTGCATATAGACAACATAGCCGTCCTGGTGGAATTACCCCCGTTTTTAGAACTGGGCTAATAAGAAAACAGGCGAAGACCACCAAACCCCCAGTTCTATAAGCCTGCTACGGAGGCTACTTGATGTCCCTGTACTAGTGGGGGGGGGGTTACTACTCCAGATTGACGCAGTAGATGCACTGTTCCCGGGTGGTGTGTTCAGGGCAGCACAGACACGCCATGAAGAACTGGTCCAGCACGTGACGACGGGGGCAGTCGTTGTAGTTTCCATCTAGAAGAGGCAACAGATACAGCTAGTGGTATCACTATTATTTACCCTCTCACATTAAAAAAATGATCCGGAACACTCTAAATCGGTTCAATTTTCTCCAGATACGGAGCGTTCCCATTGGAGTAAAGAAACCGGGTCGAAGCCAGTTGCCAGTATTCGGCTCGATCCGAAAAGTTTTATCATAGTAGAAAAAGGCTCATCTCCAAGCAGATCTCTCGCTGGCTGCACAATTACAGTATCAAAGTGTCCTAGCCTGGATGCCAGACCCATAGCACACTGAGCCCAAAGTATTATCCCTACATACTGGGACATTACTTTGGGCCCAGTGTGCTATATGGGTCTAGCATCCAGGCTAAATTGTACAGGCAGTTATTCATTTGCCAGACAGTTATCGTTTGTTTGTTTGTTTATTTATTTAACCAGGAAATGCATGTCGCCTATTGGCGTTTTTGTCACTTAACAACCTGTCTGGCAAATGGATACTGCCAATTTGACACTGTCTTTGCAGCCTGGTGATCAAAAAGATCTGCTTGGAGATTTGATAGGAAAAGAGTGGACTTGTACTGACTTGTGTGGTCGACGTCGCAGAAGACCAGGTACTCGCAGCCGGCGGGGTTGCTGACGGCGTACTGCCGGACAGGGTCCGCGCCGTTACCGCAGGTCTGGCGCCGGGTCAGCGGGCTGGCCGGGTGGACGGCTGAAACCACAACGACATTAAATTTTATAAAGGGCACTTTACGGCGCTTATATGTAGCGTAAGCATTACGTAATAGATGGCTGGGCAGTGTGAAGACGATGTGTGACTCAAATAATTGATCACTAAGTCCTTGGTGACTTGAATTGGACTTAATGCTAGTAGCTACGACAGGAGTTCGATGCACAATTGTACAATCGACTTTCTAACGGAAAAGCAATATTTTGTAATACTAGGGGTTACGTGTGGTAAAGAATTGCGTCTCTTCTTGTTTCTTTCCGCCAGTCTTTTCTTCCTGACCTCTGCTTGGTTTTATACGTCACACTTTCGACAAGTCACGTGGCAGGTTAAGTCTCACTGGGTCAGTCTGTTGAAGAAGGCCAGAGTGACTGGTCGAAAGCTCTAGGTGACACTTTCACCCAACACTTTCTCTTGTGATTGAACGAAAGTTTTAACTTTAAACAAGTTGTTGATGAGTTTACCTGGGGAGTTGCCCAGCAGGAGTGCTGAGTCGTCGATCTTCTCCACCATGTAGACGGGCAGGTCGGCGTGGAAGGCGGCCAGGACGGCGCTGAGGCTGCCGCGCTCCGCCCGACCCACCACCGCCCACTGGTTCACAACAACCTCGGTCTCCCAGTCGGGCAGGAACCCGGACCTCTCCCTCTGTCACCGGGAAAATACAGGTCAAAGTGTTAGATTAAAGCATACAGCACATCAATTCAGAAAAGTGAATCAATCTAGTACTCATATACTGTTATAGATAAATTATATTTTGGAGTTATAGCTGTAGTATAGATTAGCCTTGTAGCAAGGGCATTATGTCATTGCTTGTAGTTACTGCCGCACTTTGTGCGATGTACGATTGTTGAGCAATAAAGTTCATTTATTATCATTATGATTTTTTGTATCGTCATGGTGTAGCTTTAAGATAACTTAAGTGTAGGCCAATCTCAGATTTATGAAAAGGAGATTTTGATGATGTTTTACTATGTACTGAATGTTACAATGTTTCTTTATTAAAGGCATCATGTGTATAATGTTATTGTGCGTCCATTGTAAATAGTACGCAATTCAGCTTATGGCTGCAATGTACCTTTTTAAATAATTAAACCAGTCATTGAAACCAGTCATATACAGCTTAATTAATCAAATTAAATCGTGAAATTTTTCAAACGTGCACCTGTAGCATGTCCAGCCCGGCCTGCAGCTCGGCCTGTCCCGGCTCATTCCGGTCAGCCAGCGGCATGAGGAAACACGTGCCCTCCTCCGTCTGACAGTACAGGGTCAGGCCCTGTATACAGGGGATATATGGACGGTTATACACCTTAGTATAGGATCAGGCCATGTATGTACGGATTATATGGACAGTTACATATCTCAGTACAGGGCCAGGCTCGACATACAAGCATATACGGACGTTTCCATGCTGCCATGGTGGTTCAGGCGATAGAGGAGGACTGGCACCCGACATTAGTCAGGTAAGTCACATGCTTACATACAGGTGATATACGGATGTTTATACATACCTAAGTACAGGTCCAGGTCCTACATATATACGGACGTTTACATGTTTAATTACTGCATACAGGGTCAGGCCCTTAAGACCATGTTGAGAAATAGATTACTAGAGTGCAATTTCTTTTGGTGAGCACGGTTCTGGATAGGTCCTCGAACGTATCCAGAACGGTGCCTGGCCCGGCCCCGACAAACCTAGTACATTCTTGGATACGCGGAACCGTGCCTGATCCTAACCGTAACCCATTCAGGCATGGAAGTACGTAGACACGGTTCTGGATACGACAGTATCCACAAATAGCCATGCCTTCAAGTACAAGAGTTATCAACCAAGGATTGAGATGCTCAAGAATTCATTCTTTCCTAGAACTATCACAGAATGGAACTCGCTGTCACCAAGTACAGTAGGGGCATTGTCACTAGATAGCTTTAAACAATGTCTAGAGTTAGAAGTTCAAGGGTTAGGTGTAATAAGTCAATCGGTGTAATATAGCCAGCTGCCGCCGCGCCGCGTGCCTGCGAAGCTGGTGTGTTACGCCGAAAGGCTATACAGATACAGATACAGATACAAAGCACTCACGTCATGGTAGGAGTGTATGATCTCTGCGGCGGCCACGCTGTTGTGCTGCGGCACGCTGACCGTGCGCACACCGCTCGCCTGGTCTATGTCGATCTCCTGGCTGAAGACCACGCCCTTCTCGATCGGCTGCACGGTGTATTTCTGTAACCAGGAGGAGGGCGTCTTTAGTCTCTCTATACAGATGCCTATAGCTCTGCCTTGTTTATATGGCGTGTTTTTGTGGCATTTTGTACTTCTGCTCTCGATGGCAAATGTGCAGATGTTTTAACCAATCCGTATTGTGGTTTTGGCACACAGTTAGACAGATGATTAGCTAAGAGGCTCGGTGGGCGTCACTCCACCGTACAGGTGGGGAAGTCGTGTAAAATGCTTCTGCTTGGCGGTGACTTACTGAACTATATGTCCATCAAATAGATAAAGTCAAGCACTACATTTTCTTACTGATTATATACATATCGTTATTACTAGTAGAGGTATCTGTCAATTACAACATTGGGTAACGGAAGGCGCACTGTACTGTACTGTACTGTACAAATTGCCATCCTTAAAATTAAGTCAGCTAGTGTGGGCTTATGAGAAAACGTTTTCTTGTGGACTCACCTTTGCTGTCGCCAAGGCAATGAAGCACACAAACACAGTCTTGAACTAGATAAAAAGATGTTGAATTAATTAAGGGCCTGAGATTCAAAGCCAATACAGCGTTTTCTAACGCAAATAATAGGATATTTTGGTTTCAGCCAGGCTAAATATTATCACATTTGTTAAAACTGAGGTGATACGTTAAGAGTTTTCGCTGGTTTTATAAACATTTTTGGGAATAAAAAGAAGCATTACATATAGTATACTCACCATTGTGACTCCTGATGACACGGCTCCTAACGAACAGACTCTGAGTGTGTTTCACGGTCGTGTTTTTCTGAAGGCCTTTATACTTTCTGCTATAAACGGCGCAAGATAACTTTGCTACGTCATATGCGGGCCAGCGAAAATCAAATACGACTAGGCTGATAACGGGCCTTATTAACGATTACGATTAGCACGTATTGTATTAATATGTGCCCACTTTGGGTGGAAATTGTTTTTTTCTATCTGACATGATCTTGGCAGGTGACGGCATTCTCAGCACTGTGTTTACGTGTGAGGTTGCGTATACAGACTTTTTTCGGTGAAAAAAAAACATCGCTGCCGATGCCTTGATAGCGTATACCTGAAAATATTCGCGGTGGGTTTTTTTTTTAAGCACGTGGTTTTTGCATCGCGAATCCATGCATAATCACAGCCTATTTGCATAATCAATAAGAAACCTTAATAACATGTCAATCTTCGAGGTTGACAACATTTGGTGGAGGTATGAGGTCGCGGAACTCTTGTTTCCTAATGCCAACATCGGGAGCGCTGGACTATCAGAGGATAATTAAATGGAGAAATTTTAATGACCTGACCAATCACAATGTATCACTGTCCTTGGGTGACGTCAGTAGCGAGAAAGTACAGAATTTCAGATAACAGTCGCGGAGCTTCCGACTGTAATGACTGGTGTCAGAAATGTTATATGGGGGTCTCGATATTCACAAATGATAGGTTATCTAGCCTAATACTATCAAACAAGCTGTTGTTTTTCTCATGGCCTTGGGGCTGAATCAACCAGCTCCAAACCGAATAGGGATTTATCACATGAAAAGGCCACACCAATTTAGTTTGTTGGTTCGCGGATTCGCCTCTTCATTTTTATCTGATTTGCACACACACACAAAGATTCTGGTTCTGAATCAACTCAAATATGCTCATTTTTTTGCCCCCTACAGTTGAGGAGAGTCCTTTTCTTCCTAGTTATCACAGTTTTTTCCATCTATCAAATTTGTCTGAGAAAGTTGTTGATCATTTCATACAGCATCATTGGTAATGAGAAAATTGGGGTCGTGTGGCGTAGCGGCAGAGTGCGCGACTCGGAACTTAGAGTCTCGGGTTCGAGTCCTGACATGCCACCGATCTTGTGCCCTTGGGAAAGGCACTTTACACGGCTTTCCTCACTCAGCTCAGGTGAAAATGAGTATTGTCCTGTCATGTATTTGTCCCCTGTGTTGGTGGCGGCATTAATATAAGTTGAAAAAAATTGAGTGTGTCGTCACCACGTCTGGGGATTACATGTTGGAATAAAAAAAAAATGAGAAAATGTGTGGCAGTCATATGATTTCAGTAGCCACCTACACATGGGCGGAAATGGCTTTATTGCGTTTCTTCATATCCCGATTCAATCAAGCCTACCTGGGAGAGTATACATGTACGTCGTACTGTAAAATTATGTTTGCCAAATTTGTCTGAGAAAGTTTGATGAAATGATTTGATGACACATCATTCGTAATGAGGAAATTGACGTGAAAGTCATCTCTGCAATCAAGTGCACTTAGAAATGACCGAAATAATTACATTTTTTAAAACGTAAATACATAAATTGATGCAAGTTATACCACATCTTCCTGTGTATGTTTTTTTTTTCTAATTTCCTTGCACAGTGTTTTTGTTCATTAAGTATTTTCGTAGTTTTTCTCATACTAAGCTCGTCGGGACAGTGTGAGGAAGTTAGGTCAAAGGTCCCAGAAAAGATTATCCCATTTCCTGTCTTCAATTTAATGCTGTTTGCACGTCTGTTGCCTAAGAGGAGCTAGTAAGATACAGAACTATACTAGCTTCACGATAATAAATAAGACAGGAAATTCACAAACAGACTCTATCATGGCCTTGTATGATTTCAATTGCTTATAGTTTTACATAATAGAGGTGAGCAGTAATCATGCCATTGGCATTGCAGTTGGTACACCTTGTTTATTTGTCAATCAAAATTAAATTTACATTGAATGCAATTGACATGGGAAAGCATATGATATAAACACATTTACACACTGTTTATGTGGTTAGTCATAAAGTCTTCTTGTTCACTGTTTGCACTACAGACACAGTTATATAGAGCTATATTTATTATAGTACAGAATGTACAACATAGAGCTAAATGCTCCAAATCAATATATTTTTACTAATGTCAACATCTCTAGATGGCAGCTTATTCAAGATCATTAACATTGCTGATATGGTGGTTAAGATGTTAAGGAATTATTATTGCCACAAAATTATTTATACCCCTTGTACATTTGTTGTTTTCATAAGGAAATGTAGTACATTGGAAGTTGGAACATTTTAAACATGCTGCAGAGCTGCAAGTTCAATGGAGGTTTGCGACTTGTAGTGTTACTTCGGTAAGGTAGCCGAAAAGTGCCGAAGATAGCTGGATAAAATCAGGTGGAAAATGACCTTGAACTGTGACATGTCAGAGCCTCGGTATAACACTTACCAACCCTTTTACCTGGAGACTGAAGTGAGTAACTAGTCTTGAAGATGAGCGTTAATGTTTTTCTGCTTTCGTCTCCTAACATATTTAATCTTAGGACTTTAGTTGGATCCTCAAATAGTAGAGTGGCAAGCCGACATCTAACACACGGCAGTCGTCCCTCAGTAAGACATCTGGAATCAGATAGTTCCCGTTTAGAACTCTTATTCAGCCTGTCACACGACCGTACGTTGTACGTTTATTGATACCGATGACTCTTTGAACTGGGATGTTGTACAACAATGTTTTTGACATTCCAGTATACAGAAGCCTGCGATCGGCTTTGTGGTGAAACGTCTTGGTTGGATGTTTCAGTGTTGTGTTTTCCCGTGAGAGTATACAGTCCTTGATAGTAGATCGTTCACACTGTAGTATGAATGTGCATATACAGCATACCACGTCCACCCTGTGCTTTACGGAAAGGTAGTACAACAGAACGTTGAATAGCAAGCTTTGTCCTGAGTTCTGAGCTCGTATCTTTCCCAATCGTAAACCAAGGCGTACAAAACACTGTCTTCCAGAGGTGAGGTGGTGTCTTCAAAATGTAAACGTAGATCCAACAGGTAGACTGGGATTCTCGATATCCGGACTGGATTTCCGTAGGCGAGATTGCCATTCACTTGATCATCCTATGCTACTTGATTTTCTGTGCGTAACTATGTGAGCTGTACGAGGATTTAATGAAAGTTAAGTTGAAGACTTTGTATCAACACATCTAGTTTCTACGACGTGTCCTCAACATGACGTCATTTTACCTTCAATCCGGTACTGTTTTCAGCTCCGACAGTCACAGTTCATTGGTTCATTGTTACACAATTAAGGGTTTGGGCATTTTCTCCTAAAATTGCTTTACAAATATGATATTTCCACCATTGAACTGGCAGCTGCTGTCACGTAGCACTCTAACTGCTTCTACATATTCATACCTGGTTGCTACAAGCAATGGTACTTAATTTGGCTGCAGGCGTAAGTCATGTTTTACATCCAAACATCTGAGGCAACGCTTTAAAGAAGAAGAACAATATTTCTATTCAGCCAACTTTTTGGTCAGCTTTCGTCTGCAAAGTCTTTTCTACTAGTCACTGATCAGTTTTCACACTCTGGTGGTCTGAAGGCCCAGCAAGAGACCATTAAATGAACACTCTAAAACACCTTAGCCTCCCCCTCCCTCCCTGCTGTATCCAGAACCATGCTTTATCCAGAATCATGCTCAGGCATGGTTCTGGATAGTCTTAGCTTATCCAGAACCGTACTTGGGTCAAATCTACGTTGTTAGATACACGACGACTACCCAGAACTGTGCCTGATACTACCCCTAACCGAATTCAGACATTAGCAAATTTAACATTAGCAAGTTTAATATTGATATCAATGCACGTTAAAATTTTGATATTTTTGTAATATGATAAGTACCAGGTAAAAAAAAGGTTATATCTACTGGTTCAATCTACCTTACACCGATGTTCAACAAAATAGAAATGTTCAAATATTATGAAGATCACCTAAAATAGTCACTATTGTGATGGACAGTAAGGACCGGTCTATTCAAATATAGGGAGGCAACTAAATTGTAGTCTAAGCAAGTCCCTTTCTGTTATACTTATAACCTCCTAGGTCTAAATAAGACTTTTCACTCTGATACAGCTTTGGTACAAACTCTCCTAGTGTAAAAGGATTTGTTGAAATTGGATAAAGATAAAGCTGTGCTGAAAGGCAACTATAATTTCTAAAAACACATTTTCTTAGAACAAGAAGCTAAAAATTAATCATAGAAAACATTTTGGTGATTTATTATAATTTTTGATTAGTAAAAGATCAGGTAGGTAACGTGTCAAATGACATTTCGTTATCGCTAATTAATACGAATATCTTTGTTGTTTTTTCCCTTAAATTTGGGGATGTGAGTCAAAAGACATTGTCTTCAATATCAACTTGGTTAACTTTTGTATCATTGAAAAAGAATAATGTCTGTATGTGTTGAACTTATTTTTACACCCTGAAATGGTAACGCTGGTGGTTAGTGGTAATAGGTAGAAGCTACATATAGGTGAATAGATGTGCGCCATGATGTGTTACAGATTCCCTCCCCTGGGTTCTCCCATAGTCACTCAGTATGTGTTAGTCAGAGAGGGGAAGAAAAGGGACACACGACGTGGTGTCATACGGGAACCGTTCCCTGGGATCTCCAGAGGCCATTTTCTACAAGCCCTGACACCCTGGACTTCGGGGGCCTTTGTATAAACGTATTTACACTGAGCTTTGCTCTCTACATCTGACCCATATGTTGATGAAGTTGAAGTTTTGACATCCTGAAAGACCCGTCCCCTGTTCGCGACGGCATGAGGCAAAAACCATGCAGTATCATCATAGAAAGGTACGGGCTCCCTCTCCTTATCGTCGGGGATCTCACTGTAGGTATGCTCCGGGAGAGGCAGTGGGCCCTGTGCAGCTGGTAGCTCCCAGCAGGCGCGCGGGAGAGCCGGCAGGGGGCGCTGCGCAGCGGCCATGTGATCTGGGATCTCACTATAGGTGGGTTCGATGGACGAGAGAACAGCCGGCAATGACCTGCAGGACGCCGCATCGTCTTGGGCGACCCCACTGGTGCTCAGTGCAGGGAGGGAAGCTGACCGTACCACACCGGATACGGATATGGCATCATCTGGGATCTCCCAGTACACGTGTGGGAGACGAGGCAGCGGCCTCCGAGCAATGGTTCTGTCAGAAGAAAGTTCCATTGAAAGCAGGAGAGTGGGCCATGACTTGCAGGAAACTACGCCATGCGACGCCGTCCTGCTTGAGCCAGCAGGGAGGGAAGCAGACCGAAGCAAGCCGGGGAAGGCAATTCCACGCGGGATTGTCCAAACCTGTGCACTGTCGGTGGGCCGGTCATCCTCTGTTGTTCTTGCTAAGTACATCTTCCATACCAACACTACAAGGGACGACACGGCCAGACCGACCACTACCGAAACAACAACAGATATGAGAACATGATCTGTTGCTGGAGGCACCTCTATCTGCTCTGATACATGCACAGGCGCGCAGGTGGTTGTTCCATCCTGCAGTGTAGTGTTGTCTCTCTGTTTTGTAGATGTCTGGTGTTCGTCTGTATATTCAGAGTAGTGTGTAAGGTTGATAGAGTGGTCAGTATCTGTTGTGTAGGCTGGTGATGTTGTGTGTGTCTGCGGCTGGTCATGGATAGTGGTGAAGACCAACTCCCTGTGTTCAACTTTGTTGACCAGAATGCAGGTGATGTTCTTTGCATTGTTGCCGTTTGTATGGGCTGTGGTGGTGAATGTGTTCGTGTCTTGTGTCTGGACAAATGACATGCCAACACCTTCAAAGGTTGCGTTCCCTGTGGACAGGGAAACCAGTCGGAAGACTAAGTCTCCCATCAGACCCACTGCAATGCCTCCATCATATTCCCAAACCTGCCTGCATTGTTCAAGCGTCTTGGTGTCCAGTTTGTCTGTCAGAGAGTCGTCGTCAGTAGCCAAGACAACTACAGGAGCCCGGATGGAGACCGTGCTCAGAGAAGGGTACAGGTCACTATAGGCTGGTAAACATGGACGTGATCTGGCCTCAATATTATAAGGAGCATTGTGAATGAATAATGAATAAAACATCCACCTAATTGAGACTTCAGCAGGGGTTACCCTATTGTGGCTGACACAGAAGAGGAACCCGGGCACTGCGACATATAATTCTTCTGACCCTCTCCTGACACGTGTACTGGCTGTTTTAAACCAAAGTAGGCTCCACGTCAATTCATGCGGCTGTACATCATTGACAGATGACAGCATGCGACTGCCGACATGGAGCCTATTCAACCAAGACTGTCCCCGGAACACATCTTCATCCAAACATGACAGATCAGTTCCACTCAGATCTAAGCTGCGCAGCTTTGTGAGTTGGAATGATCCACGGGAAATGGTATGGATTGGATTTAAACTCAGGTTCATGTGCAGCATTCTATATCTCATTCCATTGAACCAGGCAGGGTCTACATCATGTAACAGGTTGCTCTCTAGATCTAAGAAAAATAGGAGATCTAAGTGCACGAAGCTCCTTGGCTCTATCTGCCTGATGTTGTTGTTGGACAAAATCAGCCGAGTAAGCCTCTTCAAGCCAGCGAACCAGGCCTGTTTGACGGATGCCAACCTGTTAGAATCTAGGGACAGTGTTCTGAGACTGAAAAACCCAGAAAATATGTTCTTCTCCACATCAGTGATGTTTGCATCTATCAAAGCCAAACTGAGGACCGCAGAATGCTCGAAAGGAGCCAGGCTCTTTTCCGACAGAGCATTGAATGGGTATCCTCTTATTGCAACATGTTGGGCCCTCGCAAGAAAATGGAAAGGGCTGACAGGAGCAACGCCCTCTTTTAGGACCTCACACACGACACATGTACCAGACACTGTCACTGTCCAGTGTCTCTGTGTATGAGGAACACACACTCGCCATACAGCTACATCACACTGAAAAAAACGTGAGTCATTTGAAGCTGCACAGGTAGATATCAAGAGGAGCAAGAACAACATGGCTGCGTTCTCACTCATTCGCATCTAAACCTTTCGTCTCTTTGTTACTTACCAGCACTTGGTCCGCAGATCTGTACCGGCAGTGACAAACTGAAGGTTCTGATGTCTCATCGAATCATTATCAACTTTCTCAGACAAGTTTGAAACAGAATAGTAAAAATACAATAGATGGTTCGTTGGTAATTGCACAACAATATTAGTTAAGCGAGACAGTGTGCAATGTATATTCAGATTGCTCGTAATGAAAACAAGGTATGACGAAACCCAATGTGTCTGTCTTGGCTACTAAAATTACTCCCACCCATTTCCTGATTACCAATGATGTTCCATCAAATCAACAGCAACTCTCTCAGACAAATTTGAAACAACGTTATTAAAAAAATGTTACGTTATTTGGTAACCGTACACTAATAGATAAGCAAGACGTCACACGGTGTATTTTGAGGTAGCCCTTCAATGAAAGCACGTATGAAAAAACACGTGTAATTCAAAAACTAATTTCTGTCCATGTGTAGGTGGCAATTGAAATGACTCTTGAAAATATGTTTATGGATTTACTAGGACTTCAATCAACATGTAACCTGTATCTTGTCATAGAGTAAAGAGACTCTTTTTACACCACCAAGATTTTATTCAGCCGACGTTTCGGTGACCGTCTGTCACCTTCCTCAGGGCAATTCTGACTGGTTCGAATTCACATTGCATTGTAGCACAGGTTTCGCTGCTACAGATACATAACGAAATGTACAATATTTACATATCTACATGTGTTCAATCTTTATGACAATGTAGATTTCTTAATGAAAGCAACTTTTTTTGGCCAATCTTTTTTATGCGCACGCTCGCATCAGTTGTGGGCTTCCCAGAGGATGTCATCCATATAATCAAATCAACATGGCCTAACCGCATCGATGACTGACACAAGTCCTGTTTAACCAGTCTCACAGGGAACACATGCACTCTCTACATGTACTCGCCATGGAACAATTACAAACAGACACGCCTAAGGCAGGTATGGGTAACAGAGGGTGTCTACATTGTTTGTGACCCTCACACAAACATTGCTACATGATTATGCAATTAGAACCTGACTCATTATGATGAAGATACATGTAATTAAAAATAGCTTGACCTGTTTAGAAACATCTTAAACTTTAGTTAACAATTGTTAAGTTTCTAGCTTTGTGGACTGTTTTCATCTGGAAGGTCAACCATAACTGCAGGCTAGATACTATTAGGTAGATACTAGTAGTTTGGTCTAGCCTTTACCAGGCCTTCCTACGGGGGTACGGATTGTAAAATGCGGTAAAAAAAAGAGAAGAATACAAATGTCATTGGCCAGTGCACGGGAAGATTAATTTTCCCCTTCAAGGGGACAACTAAATTGCACAGTGGCTAAAGTCCACTGGCGAATTATTCTCCTTAATTGGCTTAATTTTGAATCCACGGTGTTAGTCTGGTAGAGACTATACTTGAAGTTTGGGTGGGGAGGTACGTATTTATCTCAGGTCAGAGAGCATTCTAGTGCATTCCCTCGGCTTCAGTAGACTCCTGACACGTCTACAACGAGCAGTGCAATTTTTCTAACATTTCTTTGATATCAACGCTGCTAATTTCTATAAAAATGCGCGAGTGCGTGTCCCTACACATCGGGCAGGCGGGCGTCCAGATCGGTAACGCCTGTTGGGAGCTGTACTGTCTGGAACACGGGATACAGCCCGACGGTTTGATGCCGAGTGACAAGACCGTCGGGTACGAGGACGCCTCCTTCAACGCCTTCTTTACCGAGACAGGAGGGGGCAAGCACGTTCCTAGAGCCATTTTTGTCGACCTAGAACCCAGCGTGATCGATGAAGTCAGAACCGGGACGTACAGTTCTCTGTTCCACCCAGAACAGATGATTTCTGGCAAGGAAGACGCTGCCAACAACTACGCACGGGGACATTACACCATCGGGAGGGAAATCATTGACCAGACGTTAAGTCGAATCCGCAAACTGGTGGGTGTATCTTTATCTTTCAATTTTAACCATAGAATCTACACTGCACAAAATCCAGTCTTTAGGTACACCTTAACGCATGGCATAGATGTTCCGTTTCTTCACTTTCGTGTACGTTTATGCAAGATTTCATGTATCCTTAAAGATTCCGTGCAGTGCTGTTAGCTTTGTACGTATGTTCTCAATACTTAAGGTATATCCATATACCTACCGTTGCAACTTGGAAAGAAACTATACATATGGTCTACGTACGTCTGTAATGATTTTTATCTTTTTATTTCATTTTTTCTAAACATAGAAAAGCGCAAAGACCGGTCGGAAACTTGAACATTTTTAAACACGTCATGACTTGACAGGGCTTCAAATACCACCTGCACAGTAATATCATGCAGGTTAGTGCACGTAAAATTGGGTTGATTCTCTCTTACTTATAATGATAAAAAGTACTTTTATAAAATCTCATATTGATCTACATCGTTTTCTACCCAGACTGAGAGCTGCTCGGGTCTGCAGGGTTTCCTGGTTCACCACAGCTTCGGCGGCGGGACGGGGTCAGGGTTCACCGCCCTCCTGATGGAGAGACTGTCTGTAGACTACGGCAAGAAGTCCAAACTACAGTTTTCCATTTACCCGGCTCCACAAGTAAGTAATAGACTGTTCACAAATTCCCCTTTGCTAAAGTCATACGTGCATGAAGTGTTGACTTTGGCTTTATTTTATCTCTGTTAGCTATTTTTCCTGTGCTCTCTTACATCGTAATACATCAATACAAAGTGAATAACACAATACTGTCACACACGTTCTTTGGAAGTTATGAGGACACACCAATATTCTTTCAACCGGGACGGGGGGCGGTACTGACTTCGGGTGAACTTTGACCCAGTACTGACGTCACACGTGTTAAGAATCACATGCCTACAGAAGTCCGGTCAGATAGCCATTGAAAACCGAGAGGTTCGGTCGAAAATTCTTGTGACAGATTTAAATTTGGAGAACATTTTGATTTTTACTAGTGTTCACCTGATTTATTGTGTCTCGTTGTAGGTGTCTACGGCAGTGGTTGAGCCCTACAACTCTATTCTGTCTACCCACACCACCCTGGAGCACTCCGACTGCTCCTTCATGGTCGACAACGAAGCGCTGTACGACATCTGCCGCCGCGGGCTCGACGTGGACCGCCCCACCTACACCAACCTCAACCGCATGATCGGGCAGGTCATCTCGTCCATCACCGCCTCCTTGCGGTTTGACGGCTCCCTGAACGTGGACCTGACGGAGTTCCAGACGAACCTGGTGCCGTACCCGCGCATCCACTTCCCCCTGTCCACCTACGCACCCATCATCTCGGCCGAGAAGGCCTACCACGAGAATCTGTCGGTTGGTGAGATCACCGCCAGCTGCTTCGAACCGGGGAACCAGATGGTCAAGTGCGACCCTCGGAAAGGTGAGCACCAAAATACGTAGCCTACACGTTTGGGATTTTTCAAGGAAGTTATTGCTGTGTCTCTGTTTGTAAATACCACCTGTTTTGAGGTCGAAACAAAACCAGCTTCTTTCAGTCTGTGTAACACAAATTCTCACTTCCCAAGAGTCGATCCTTGCAGAGGATTCTTTTTGTTACCATGAATATCGCTTCCACAGGAGCTCTTCACATTCTCTGTTAACATGGAAACCAGTAAGCAAAGCCTCCAATACAATAATAATAGACAGTTCTACATTTACATGCTACATCTGCTACGTTTGTGTACAAGGGATACTCTGTAACATGATTCTGGAGTTAGCAGAAATAGCGGCCCAGTTCGGAAGCCGGAAAAGCCCGGACTGGACTGCTTTTTCCACAAACCCGTTATTCTCTGTTTGCAGGGAAGTACATGGCGTGCTGTCTGCTGTTCCGTGGTGACGTCGTGCCCATGGACGTCAACGCTGCCATCGCCAACATCAAAACCAAACAGTCTATCCAGTTCGTTGACTGGTGCCCGACAGGGTTTAAGGTACGTGTTTCCACGAATATTTATCTGTACAAGGACATTATGATCTGTACTGTATGGTGAATAACGATATATGAATTGAACTTGTTGGGTATGCTTCCTATCATGTACGCTCTAATTACCTCCATGAAAAATGGAGGTATTGTTTTTGTTATGTAACGTTATGTGTGTGTGTGTGTGTGTGTGCTTCAACTGCATTAGTTCTACTGGATGAGTCCAGTCTGTCTCCGAGTGAGTGTCATTACTTCTACATCTGGTTTCGCACGCTGTTTGTACAGGTCTTTTCTTTACATGACCTCCTTGACAGCTGGTGTTTCTCCCTTGCACGGTGTAGAAAGGGATTGCCAAAGGAGATTGCAAATGGGTCACCTTGCATTAGTTTAGTTTTCATCTATTCAGAGATATATTCAACCCCCCTACAAATTTGTCTCTTGTAAACACCATGTAAACACCGTGGTTTTATGGAGATCTGAGATCTTCGAATTCTTGTTTGCGTAATGTATGTACAACTAAAACAGTCAAGAGGTCATCTACACGAATGTTATTCCAAGCTTCTTATCGAAGTCTTGTAATTTTTAGGTTGGAATCAACTACCAGCCTCCCACCGTGGTGCCTGGCGGAGACCTGGCCAAGGTTCAGCGTGCCGTGTGCATGTTGAGCAACACCACCGCCATCGCTGAGGCCTGGGCCCGCCTGGACTACAAGTTCGATCTGATGTACGCCAAGCGCGCATTCGTGCACTGGTAAGACAGCTTCTGTTATGAAATTCCATTCGAACCAGGGGTCTTAATGATGACTCTATTTTTTTTATTAACTAGTTGACGCTTATTAAATAGACTTCTTACCTTGGCCTCATAGCTGAAAACATGATTTATACACAAACTGTGTTTACTTACTTCAAAAATATGCCCACTTCCTTAAAGTTCATGCAAATTGAAACAATTCTCTGAGATTACAGTCAAATTCAATTTCACCGAAAAAGCCAACTCTGAAAAGGTTTACGGGGATAATCAATGGGCGATCGCGAGCAAAGGGTTTGAGTTGAATCGAGAATTTCCTTGTACCGTTGTCAGGTACGTGGGTGAGGGGATGGAGGAGGGGGAGTTTGCCGAGGCACGAGAAGACATGGCGGCCCTGGAGAAGGATTATGAAGAGGTGGGGATGGACTCCTTCCCGTCCGACAGCGAGGGAGAGGGAGACGAGGAATACTAGCCCGTACAACCGGACCGTACAGTCAAGCCTACATTTGAACCAGCGGCCGCACCTGATCTAGGCACTGTATGGAATAAAACTGAAGCACAGTTATCAACTGAAGCTTCTTAACTCTATATGCTGTCTGAGTGTGTATTTCTTTCAAAACTACCGCATATATTACATTTTTTTCTACTGCAAGAAAATAATCACAACATCAGCACACATTTTTGGCCCGGCCATTTTCATCACCTTTATTGTGTAATTTTAACTACTTGAGTGCAATAAATAATATTGAATACAATAGTTTAAATGAACATATTCGTCGAGAACGAATGACTCTTTGCTGCTAGATTATAGAAGCTTCAAATGCTTCGTTTAATACCCATTAAGTCGGTTATTACGAAAATAATGATATAGTTGGACATAATTAGAATTTACGTATATTCAGTAAATTTAAGTATATATTAGGTAATTCAGATACTCGCACGTACCTTATGCCATATGCAGGAATGAATATATACATGTAGTAAACAAATTATGTAGTTATGTTTTCATGTGTTTCAAAAGAGAGAATTCAAAGAAACTGTGATTAACAGTAGATGAACAATAGTACATAGTATTGTTTTAATACACAGACATTTATTACTTTATTATTTAGCATTAGCGTTAGCGTTAGCATTTCAGTGTTCTATATTCCATGTTTTACATCCTCTGGATCACATATGGTCACATATGCATTTAGCCCATCTAGGCAGGAATATGCAATAAAAATGATATTTGTCTATTTAGGAAAGTGACATAATCTCCGCTAGTTGACTAATTACTGTACTCTAATAATACAAGAATACCGGTGACATGTTGTGGCGACTTTGCTGGCTCCACGCTTGGTGTAGAGGTATTAGCCCCGCCAGCTCCCGCCTAAGAAAAATACCAATCAATCAATCAATTAATAAATTACGAACCAATAAATCAATTTCAAGACAATAACCGAAAATATCACGTAATTCTAAGACAGTATTATTCTACCCCTGTAGTATGTAGATATGTGTGTTTTATTGTTGATTCTGAAAAAGGGATATTATGTTTGTTTTTAGTTTTATGCACATTTGAGCCTTAAAAGAGTAGCCCAACAGCGCTAAAAGGTTTCTGTATCTGTATAGCCGGTATAACCGCCCTTCAGCGTAACACACCAGCTTCGCACGCACGCGGCGCGGCGGCAGCTGGCTACATTACACCGAACGACTTGTTACACCTAACTCTTGAATATATAACTCTAGACATTGTTTAAAGCTATCTAATGACAATGCCACTGCTGTACTAGGTGACAGCGAGTTCCACTCCGCGATAGTTCTGGGAAAGAATGAATTCTTGAACACCTCAATCCTTGGCTGATAACTCTGATACTTGAAGGCATGGTTATTTCTTGTTCTCTTCTGGGCTGGTATTAGGTACTTAGTAGTTGGGATCGACGTCCACCATTCGAAATAAATGAAAGACCTTCGCCAATTAGCTAAGAGAAGAGTTCTTACCAGTGTACGTGCAGACCAGCGGGTCTCCGGTCCACTGCCCGCCGGTGCAGGTGGTGGAGGTGTTCCCTGACTGCTGCTCATACCCGCGGCGGCAGGTGAACGTGCACGTCTCCCCTTCCTCGTACGGCGAGCGGCAGGTCTTGGGTCCCCAGGAGCCGAAACGTCGAGGGGGAGAGTCACATCCAGCTGGAAAAGTTTTGTTGGAAAAATGAAATTGTTAGAACAGATTACTCTCCAACCCAAGACTTCAACCATTATGATGGCACGGTTGTCGAAAGGACGAGACTATATGTATCTGTAGAGCCGGTGTAACCGCCCTTTGCCGTATACGTTTGTTTCTTTGTTTGTTTGAACCGTCTTCTTTCATACATGAACTTTATGGACACAACAAAGTACACTTTTGTAAGGTCTATAACTAAATATACAAACAGACACGTGAGTACAAAAGACACAAGCTGTATCTTTTGTCTCCACTTTTCTACATACGTTTGTTATGCGTCTGTTAAGTCTTGACCTGTACCTAGCCCGTCGTGGCATGAATGTACAATAAAGGTATTTCATTATTATTTCATCATTAATATAGTGGAGTATCACGTACAGGTACGTCGGCACTGCAGCGGGGTCCCAGACCAGGCGCCGTCAACACAGGTGATGGTGGAGTTCCCGGACTCCGCAGAATACCCGTCCCGACAGGTGTAGCTGCAGTTCTCTCCGTTCACGTAAGGCCACCAGCAACCCTGTATCGTGCTGTACCAGGTGAAAGATGGCCGAGGGCATCCAGCTGAGCAGGTAGGGATGTTGAGACAGGATTGTCAGTTCTAAACAGGAACTACGTATACACGGAACTGCAGGTAGGCTAGGTAAAGACCTACTGCATGTAGATAAGAACTGAAAGTAGATATCAAGAACTGAACTGTATGTACAGTGTAAGAACTACTGCATGTATGTAAGAACTACTTACTGTACACGCAGATGAGCGGTGTTCCGGACCAGGTACGGTTGTTACAGGTGATGACGGAGTCTCCAGACACCGCAGTGTAGCCATTCCAACAGGTGTAGCTGCAGCTGTCTCCGTTCTCGTAAGGCCACCTGCAACCCGTGCGCGAAGACCCGCGAATGTACGGTAGTCGGTCACACCCGGCTGGGAAAGAAACATAATGTATAGATAAACCTGTATATCCTGTAGCGTATTAAACAACGATAAACTCTAATTGATCTTAATTAAAGCCTGCCTTAATGTATACGTAGATGCACGTGCAAGTGAAGGAACGGAACCTTGGCGCATATTTTAAGGTGTGCTTTATGATATAAGCAGTGTTAATTCTAATGCAATTTATACTTTATACTAAAGCAACAGTAATGCATGGTAGGACTTACTGTACTCGCAGACCAGGGGTTGTCCGGTCCAGGTGCCGCCGTTGCAGTCCCGGCTGGTGTCGCCAGATGTCCTCCTGTAGCCGTCCCGACACTCGAAGTCGCAGGTCTCCCCCTCCTGGTACGGCCAGCTACAACCTTTCCGCACGACGCCTTGTCCGGTTGGAGGCCGCCGGCACACCGCTACGGGACACGGCAGGAACGGGACGGTTTGTGTCCGGGTACAGTTTCATCGTAAAAGATATTTCTCCATTCTTCTTTAATACGGAGTAAATTCTAAGTTTTGCTCTGTTTTTTTATTTGACGACGATTATTTATAGTAGTATATTACACTCCAGTGCGTTTTGGACCATATTCTGACATAATGGCTATGCGGAAACACAGACACATACGGACACGGATCCCAACCAACCAACCAACCAACCAACCAACCAACCAACCAACCAACCAACCAACCAACCAACCAACCAACCAACCAACCAACCAACCAAACAACCAAACAAACAAACAAACAA